CGGGTTTTTGGGGGAAAGGAGATGGAAAGGGGGTTGTCCTAATCTCTCCAAGTCCGCGACGGGAAGAAAGTGGGTGTTGGTGAACAAAAGTACATCGTATTCGTGCGGTGGTGGATCCGTCCACATATGGGTCACACAATATGGGCCAGGGTGGCAAATGACGATCCTTCCCTGCTGGGCTGCTGGGCACTCTGGCGTGCTATGGAGACATGGAGTGCTGGAGCATAAAAAAGGGGCGTCTCGTGTCGATAGGACGATGGAGTTGGCGCGGAACCTGCCGTGGAAAAGTCGAAATACTTGTATGTCGTATGTCATATGTTCTTGCATCCACACTGGCGATGCTGGGAAGTAAGTACAAAACATCAATGGCATTGTCAGCCGTTCGGACAGAATGCATTGTTCGTTTCCTTTTGCTGACTGGCCCATGTCCCCCTGGTCATCTCGTTTCAACGGGGCATGTTCGACGCTCATTCTCTGCAGCCCATCGTAGCTGACGGCCAACGGCATGGTGACATATGTACGGCGCAGATCTCTTGAACTGTAATTCGTACAGAATACATGTGCACATATGGCCAACCGCTCACTGCATCTTCCTGGTTCTCCTGTCGGACCTTCCCGTTCTGTCGTGGACGGATGCGAAGCACGGCCGAGTGGGATGCCGAATATGGATTCTGGGCCGTTTCTGCGTGGACGCTTGTTTGTCCAACACATCGATACCTCCTCGCCCCTTGTTCTTGTGTGCCGTCTGAAGTGTAGAGTTGCATTGCTTGTTGCGAAGAGCATGCCGTACATTGTTCCAGGCTCCTACACAGGAGGTTCTCAAGCTAGAAAGAAACACCTCATTGCATCCATCTCGTCAGTCGTTGCATGCATTTGTTTGCGCGCCGTTCCATTGTCAACGACAGCCGTTGCTAATCACACGGGTGAATGTCGTAATTGCTCTGGCTGGGATGCCGACTCTGTACTAAAATGCTTGTTCTGTTCAGCATCAGAATACCCGGCTTGGCTCCGCCAGTGCTTCGTTGAGCATGTTGCACCCCCCAATGCAACCCTTTTTGTTTCTTGGGAACCTGTCGACGACACAACGCTGCCCCCCACTTATGGCCGTTTTGGGTGACCATATCGTCTGTCTATTGTACCATTGTGTGGTTGGGAACGTCGATCTTTTCTTGTACTGTCCCTTTGTTTGCTTGCCTTTGTTGGCATGCCGAAAGGATGTTTTTTGTGCCTTTCGATGTGATGATACTTGTCTCCTTGCTTCTCTTTCTCATATTGTATTGACTCGAGTATGGTCTTCCCGATCAAGTTCCGCGCAACCAGGGAACAGGGAGTGGGAGGATGCTGACGGTTCAACCAGGCTCCGCGTTTCTTTTGCTAACAGTCAATAAACAGTTCACTTGCAGAGCTACGGCAGCGTCAGTTAAGCTGGTTGGCCCATTGCAGATCATTGTTCCACACCTCCTTTCTCGCCCGCTGCCAAGTCCCCACTGAAGAATGGCGACAAAAAGCCTGGCTCCCTGGTCTGTGGCCCCGGCGATTTTCCGGGCTCTTCAGCCCTTTTTATTGGACTTCTGCCACGAGAAGCCAAAACGGGCAATGCGCGCGGCATGCCGACTAGCCGTTGTTCGCTTGACTCGCAGACTGGTTAGCGACGATAGGCTGTCCATATCGTCCTAGTGAGTGTCCTTAGTATGTACGCCTGAAGACCCCTGATGTCTTTTGAATCCCCCAGATTTGCTAGTTTAGTGCGTGTGTGACGAGTCCACAACGTGTCTCCCTGATTCCGTTTTCGCTTTCCTCCTTTTATTTTTTTCTCTTGGCTTCAGCCTGGTTAGTCCATCAGCTGCCGTCTTTGCTTTTTCTGCGCCGTTTCCTAGTCCGGAGGACGGCCGGGACATTGGCCATGAACGTCGCCACGGCCATTCCCCCATCTCCATTGCCTCCTTTCTTCTGACCTCTCTCCCGTCGGATTTCTTCTGGCACAACCCCTGCAACCCCTGCAAACCCCCCAATGTTCATCCCTTGTCCACACCACCCTTGACGTCCACCCACTTCGATTCCCGGCGTGCCAGCGCTAGAATCGAAGACGAGTCAACCCAAGACGCAGAGTTGTTCGCCTTGCCGAAACCGCCAACGCCAAAGCAAGACCAGGCTCTGGGGAAGCAGTGGCTGGACGTCGGTCGTACTCTGTACATGGAGTAGCTTTGCTGTGTGTTTTCTTGGCGACATATCATACCTCCTCCGTGCGGCATACGACATACTCGAACGAGCATTGAAGGATACGCGTCAATGTCATTGCCATGGGGGCCAACCAAGACCACCAGCTTGCCGTTGACCACCTCTGATTTCCTCAGCTGCACTCGGTGCTGGATATCCGACTTTTGTTTTTGACAGTCTTTTGTGTCTCCTGTCTTTTTGTCGTTTCTCATCATCTGCCGGCTCCTCGCCCCATCAACTTCTCCTCCTCTCCTCCTCCTCTCCTCCTCCTCACCCCTTCTCCCCACTCTTTTATTACCGTCCCCTTGGGGTAGTTTGTGTTGATGTTGATATAAGTCACATCCTGTTTCCTCTGCAGTTTTTGTGTTTTTTTCCTCCATCCCCCCTGCCCCCCCACACATCAGCAGAATGTCGGAAAAGATACAGACGATACACGATACCAGCAGCGCCGTCGGCAGCGGCCGCCATGACCCCATCGACCCGGAAAAGCCGTCGTCGTCGTCGTCGGATGGTGCCGACGGCGTCGGCAGCCCCAAATTCGACCCACACGGCCTGCCGCTCCAGCCGCAGCCGTCCGATTTCCGAGACGACCCACTCAACTGGCCGCGGTGGATGAAGTGGATGGTGCTGCTGCAGGTCAGCTTCATGGCGCTGCTGGGGCCGTTCAACGCGGCCGTGCCCAACCCGAGCCTGGCCCTGCTGTCCAAGGCCTTTGCGCGGCCCGTCGAGATCGTCACGTACAGCACGACGACGGCCATCATCACGGGCGGCCTGTCGCCGTTTGTGTGGGTGCCGCTGTCCAACGTGCTGGGGCGGCGGCCACTGTGTCTGGTGACGCAGCTGGTGACGATTGTGACGCACATTGCGACGGCGCGCACGACGACGTTTGCGCAGCTCGTGGGCGTGCGGGCGGTCAACGGCATCGGCTTTGGCGGCATGATGGCGCTGGGCACGCCGGTGCTCAACGACATGTTCTGCATGCACGAGCGCGGCGCCATGACGGGCGTCTACACCATCTTTGTGACCAACGGCGCGCACATTGCCGTGCTGACGGGCGGCTTCCTGGGGCAGTACGCCGGCTGGCGCTGGGACTTTTACATGCCGGCCATCGTCACGGGCGTCTCGTTCCTCGTGGCGCTCGTGGCCCTGCCCGAGACGCTCTTCTCGCGCGGCCCGCAGTTTTTGCAGCAGCGCACGCGCGAGCGCGCGTACTGGGCGCTGCTGTTTGACCTCCGGGGCAACCTGATCCCGCAGCGGCGGCTGCGCGGCGAGGACTTTTTGACGTCCTTTTACATGCTCCGCTACCCGTCGGTGGCCCTGCCGTTCTGGTTCTACACGCTGAGCTGGACGTTCATCAACATCCTGCCGGCCATCAGCATGGCCAAGATCTACGGCGCCAAGTACGGCTTCGCGAGCGGCACGATTGGTCTCTGCACGGGCATCCCGCTGATTGTGGGCTGCGTCGTCGGCGAGCTCTCGGGCGGCAAGCTCTCGGACGTCATCGTCTACCGCCTCGCCAAGAAGAACGGCGGCCGCGCCACACCCGAGCACCGCCTGTACCTCACCTGCCTCTCGGCGGTCCTCGGCCCCGTGGGCATGATTGTGTTTGGCGCCTGCCTGCAGCACAACTACCACTACGTCGTGCCCCTCGTCGGCCTGGCCATTGGCGTGTGCGGCCTGCAGATCACGTCGACGTGCCTCTACGCCTACCTGTCCGACTGCTACCGCCCGCAGACGCCCGAGTCGGCCGTGCTCATGAACCTGGGCCGCGGCCTGTCCTTTGTCGTCGGCTTCTGGTGGTCGCCCATGGTCGCCAAGATCGGCTATGCGTGGACGTGGTCGTCGCAGGCGCTGATTCTGCTGGTGTTTTGGCTGCCGATCCTGGCGCTGATGATCAAGGGCGAGGGCTGGCGGAAGCGGCTGGGCGAGCCGTCGTTCCACCAGTACTCGTAAGTCGGCCGTGCAGCATGCCCGAGCAGGCGACGGGCTTGTCGAGTACATCGAGAATGTCCATGTCAACGCCAACGCGAGCACTCGACTGGATGAATAAATTGAAAGGGGGACTGTTGGACACCTACGCCTACAGCAACATTGATTTTCTTTTTCCATTGTCAAGGCACATGGGAGGACATTGTGTTTCTCTCAGCTCTCAGCGGCAGTCGTGTGTGCTGTTTACACAACGCGCGTGCTGTCAACGCGAGTGCTTTTTTCATATTTGTTGTATTGCTTTACTGCTTTAATTACTTTCTTCTCTTCGTGCCTGTATTTTACCTTTACACCCGAGCGAGCATTTGTGGATAGGACCAACATTCTCAAAGCTGCAATTTTATTTCATTCATTTCCAAGAGCACTGATAGAATCAAAACGAAGTGGCTGCATTAAAGTCACTGTAAGCTGCCAAGCTGTTCCACATTGACGAACTCAACCTCCACATCGGCCAAGAGTCCCTTTTTAGCATCCGGAGAGTCGCCGTGGATGTTGGGCGATGTGTATATTTTGTTGGGCAACCTGGCTTCTCGACTTTTTTGTTAGCTTACCCAACAACTCGCCAAGGTTCGTACAGAATCGTAACTGTGCGATGTATTTTTTTACGGACGCTGTCTATTGCTGGGCCTGCGTCGACTGACTGGATGCAACTTGAATAGAAACCGAATGTTTACTCTGTCAATGCTGTGATAGTATCCGTTACGAATCCACTACTCTATGTAGTCTCTTGCATACATTGTCGTCTTTCCTCTGGTCAAACCACGCAATATCTCTCGCTCTGCCCGCTGGGCTTCTCGTTATGCCTCCACCGGAATGGCCGACACCGACGACGTGCCGACCTGCGCCTTGACGTCGGCAACGCTGCCCGCGCGCGCCGTCTGCAGCGCCTCGTTGAGTGCCGCGTAGGCGTCGTAGCCAAACAGCTCGTCGAGGAACTCCTTGCGCGAGCGGATGTTGATGTGGCCCTCCTGGATGCCCGGGTGGGCGAGCATCCAGGCGTCGCGCGCCTGCTGCTCGGGGCCGTCGCGCATCTGCGTAAAGTAGCGGCTGGTGATGGACGCCTCGGCGACGCGGGCGGCGCGCTTGATGCGCAGGGCCTCGTAGAGCTGGAGGGCGGCGGGCAGGCGGTCGACGGCGGCAAAGTCGGGCTGGGCCAGGACGCCGGCGAGCACGGCGGCGTCCTCGATGCCCATGGCGGCGCCCTGGGCGAGGTAGGGCGTCATGGCGTGGGCGGCGTCGCCGATGAGGACGAGGCGGTGGGCGGCGTGGGCCCAGCGGGGGATCTCGTGGTGGGTGAAGAGGCGCCACGACAGGACCTCGTCGACGTGCGCGAGCATGGCGTCGAGGCGCGGGTCCCAGTCCCGGAAGCGCGCGCGCACGTCGTCGGCGGTGCCGATCTGGGTGTTGACGCCGTCGGGCAGGGTGGTGGCGTCGCACGTAAAGACAAAGTTGACCAGCGGCTCGTTGACGCCCTGCAGCAGATACGACAGCACGGTGGCGTGCGGGCCGATCCAGTGGTTGTTGCGCGGGACTGCCACCAGGTCCTCGAGCTGCGGGATGCCCGCCAGCTTGCGCGTGGGCACGGTCACGCGGTACACCATCTGGCCTGTCGGGCTGGGCGGGCTCGTGTGGCCCAGGACGACCTCGCGGCAGACGGAGTGCAGGCCGTCCGACGCCACGACGAGGTCCGCCGTGTGCCGCACGCCGCCCTTGGTCGTCACGGCGGGCACGTCCGGCTCGACCGTCTGCACGCGGCTGTCTAGGCGCACGGCGATGCCCAGCTCCGTCGCCCGCGCCATCAGGCCGCGGTGCAGGTCCGCGCGGTGGATGTGCCAGTAGGGGCTCTTGTACTCGTCGAGCGCCGGCTGCTGCAGCGGGCACTCGACCAGCACCTGGCCGTCCTGCCACCGCATCATGCGCAGGTCGACGGGCTCCGTGCAGTAGGGCGCAATGTGCTTGTCGACGCCGAGCCGGCGCAAGATGCGCGACGAGTTGGACGAGACCTGGATGCCGGCGCCAATGTAGGTAATTTGCGGGGCGCTCTCGAGAACGATGACGTTGTGGCCCGCCTGCTGCAGGGCAATGGCGACGGTCAGGCCAGCGAGGCCGGCGCCGATGACAATGATTTCCTAGGTGTCGGGGGTCAGTTGTGGTGCTGCAGAGGCAAGCGTGGGTGGGGAGATGGGAGACGCGAGACGTACCATGTTTGTCGGGTTGCGGTTAGTTGGAGGCCGAATCTTGGAGCAGCAGCCGAAGCCGGGTCGACTGCTATTTAATTATAAGCAACAGGACTCGGGCGAGACGGAAGATAAATGGCCAAATGGAGATATGAGAAAGTATCTCAACTGTCCCGAGAACTCGGTTCAAGGAAGGCTTCGTCCGTGGGTGCTGCTAGTGATATTGATCGCGATTGTGACATTCCGCCTCGCGCTCGCGCCCCAAGGACCCCCTATGAGCCCCAAATAAGCTCCAATGAGCTTTTGGGAACGACACAATCGACCGGCGAGTGCCACATGGCAGCCACTGACGAATGTGCACGTTTCACACGCCATCCCGGGCCGCTCGACGTATGACGAACAGCGGACGCTGCATGCACCATGGACGCATAGTACGCAGCAGTGACGAGTGGATTGGTAGCCGTGACGGAACAGCGGATGGAACATTGCGCGGAACAATGCATCCAGGAGTGGACGCCCGTCGCGTTCCGTCTCTTTGCAGTGCATTTGCAGTGTCTGCGTGCAGATATGCACCGAGAGCGAGGATGGGGAAGGTCCTCTTGGCCGCCCTTAAAATTCACTGATCGACAGAAGTTGCAGCGGATGGATTCATCCGTGGGTTCGTCAGTGGGCCTGTCTGCGGGATGCCTTCATCCTGTGTTTGTGCGGGGAACCGCCGTTTGACGTGTGGACCAATTTCAATAATAGAACATAACTCAACGTAAACAACATACTAAATAGACTGATAGAGTAACCCCATCATGGTCACGACCACAATATGGCTGTACGATGTATGGTTAGCCGGCTGCGGGGAACCGCCGCGCTTGAACATCGACCACATGGTACTACGGAGTACATTGCACACTAGACCGGAGACTCGCCGGGAACAGGACCGGGTGTTGTTTTTAACTCTAAGAATATGTGCAGCTGAATGTATGCGAGACTATCTGCCAAGATCCACGTACGTCCCCAGAACCACAAGATCCCGCAGCCGGACAATGCGATGATATTTCGTGTATTCGTTTTGCCTGCACCTTCGACCGGCATTGACCATTTATCCACATGGACGATCTCGCCTAGGCCCAGACGGGAACACCAAAAGGAGGAGGGTGGTGGAAGGGCGGCACAAAGGGCGGCCCCTTCTTCTTGCCGCCAACAATGGGGACTCCCGTCGGCCAGCTGCTGATGGGCGGCGCGGGCGACCCCGACGGGACGGTGCCGCCTTCAATGACGGTGACGGTGATGGTGGGTACGGGGGCACTGCTGTCACTGCCGTCACCGCCGTCGTCGTCGCCGTCACCTCCATTGTTGCCGCTGCCCTGCGTCGGACTTGGTTTGGACGGCACCGAGTCCCAGGGGGGGATGATGGTGCCTATTGGATGCGTTGACGACGAGGACGGTGAGGACGACGGGGGGACAGCCTTGGATGTTGTTGTTGGGGCTGTGACCGTAACAAAGACGGTGCTAACGACAGTCGTGATGGAGGCGGTGGCGCTGCTGCTTGGCGGAGGGCCAGGCTGCGTCGACGAGTGATGGGGTGCCGTAATCGACGTTGACGGACGTGAAGGCGGCAATGCAGTGGTCGACGGCGAAGGAACAGTCCCGGTTCCAGTCCCGGTCCCAGTCCCCGTCCCGCCTCCACTTCCACCCGCCAGAAACGCCACATACGCGTCAAACACGGCCGCCGGCACACGTGCCGCCGCCAGGTCCACCGCCACCGTGCCCTTGGCGTTGTGGTACCCAAATGAGCTCGTGTTGCTGGCGGGTGTCGTCACGGCGCGCGTGCTCGAGGCCCAGGCCAGCGTGCTGCTGCCCGACGCACTCAGCGACCCGCCCGACCACGCGCTGCAGCCCGTGCACACCACCGACAGCGTCCAGTGCGTCGCGTTCTTGGACGACGCCAGCGTCCGGTAGCTGGCGCCCGCGTAGGCCGCGGGCAGCGTGTGGCCCGTGGCCCAGCGCGACGACACCACTGCCGAATTGTCCGTCGACGGCCACGCCACCGTCAGCGGGTTGCCCGTCATGGACCCGCCCCAGGCCACGCCGGCCCAGCCAATCGCCACGGGCGCGACGATCTGGAGGAGGGTGTCATACGTAGTGGGCGAGGATGCAGCTGCACTTGCTTCCTGTACACCGATGCGGTAGGTAACGCTGCTGCTGGACGAAAACGCGGCGAGACAGACGTTGCTGCCTGTAAAAGACGCGTCGCAGAAGGAGGCGGCAGAGGTTGTGGTAGCGTGGACGGCGACAGCCACAGCGGCTGCCAGTGCGCTAGAAGACACCATGGTGAAGAGAAGGGGCAGAAGGGAGAATGGCCGGCGGGCAGAGGAGGTGCTGCATCCGTGGAAACAGCCAAGGTATCGCATATTCGTGTGGACGCTCTGTGTCGTATTTAAAGGAATACTGCAGGGAAAGGTAAACACGGACATTGATCGTCGGACAAACACGGCTATTCTAACCTTATATTGCCCTTCCCTACACGGCACACATTAGCCAATGGTGGCTGGTGTCATTCAAAGAAACAACACGAGGGACCAGGTCCGGGCTCAAAACCTACCTTATATGCAGTAACCATTTCGCTTGACCGGGTAAACATGTAGTGTCCACCGGGGACGGACGCGCGGGGCAGTCCGTATGCGAGGGAATCCAGAGGTAATCCAGAGGCAATACATATGGGAAGAGACGGAAATCTTTCTGTCAACCATCTTTGGCGGCCAAGCATACGCTGCACTCCCCGGCGCAACAGTGTCGTATGCCATGCGGTGCATGGGCGTGTTTGGTGTCAAAAAGGTATTGGCCGGTTGTCGTCGCCGTCGCCGTCGTTGGTGTCATGATGTCGCCGTGAGGAAAAGTCACATAAAGCTCCTGGCCAATAAGATAGCATTGTAACCCTCAAAAAGTTCCACCCACACATTCGTAGCGTTGAATTCCAGCCTCTGTCACATACCTTGTTAATGTACAAATATTCTCAGACAGAGCACACACCTACCCTTCCCGCCATGGAAACAGTTAAAGCGTGGGAAGCATTCAAGACGATTGATGGACGGTTCCGGTTTTTCTGCATGGAAGGGATTGTGCGCATGAGCGACGGCCAGCTCGTCTCAGCCCGATGGAAGACGCGCACGCCCAAGCCACACGGCGACGATACCTCGGCCCTCCATGATGTTCGGCCGCTTGAGATACATGACCGGGGCCCGGTAATGCGACCGGAATGGACGCGCTTCTCCGTCGCGCGGGGTGGGTTTGACGACTCTCTTTTCTATATAAAGAAACCAACACTGCTCGACTACACCGACAGCAACCTGAGCGAGCGAATTGCCCGCGAGATTGCCGTCTACGAGCACCTCCGCGACCACCCACATCCCCACCTGGCCACGTATTACGGATGCTGCGTGTCTGCGAACGGCCACGTCGACGGGCTCTGCTTACAACGGTACCGCGTCTCTCTCCAGGAGCTGTGCAACCCCGGCCGGCTCAACAAGAAAATGTTTGTCGCGCAGGGGGACCAGCGGAGCACCGGCACCGCGCCGGATCATGTGCAGTTACACCCCGGACACCTTGACGGCCTCTTGGCCGGCATCCGCCATCTGCATCACCTCGGCCTCGTGCACAACGACATCAACCCAGCGAACATTATGGTGGATTACGAGGGCGTGGCCGACGGCACTGTCAAGCTGGTTCTCGTCGATTTCGACAGCTGCCGCCCAACGGGGACCTCATTGCACGAGTCCAGAGCGGGGCGGACGCACGGCTGGCATGACTCAGACGTGGTCACAGCAGAGGAAGACAGTGATCTGCATGCCCTCTCCGAGGTGCGCGTGTGGCTGTTTGGTGATGTCACAGAGCTGAAGTGGGATTGGGCGTGAGAGCAATGCATCTGCTGTCGGCTGGCAGTGCTTGGTTCACCGATATCCGTCCACAAATGAAAAGAAAAGCGAACAAAAAAACTCTTCCAATGGCAACGGGGACCGACTGCCTAACACTTTGTTGGTAATTTACCGATTCCCGATGGCCGTGCCTAAATTCAACAAGGCGCGGCATGACTAGGACTTGGTGAGTGAGGAGCAACAGGTGAAAATTTAGAGTCAACGGGTGAGCGGGCCGTTCCCGGTGCTCGAGACTGGGGAGTCCATGTGATGGTCAGGACAAGCTGTGGCTCGAGCAAGTGCCTTGACCAGCGATGTCTCCCGCGTCACGCTTCTTGGTCCATTTTGCGTGCTGGAGCTGTGAGACGCCAATGCAGTCAGAGCACAGTACGGTGGACACGCATACAACTGCAACTGGAGGTTTCTTGTAGTTTATGGACAGTGGAATACGATAATTTATGAAAAAAATAATGAATGAAGACGTTTAATGCATACAACAAGACAGGACGTTGTTACATAGGAGAGCGCATTAAATTGACGAGGTCCCGTGAAAGTTTGTTGAAGTAGGATCACGTGCTATTTCCTTGTTTTCTCCCACAAAGTGTGGAGCAAACGACCAACCGCACACTAAAAACAATAACCCCAGCATCGCATGCAGTGCGTTGATCACGATCGCTATGCGCACCGAGGATCTGGAGGCACTGGTTGCTTCCATCGCGCAGGCTTTGAATGCGTTTGGAATCCCTTGCGTTCTCTGGGGCCACTGTCTTTTGCAAGTACACGGAGTGCCTACAATCCTGGGCGTACGTATCAACACGACCAAGACGATACGCAACGCAGTCCCCTTGGCTTTTGCTATGTTCTGCTCTTCTAACGCATTGCAGTCCATAGACTATGCCATCCCCGACGATGCGTTAACGGCCGGCTCCCGCGCGCTCCTCGGCATCACGCTCGCCCAAGACGCGCTTCTGGCGCCGTGCCCTGATCGGAGCAGTTGCGACATATTGGCGCCAAACCGGCCCTCGCCGGCGCCATCGTTCCATGTGCATCTCAAGGACGACACGGAGGTGGGAGTGGGCCTGTACCTGCAGCGCGACACGCTCTGGTTCCTTCCGCCCTTTCAGAGCACCGGCGTACGTGCCCGGCTGCTGGCGCCCCGGGTCGACAGCCTGCCGGCACCGTTCTTGCTGGCCACCGACGCGACAGCGCTCCCCCCCTGGCGCCCAAGTCGTGGGTCCGGCGTCTTCACGTCGGGGGATGGCAAGGGTCCCGTGGTGGTGGTCAAATCGCACGTGTTGTTGGAGGCGCTGATGCGCATATTGGCACGTGATGACGGGACATCGGCCGGGTCCTTTTCCCTGGCCATAATCACATACATGGAGATGTATGTGGACGGCGACGGCTTCTTGGATGCGCGGCAGCTGCCGGACGACGTGCGTGCGCTGTACGAACAGCGCCGGAACCGATCCAAACCGCTTCGGCAGTGGAAGTGGGAGGTGAAGAGGTACTTCGGGCCTGGGCCTGCACCATTTGTCGCTATCACAGACTAGTTTGGAACCTCACGAGCCATGAGCAAGTACGTTTGTACGACGTGCGTCTGCAAAGTGTGGTATCTCTTTAATTGGCTGTGACCTGGTGTCTAATTGTTCATCTGGAGGACTTTGCCGTCGTCGAAGCCCGCGGCCTGCGCAAAGTAATAGCCACGTTGGTTCGTGACTGGAATTGTAGCACAACGGGAATTTTGTGCTTGCCATTCCGCATGAAGCTACCTTTGCCCCCACGAATCCACCCCAGCTTGGATTTACAGATCCCGAATCATTGACTCTTGCTTGTGCTCGTCTTTCTTTTTCGTCTTTGCAACGACGTACTAACTTTTGAATGAACGTCACACCCCACCTACACATCCGCCTCCTCCAGCTTGGACCGCGGCACGACGTCCTCAGCGGCCTCCGTCGCCCGCAGCGTCACAGCCACTTCGCCTGTCAGGAGTGTGTCCACGTTCGGGACGAAGATGCTCAGCAGAATGCCGATGCCGCTAAATGCGATGGTCGAGTAAAAGACGGTGCGGTACGCGTCGGCACTGGCGACCTTGTAGGCGTGCACGCCGGCGGCCAGAATCGTCTCGTTGAGGCCCGGGACGACGCCCGCGGCCGTGGCCCCCGCAACGCCGCCGGCACCGTAGGTCGTGATGAACGACGCGGTCTGCGACGCCGGGAGGCCGGCCGCCTCGAGCGCGGCCGGCACCTGCGCGGGAATGGTCGTGGCCAGGCGGTTGGACAGCACGACGGTGTACACGGTGCCGCAGAGCGTCGATACAAACGACCGCGAGGAGCCGCCGATGCCCAGGGCGGTGCCGATCTCACGCTGGTCGGTGATGCAGATGGACGCGCAGGTCGACGTCAGGCACTCGTTGGCGCCGATGAACGTCGTGCCCAGCAGCAGGAGCACAATGGCCCGCGTCGGCGTGTCGGGTGTGCAGGTGGCCATGGCGGCCAACAGGGCGGCGCCGGCGAAGAACACAGCCCGGATGACCCAGTGGAGGCGCCGCTTGGCGAACCCGGCTAGGATCTCGCCGGCGGTAATGCCACCGCCGACCACACCGGCCGCCCAGCCGCTCCACAGAATGTCGTGCTGGTCGGCATACAGCGCGCGGATCATGTCGGGCCAGATGACGGCAAACGCGTAGTAGACCGAGGCGCCAATGGACCACATGAGGATGCAGACGAGCCAGTCGCGGTTGCGCAGCAGGTGGACGGGCAGCAGCGGTTCCTTGAGGGGCATGTAGATCTCCCACGCAAAAAACCCGGCCAGCAGCACGACGCCGACGACCACCGTGACAATCACGTGGGCCGACTGCCACGGGTACATGCTGCCGCCCCACGACAACCCCATCAAGAAGAGCAGGAGGCCCAAGGTGGCCATCAGCGTGCCGACGTAGTCAAAGTCGCGAATATACGCCAGGACCGCCGCGCTGCCGTGCTTCATGGCAAACGACGGCGGGTGGTAGAAGACATACCAGGCGGTCGTGCACACGGCGTTCATCGCCGTCAGCAGGTAAAACGACCCGCGCCAGCCGGCGCGCGACTCGTATTCGAACGCATACCCAATCACGGGGCCGAATCCGTTGGGCAAAATCAGCCACAGGTAGCAATACGCGTTGGCCAGCACGCGGTGCCGCATCGGCACCAGCTCGCCCACCGCAAACACAAACGACAGCTGCGCCGACGAGCCCAGCCCGATCAGCGTCTCGCCCGCAATCATCGCCGGAATGGTGGGCGCCGTCGCGCACACGATGCTGCCGAGCAAGGCCAGCGCGCTGCCGACGACAAAGAACCACCGCCGGCCGAAAATGTCCGTGAGCCGGCCCACAATCATGAGCCCCACGGCGCCCGTCAGCGTGTACGTCAGCGCCACCCAGTTGATGTCGTCGCTGGGGCCGATGTCGGCATTCACAATCCCCAGGAGGGGTGCGATAAACGAGAACCCAGCCACGCCGCACATCAGGCTCATGCCAATCGCAAACATGCTGCCCCAAAAGTGCATCGTCCGGTAGTACCCCTGGGGCAGGTCGATGTCGTCAATCGAAAACACCTTGCCCGTGGCGTCATTCTCGCCGTTGTGTATGGTGTGTATGTTGTGCGCTGCGGGTGCCCCCGGACATGGTGTGATCGGGTCGGCGCCTGGCTTTTCATTGTGAACGACAGGAGCCTCCTTTGGCTCGTCAACAGTGGGTGCCATGGTCGAAAAGGGAGCAAGGGAGAAAGTGTCGACGAGAGAGTGACGAACTGAGGTGGCAATCTGAAAACAATGGTGTTTGCTTTATACCGCCAACGTACGCCGCGCATCCCTCACTTTCTCCACGCTTGTTGACGCTCCACCTCCGCAGTGTCGTCTCATCGATGGCGGAATTGAGATGCCGCTGATCCACACCGTTCTTAGCAGTAGCCTGGCCAGGCTGACCCCATACGAGGGTAACTGTACCCGTCCGTGACGGGCCACTCTCCATTGTTGCTGGGAGAATGTACCAGCAACAAATACCTTATTTCTGCAAATTGGCCATCAATCGACATCTAACAAAAATCAAAAAGAATATACCAACAAGCCAATGCTAGGGCTCTTGACAAGTGTAAGAGGACAGAGGATAGTGAGGCATTGGATATAAAGTAAATAGGAAAACGGTAGATGGAAATCCTCTTCCAGATGTGGAGACAGGGCCAGACACAGTGTGTAGCAAGCCGCAAAGCATCTTCAGGGTCTCTTTTCCTGCTGCTTGAATCCTTGAAGTCGGTGCCGGTTGCTCCTTAAATTCCCCGGCTATTTAAGTAGCGAGCAAGGCGGGTCGTCACCTCCTAGCCAGGCTTGGCTCGGGGTGGTGCCGTTTTGGTGTAAGTGACGGCGCCACATTTCGTTGCGGAGGCGGAAGACTCCAACGTCTGAGCCACTGAAAAATGGAGAGATATCAAAGCTGGAACAATTCGAAGCTCAAGTCGCGACTATCAAACGTGTACAGTCATAAAACATTATGTCAATTATTTTACTTGTTTATTTATTCGTGCTGTAACGCCGTTGCCATACTATTGGCTTGTTAAAGGAATTCAGATTAATGCGAGAATGTGCTGTTGTGACCGCAGAATCTGGTGGAACTGGCCGCCGCTTTTGGCGGCTTTGGTGACAAAGAAGTAAAGAGAGAGAAGAAGCCACAAAACGTAGGCACTATAAGGATTGTCTACTCAACAAACCCTGTGATGGCCGGCTTCTCATCCTGTGGCCTTGACCCATCACATCGTGGGCTCGGGGTTCGTGGCTCTCCGCCCCGACGCGCACCTTACCGTATTTGAACAAAAGTCTCTGATTGGTCGGTGAATATGATTGGATGACAGATTCAGTAACACGGCTGCGATGGGAGTACACGACGAGCTGTATATGTATAAAAGAAAGGCACGGGAGCCCTTGTGGTAATGAGAGAAGCACATTTCCCAATTTCTATCTGCATTTTTATATCATACAACCAATTTCCCAAATTTCTCAGAATCCGAAATCATGCCCAGTTTCTTCGGCTTTGTACGCGACCAATACACGGCACTTCCAATGCCCCCGGTGCCAGCCGACATTGCGCTGCAAACATTTGTCGTGACAGGCGCAAATACTGGACTGGGCTTTCAATGTGCCCAGCACTTGCTCAGTATGGGTGCTGCCCGTGTCATACTGGGTGTGCGGTCCGTCCAGAAGGGCGAAGCCGCCTTGGCAGCAATGAGACAAGAGACGGGTCGCCATGATGCTGGCGAGGTCTGGGAACTGGATCTTCAGTCACTAACCTCTGTGGAGAGCTTTGGTAGACGTCTTGCCACTCTCGACCGGTTGGATGCCCTTATTGCCAACGCCAGTGTCGTGATGACCAGCCGTCAGATTGTCGAAGGCATAGAGTTGTCCCTTCTTGTCAATGTCGTCTCGACCATGCTGCTCGCCTTCCGGACTCTCCCGAAGCTGCGCGAGTCGGCGCGCAACTACAAAACCACGCCACACCTCGTGATTGTATCGAGCAATTCGGCACTGGAGTCAAACATGAAAGAAGCGGTGTCAACGGCCCGGGGTGATGTCTTTGACAAATTCAGCGAGGAGAAGGGATTTGGAACCTTTACGCAGTACGTATCGCACGATATACGACAGAGAGTAGCTCGTTGGCTAATCGTCCTTCCTCGCCAGATACCCCAAGACCAAACTGCTCCAGATATATGCCATGCGTCAGCTTGCATCGCTGCTGCCCACAGCCACGACGGGCGTCGTCATCAACGCCGTGAGCCCCGGCTTGTGCTACACGGACCTCGACCGCAACGCATCGCGTCCCGCTAGGTTGGTGCTGGCTACCATGCGGATGCTGCTCGCCAGAACCGCAGAGGAGGGCAGCCGGACCCTTCTACACGCTGCCCTCGCAGGGCCAGACAGCCACGGCGCGTACTGCTCCGAATGCCGAGTTAAAAAGTACGTGTCCCTTCCCACGCTACCATATCCCATCTGTGTTGCCGTGATTCATGGGCGTGCAGAATCTAACTGGCCATGGTAGCGACGATGTACCTGCCTGGATAACCAACTCCAGCGGCAAGATCACACAGGAGCGTGTATGGGAGGACCTTCTCAAGAGGCTCGACTCAATGGGCCATGGAGTGGATGTCGCCGCCCTGACAGCGCCGTAGAGCGGCAGTGTAGTCTAACGTGGACTTTTGTGATGGATTCGGTGTGTACTTATTTCTTTCGCCACCGATGAATAGTTTGTTGTCCTCAATCTTGCCATCTACACGTAGTCTGCTCCCAGATCTTCCTGCCCATTTCGTCATGAAACGCGTCGACCCAGGGGTAAACGCGCAGGTGAGCCACAGCAACCTCCCACGTTCTGATTGCAAGCGCCTCACCCAGAACACGGATGCGGTCGGCTGTGGGCAAATGGACACGACGGAGAGGCGCAGAATCGTCCGATGCGGACATGGCATAGATGAAATGGAGCCAGAAGTGCAGCTCGGGGTGATTGCTCGCTGTATACGAACTTGTGCTGCTGTAGAATTCTCCCAATCGAGTCCGAAACAAGCCAGACAGAAGCCCGAAGTAGGCAGACCTCTTACGTGGTTCGCGATGGACGACGGTAGTCATGAAAGACAAGAACCCCAGCTGGCATATGTCGTCAAGAGGCTGTGGCGGTCGGGCCCCGTCGAGCGGGGCGTAGTCGACAAGGCGCTGGACGATGGAGATCACCAGGTCTTGGTACTGAACGGTGCCGAGCTGACTGCGGCCAGCATAGCTACACAGCATAAGGATGTCCCTGATAGCCGGTTGAAGCTCGATGCACACGTCTTGTAGCGGGAACGGCAGAGCTATAGACTGCCACCTGTCGCCCAGCAAGACATGATAGAGTGGCGCAGGAAGAGACAGATGGCGCGATCCGAAGATGGTCGGCATCCCAGATCGAAGTGCCAACTCTGCATCCGTGCGGCGTATCTTGTTGCCGAGCTCGGGAACGGCCGCGCACAACGCAACCAGCCCACCGGGGCGCAGCTGGACGATGCGCTTCAGGGCTTGCAGGTGCGTGCGGCTTTCGGCCACCGCGTCGGCCAAGTTCGCGCGAATGGCGAGCGAGATGACGACAGCGATAACACTGGTCTCTTGTGTCTTGGACACGGCATTGAGGTCGCGGCGGAGCAGGCGCATGGCCTGGAGCAAATGGTGCGTCGACTCGAGGGGCTCGTCCCGTCGGCCTAAGAGCTGGTAGCGATGGATGCCCATAACGGCGAGGCCGCAGTGAAAGACTGTCTTGCTGTCAGTAGGAGAGCACAGAGCGCGGAGCGCAGAGCGCAGCCCGGTGTCAAAACAAGAGTTTGACGTACGACATGGGCTCGTCGTCACGGTCTCAAACCAGCGTGTGCCGATCTCATTCGACGGGCGGCAAAAGGCACGAGGATACAGCTCCTCCGAGACTGCATTGTGCACTACCAAAGTGATGAGCGGTTGTTCATCTTTCACATATCGGCTTCAATACAGTCACGTACGGCCGTGGAAGAGCTGTCGGCTAAATGCGGTGACTGGCACCGAAGTCGAAAAATATAAGAATTCGAATCCGCAGAAAGGGTTGGCGGGTGATGCCGCCTGCATCGCCTGCACTAGCTCACCATCGGTGTCTGGTGGGGGATTCTTGGGTAGAAGTTGTCTGCCTCTCCCAACATTGTCCGTGCGCGTCGACTTCGTATTCTTACAACTGAGAAGATCTCCATCTTCGCGTCGCCATCGGTGGCCCCTTGCTGGGATAACTTTACCAGCATTCTTACCTTTCATTCCATGGCTGCGGATCAGCCGTTGTGAGCGCCGGTCGGTTGAGGTGTTACTATCGATGAAGAGAAACTCCATAGCTTCGGTGACAGTTGTGTGGTCCGATATTTCTACATTTCAAACGTGTCGGGTGGAAGTATGGGAGGCTTCGTATACAATTGAGCCAGAGACGCTCAACATATCATCACGCCAAAATTTGTTGCGGCTCACACGCTACGGAGATAGGGGAATTACAGCTAGGTCGGCGGACAGACTAGTCGGAGTTACCAACATAAATACTCCGTACAAGTGACTTTTCAAGACAACGATTTCGACTACGTGCAAAATAAAAAATAAAATGAAAAAAATAATAACTATATTATCAATAAAATAGAAATATTCATGACCAAAACGCCGAAAAATAAGCAATAAGAACACAAAACAAACCAAGAATAATCTTTTCAGCGTCTCATTTTATGCATGCTGCCATGGGTTCGTAAAACAGGCATGTGATTAACCGTCTCCCTATCGAATCTGTTGACGGGCCATCCTTTTCTTCATAATCTCTAAATAAATCGAATGTATCGTCGACGTGTAATTTCTGTATGTCATAGTATTGTTTTCAATTCTTCGGTGAGTTAAACGTACTTTTAGTTGTAAATATGCAGAGTGCATTTCAAACAGTTTGCGGTAACGAGATCGGTTATATACATAAACGCGACCATACATGCAACTAACCGACAATGGAAGACGTCATGGATTCAAGCTCCAGATTAGCATAGGTAGATCAGCACCTTGAAGCTTCCCCAAACCGCGTCTCCAAACCGTCTCCACGGTCACAAATACCCTCCACGAGCTCCATACAGCTCTGGTAAAGCTCCCATTCATACTGTACGAATTCAACTTCGTCATACCACCGCCGCCATGTCATGCTGTGGTCTGTGCGGACTTGGGTCGGGGGCTAGCGATTACGAGGATGGCGATGCGCGCGACGACGGTGAGCGGCGCCCGCTGCTGGCCAACGGCGACGAAGAAACACAGCACCAGCGGACGCTGCACCAGAAGCTGCACACGTACCAAATGGTGCGGGCCATGGGCAACGGCTACCTGCCGTCGACCACCCAGGCCGTGGCCAACTTGCGGCGGCTGAAGCGGTTTGGTGTGGCCCAAGGCGAACGGGGTAATGGCCACAGCCATCCTAACGCAGGACTCAGCCCCGCCGGCCAGCGCCTGTCGGCGCTCTCGGAGCGGTGGGTGGACCAGCTCATCACCCTCGCCGAGCGCAAAAACGGCGGCGACCAGATCCAGGACTTTGCGTGGTGTGTGCGCAGGGCGCGGCTGTCAGTGGACGTCGGCGTCGACGCGGACGACCTCGGGCAGCTGGGCAGCCGGGCCATGTACCGCGCAGGCCAGGCGGCGGGCTACACCTCGGCGACCTACCAGAGCCTGCAGACGGTCGCCACCTTGCTGATGACCAACGCGCCTTTCCGCCTGTTCCTGGCCGACCTGGCGGCGGTCGGGCGCGACGTGTTTCGGGACACGGCGCAGTCGCTGGCGGCGGCGTCGCAAAAGGCGGCCGACAATGTAGCAGACGTGCCGGCGGACGCCGTCCAGGCCACTGCGCATCCGCCAGAGCAACTGGAACAACAAGAACAACAAGAACAACCAGTGGACGGCGCAGAGCCGGCCAGAGAGACGGTGGCGGCGGTGGCGGACGAGGTGGTGGCGGGCGCCTCGCAAGTCGCGGCGGACGCACAGCAGAGCGTCGCGGCCAAGCTGGTCGACAACGACGGCGGCGCGCGAGAGCGGCTTCTGGGGCGCCTCAAAGAGGCCGTGGGGTCGCTGCGGCAGCGGCCCGACTATGCCGAGTCGGTGTCCACGCTGACGCTGCTGATCCAAAAGTACGCCGAGACCTACGTGCGGGCGGCCGAGGAGGTCGTGGACGCCGTGGAGGAGGCCGTCGACGAGGTCCGCGAGGGCGCCGGCACGACGGGCACGGTGACCACAAATGAGGAGGCCGACGTGGCGCTGCGCAACTTTTGGTCGTTCCTCACGTCCTTTGGCGACCCGGAGCACTGGGCGACGCTCGAGAGACAGTTCCGGGCGCTGCTGGACCGCACCAAGGGCGACAGCCAGCAAGTGGACGCATTTGTGCGGTCCGCGGGCCGGACACTCCAAGACATGCTGACGGACCCGGCGTTCTTTGACGACGTGGACGGCCAGCTGGGCGCCCTCCAGAAACAGGGCGCCGCGCTCGACGAGCAGCTGTCGTCGTCCCAGACGACGTCGTCGACGTCCGTGCGCGAGGACGTGGACGCGCTGCTGGCGCAGATCAAGAGGACGCTGCAGTCGGTGGCCAACGACCAGGACGTGGCATCCCTGGTGTCGACGTCGACGCGGATGGCCGACATCCTGTGGCCTGCGGCCGACGGGTACGTCAACACCGACCTGCTGGGCGACGCGGTGTCCGTCTACGTCCCGCGTCTTGTCCAGGCTGTCCAGTACGTCCCGATCCCACGGCTCGAGATTGTGTCCAACGACGTCGACCTGCTGCTGGAAGGCCTGGTGCTCGAGCCCGGCCGCCACCATGACGTCCATGCGCCCGCGCTGCACCGCGGGGCGCCCACCGAACCGTCGTCCTTCTTGCCGCACCGCCTCCAGGTCCAGATCCGCAACGACGTCGACATCCACAGCACGCACATCGGCCACCACCACACCACCGGCGCCGCGGTCGGCACGTCCGCCTCGATTCACGTGCGCGGGCTGTCGGTCGCCGCCGACGACTTTGGCTATGTCGTGCGGGTGCACGCCGGCCTCTTCCGGTTCCACGACGAGGGCATCGCGTCGTTCCACCTGGACGAGCGGGGCGTCGACGTGCACTTGGAGGTGGATGTTGTCCGCGGCACGGCCGACCACGTGCTCCATCTCAAGCGCGTGCGTGTGCACATCCACCACCTCGGTTTCACCCTCCGGAAGAGCAAGTTTGCGTGGCTAGCGTGGCTTCTGACGCCGCTGCTGCGGCCGCTGCTGAAGACGACCCTGGAGAGGCAGATTGCGTCGTCGATTGCCGACAGCCTCGGCACAATAAACCAAGAGCTCGTGTTCGCGCGCGAGCGGCTGCGAGCGGCAACCATTGCCGCGGGTGGAGGCAGCAGTCTCGAGACGATTGTGCCCGTGATCCGGGCCGTCTTCTCCCGGTACCAGGCGTCCGTCGAGGAGAACCCAGACGTGGACGTTTCGGTTGGTTTCCAAGAGGGCGCCACAGGCGTATTTGACGGGGTATACGCGCCGGGCAGTCTTGTGCGCGTGTGGCGCGAAGAGGCCGAGGAGGCACAGGCGCGGATTGACGAAGAAGCCGCCGGCGGTACGTATGTGCGCGATGGCTGGCGCAACGGTATTTTTGACGTACCCACGGACGAGGGGTTGTAAGAGTACGAGACGGTGTGCATTTACAATGCTGTCTTGTCACTTGGGTTTCACTTGACAGATTGTATATGTACACGATGTATCTTAGTTTTTATTGGAGAATCTATCAAAGTCGCCGTTTCTAGGTTGGAGTCTATGGAAGCATGAAAATGAACAGAGTGACGCAAATTATTCTAACCCAACAAGAGATCGTATGATGTGGACCATGGGCGGGATGGACGAAAAGGCCACGGTAATAGCACCGAACAGCCCCATGGCCAGGCTGGAAATGGCGGCCGCGCGAGGGTCAACCCTCAGCAAGAGGGCCGTTCCCAACGCTGAAGCATTTGCTCCGAACGTGACGCCTCTTGTGACATAGTCGTCTGTGAAGTTAGCATCTCCTTTTCGTAACGGCATAAAGTAGTATTTTGCAGACGTATGGCTCACCTTCTGGAATCCGCAAACAGGCCAGCACCTTGCGCCCAATCAGGACGCCCAGGACGCCCGACAAAATGGCCACCGCCGCCACAGTGCTGATGTCACCGCCCAGGTTGCGCACCGCCGGTGTGGCCAGCGCCAGCGTTAGACTGCGCGATGTAAAGGCCAGACTGCGTTGGGCGCTGATGCCAATGCGGTAGCACACAACGGGGTAGGCAAAAAGGGAGGCCACGGACAGCAAGATGTTGGGGACGACAATGGCCCAGAAGTGGTGCTTCAGCTCGTGGCGGTACTGGTACATGGGCAGGGCCAGGGACACGATGCTGGCGTCCAGGGCGCTAGCCAGCACATCGCCGGCGCCGGGTTTGCGGGAACCGGAGGCCGCAGACCACACCTGCAGATACGCGTTTCCCGGCCGGTACTGGTGCAGCGTCTCGGCCAGCCCGTCGCCACGGACGCGACCCAGCAGCCAGATGAGAAGCAACGTCGAAAAGGCCGAGACGAGCACCGGGTGCAGGATCTGGCGCCACGCGGGCGGCAGCGACATGGCGCCAAAGAACATGAGGACGTTGACGGCCAGCTGCAGCGGCATGGCGTAGCCGGTCGCGTAGTAGATGGGCACACCGACAAACAACCCCATCCCTGCACACAGCAGCGTGTCGGCGTGCTTGCTCAGCCACGCGGCCCAGCGGTCGGCCCGGGCGGGCGGCGTCGGTGACGATGTGCCGCTCGTCGAGGCACTTTGTGGACGCCGCGAAGACCGTGCCATGAGGACTGCGGCCGACTGCCGGAGCAGATGCATTTGCATGCGCGAGGACGTCGCAGGCACGTCGCTGAAGGAGCTCAGCGGATCGTCCAAATTCTGCCCGCGGATGGTAATGTAGGCGGCGGCGTGCGACGGTGGCGGCAGCGGCGGCATGCCGTGTGTGTGGTCTGTGGTGTCTGTGCTGTCTGTGCTCAGACGGTCGCCGCCAAAATCGGTTCGGAGCGGTGCCAGCTCGTCGTCGTCGTCCTGGCGGTCGTCCATGCCACCGTCGCCCGGGAGAACAGCCTGACGCGCGCCCTCCGTCTGCTGGTCGATCGCTTTGCGCGGCGGGCTCGTCAGCAGCTGGATCGAGCGGGTCATGTACGCCGTGGCGACCATCATGACCAGGAAGCCGAGGACAAACACCCCAATCATTTTGCCCACTTCCGTCGCCGAAATGGGCGGACTCAGCGGCAGCAGGACAAACGACGGCGTGAAAAACAGGTTGAGCCAGCGCAGCGACCAGCCCCCTGGGACATTGATGGCCTGCACGAGCGCTTTGGTCCTGTGGTGGCCGACGAGGACATCGGCTAAGAGGAGCGACAAGAACAAAAGCACGAGGCAGGCCACAGACGCAGGAAAGGAGACGCCGCCCAGTGCCAGGAGGCGGTCGACGCCGTAGCAGGCGGCCAGAATGGCAAAGATGCCCGTCGGGACGTAGACGAAGCAGCGCACAAAATGCCGCCAGTCGGACACGAGGACGAGCTTGACGGCCACTGCGGCGTCCTTGGCGACGGGCCACATGGCGTTGCTGTCCTCGGCCGCCGGGGGGGCCGTTACGGGAACGGGCCGCTTTTTTCGCGGCCGTGATGCCATGCTGTTCGGTTGCTGACCCAAGAGTGTTTGGACTCCAGAGTGTTTGTCGAAGGGAGACGTCAGGGTGAAAAAGAAACAGAAAAGCTCGTGGAAATGACGTTGTCTTGCAGTAAACGCTAGTGCAGGATGAGCCTTATGGCGCTCCCAATGCCGACCGAGATCGGGCCACGTTAGTGTCTTTCTTCACGTTATTTGGTGGAGTACTGGGAGTGAAAGCGAATCAGTTTGGTGCTTTTTGTTTTCTTTTTCTTTTTCATTTTTAGCAAAGACCTGCCTATTTTGCGACTCCACTAAATTCACTCTGATAAATCGGAAATTTCCCAAACGGGTAATCTTGCCTGGTTTTGAACGTCGCGATAAAACTAATCTGATTAGCGAGTCGCCGCTTCCTTTCCTGTCCCAGCATCATTAAGGAAAGTGCGACCATTGCCATTGCAGCTTCCCAGCCACAGGCTCTCCAGCACGCCAACTTTAGAAAACACAACGAATGGACTCCCGTCATACCACGCTTCTCTCGTCTCTCATGATCCTACCAGCAACGCCTCCACCCGGTCGGCAAACACGTCCTGCGCAATCACCGCCCCAAAGCCGTGGCACTGCACCAGACCGCGCAGCGTCGTCGCCAGCGCCTGGAGCGTGCCCAGCTCGAGACGCGCAAACTGCGGCTGCGCGCTGACCCTGTGCCACGCCTGCACGGGCGTCAGGCTGGTGTCGGGCACGCCGAGCGCGGGCGACAGGCGCAGCATCGCCTCGAGGATGTTGTGCGGCGCGGTCTTGGGCGACGGGGTGGTGGTGGAGGCGTAGGCGCAGAGCTTGGAGGAGACGGTGAGGGCGTGGTTGTTGGACTCGAGCGGCGACGCGGGGTCGCCGTGCAGGTGGGCCAGGCAGGGCTGCTCGAGCGTCAGGACAAACTCCATGCCGACGTCCGTGGGGTCCAAGTCGCCGACCCGCGCGGCCGCGCCGGGCGTGGGCGACCAGCCCGCGACGCTGGTGTCGGAGGGCGGCGGCGCGGGGGCCGGGGCCGACGCGTCGCTGGCGCTGACGGGCGACGGGAACATCGCCGGCGAGTAGCTGTTGGTGTTGGCGTGGCCCTTGACGTACGGGCTGTCCTTGGCCAGGGGCGTTGGGGGTTCAAGCTGGGCAGACCATGGGCTCAGGTTGTTGAAGTCGTATCCATGATCATGTCCATGGTCGTGACGTTGGTCGTGACCATTGGCTTGACCATTGGCTTGGCCGCGCGCAAGAGCCAGGGCAGCGCGTAGCTCCTTGACCGTGTCGTGCAGACGCTCGTTCTCCTGGACGAGGTGGGCTTCGCGGGCGCGGCCGTCGGCGATTTCGGCCTCGAGCGCCTTGGTATACCGATCTTTTCGTTCTCGGTACGTCCTGCTATGTTAGGCGACATGAACGTTGTGACACTGTGCATTGTTTACAACAGAACAGCAATGGCCGTGACGTACTGTTGTGCCTGGCGTAGCTGCGCTCGTCGCTTTTCAGCGCGGTCCTCTGGTGTGGCTGGCAATGGTCAGAACCCAGAACGAAGGGCGCAGGACGGTGATTATAACGACCGTATGGCTGGCAGCAGAGGGCCCGTCTGTCTATGGCGTGCTGTGTGCTGTTGGCACGCCAGAAAGCCAGAAAGACACAAAGCCACAAAGCCACACGGGCTGAGTGGGGTGCCATCAGAATAAGACTTACCATTTGGGTTGAACACCCGGAAAATGTTCCTCGGCATGGCGTCGGTCGTATGTTGGTTTGTCTATCTGATAGGGACGAGGGCGCGCTGTCCTGTGGATTGTGAATGGTGTCGTCTGTGGACGATGTGGAATCCAAGTGAGAGAAGGCCTCTGGCAGGCATGTAATCAACGTATGCGTGGGCCTGGACGCGGTGGGTATCGCAGTCTTCGTCTACGAAGTAGGCAGGTGTGTATGCACGAGGAGTCGATGGCCGGGCCGTCAGCTGTACGTCTCGACAAATGATGCCTGCGAGATTGGCCGTTCAGGCCGCGTCTGGTCTGTGTTTGTCAGGGGCTCGGATGGCTTGCCCCTTTGTTGTTTCTTTGCGTATGTGTGTGCGGACTTTTGTTTTCGAAAGCGGTTCGAAGAGGTCGCATCTCAAGCTCTGTTTTGTGACAGACGAATCTCCTGTCATCTCACTCCGTCCCCGCTGAAGTTGGTGAGCACGATTGAGTGGACCAAAAAGTGGAACATCCCCGGCTGTATATCGACGCCATACCCAAAATGGCATTTCTGATTACCCTGGCGAACCAGGGGAGCCAGGCGAGCCGTAGTTCCAGCAAATGGCAGAGGCTTAATTACGCCGTGCTCCGTGTTTTTGGCACAGTCTCTTTGTCGTCTCACCTCTGTTATTGTCCCAAATATCTCTTCCCCGGTATGCCTGCCCCGCTATTGCACCTCCAAAGGTCCTTGCGTATGTTAACCCGGATATGGAAATTCTGATGATCGCGGAATTAAATACACCCACATCCGACGCAACTGCTCCTGCGGCGTCATGACCGTCCCAACACCACTTGGCCTGTCATATGTAGGTCGTACGTCGTACGTCGTACGCCGTTAGACACAGACCCGTTTATTAAACTAATCTTATCCCGTCTCCCCGTCTCGCTCACAAAAAAATAGGTCGGACTTGGAGGCTATTGATACATCAGACCCATGCGATCCAGGAGATTGGACCCAAACCCTGGCAATCCGGCCGTGTCGGCCGGTCGTCTTGGATCCATCTTCCCACGCTCTTTTGGACTATGGCCCGGCACAGCGTCGGAACCTGGGCTAGGTCGAGCAAGTTTCTGTACCTGGACGGCCCATGCCAGTTCCAAATGTGGCAATAATGATGATCTCCATCGGCGCAAGTGAAGGGAGCTCCGTGCCAAACGTAGCAACCGTCGGACCTCCTGGAAAGACATGGACGTTCCAATAGCAGGACTATAAGACTGCTGTCTGCTACCTGAGCTGCCTTGTCATGCCACAGAATGCAGCTTCTCTCGACACCCAATCCACCTTACTGTTTAATTCACGAGTGAAGCAACGGACGCACCCTTACAAACGCCCACCATGCACTACTACAACAAGCTCAAGCTGCTCGCCTTGGCGTCGGTCCTCTCGGTTGCCTCTGCGCGTCCGTCGACCATCGACATCCGTGGCAATCCCGACCCGGAATCGTGTGTCAACGGCAAGGCCATCTACGTGGCGTCCAACGCGGCCAGCAACGCCGTCGTCGCCGTGCCCATTGCCGAGAACGGCTCGCTTCTGGTTGCCAAGGGAAGCTCCACGGCCACAGGTGGTGCTGGTGCCAATGGCGTGGAAGCCGGCGGCAAGCCCTCGGGGCCTGACGCCATCTTCAGCCAGTCGGGTGTTGCCATTGCAGGCGATGTAGGTTCCCCCGTTGCCCGGTGGTCGGGTGTATGGAATTGCAGAAAGACACAGTCCTAACGTCCCACACCAGTACCTCTTCGCCGTCAATGCCGGCTCCAACACGGTGACGATGCTTGCCATTGACAAGCACAACCCCGCGAAGCTGACCGTCGTCGGCAAGTCGGCCTCGCTGCCCGGCGAGTTCCCCACCACAGTCGCCGCCTCCGACAAGTACAAGCTGGTCTGCGTGGGCCTGACGGGTGCCAAGGCGGGTGTGGCCTGTGCGCCGTACTCGCCGTCGGGCATTGGCGCCGTCGACGCGCTGCGGCCGTTCAACCTGGGCCAGACCACGCCCCCGGCCGGGCCCCTCAACACCGTCTCGCAAGTGTTCTTCTCCGAGGACGAGACGACCCTGTACGTCACCGTCAAGGGCGACCCCACCGTCGGCAACACCGGCTTCCTGGCCGCCTTCCCCGTCCAGAACACCCGCTCGTCCTGCCACGCCGCGGCCTCCGTCGCTGCCGCTGGCGTCACCAGCTCGCCCAGCGGCACCGCCGTCCTGTTCGGCTCCGCCACCATCAAGGGCTCGTCCAACCTGTTTGTCACGGACGCGTCGTTTGGTGCCGCCGTCCTCAGCGTCGATGCGTCCGGCAAGGCCTCGACCGTCGGCAAGGGCGTCATTGCCGGCCAGGCCGCCACCTGCTGGGTCGCCATCAGCCCGGCCACCAAGACGGCCTTTGTCACCGACGCGGGCCTCGACCGTCTCGTGGAAATGTCCCTGGCCGATGCCAGCATCATCGGCTCGCCCATTGACCTGTCGGCCGGCAACGGCGGCGTCGACCCCGGCCTGACGGACCTGCGCGCCGCCGGTAGCTTCGTCTATGCACTGAGCCCGGGCAACGGCACCACGGACGCCGCCATTACCGTCTTCAACGCCCTGACCAAGCAGGCTGTCGACCACGTGTCGGTGGCGTCCCTGGGACTCACCAAGAGCGCGGAGGGTATGGCCATTCTGGTGTAGATGGTGATGGCGCAGACGGCGGTGTTGGGGCAACTTTGTCAGGTTCGATGCCTGGGTCGAATCTGTTTCTAATCGGGGTGTAATACGAGTCTTCATTACTTACTTCTTTCCTTTTGTAAATGTTTCTTGTATACTTATTTCATCTTCCATCGTTCCCTTCACTTTTTATCATGAAGGCGCTGATTCCGTTTTCAAGGATAAGTAAATAACAAAATAGCCGTGAAGAACTCACCGTAGCTGCATGCTGCTTTGAACGATTGTGGAGGAGACGAAGAGAACAATACAAGTGCTGGTATTTCGCCGTAGACATACCCGAGCCGGCCAAAGACGATGGACGACATGTACTCGGTTGCTGAAGGCCGCAGGTATTTGACTGCAGAAACTGAATCTGTCCACCAGAACTCCCCTGTACCTCTCCTTCTCACAGGCATCAGGCTCAATATCACGTGACTGTTGCTCATGACCCCCACAGCCCCCACCCACTTGTTGTAGGAGCCAAAAATGCCACCCTAGATGTGGTAAACAACCCACACCTCACCCACTCCTCACTATCACATCCTTGTCTTGTCTCCACACCCTCTTTATGACAATCCTGCATTACACGAGAGACGCAGAGTCCCACATCAGCTAACAATGAACTCTGCTTCAGATGCGAATGCGCAAGAGCTGTTGGACCAGTTTCTGACCGAGAACCCGCCAAAGCAGCTCACCGACGCGTTGACGAAATTTCTCTCCTCGCCTCTTCCGACTCTCCACCATCCTGTGTCATGGATGCCGCCTGCGGACGAGGTAGCGGTGCGCCTGGACCTCGTTCGCCAGTTGCAAAAGAACTTTATCAAATCGATCTGCGGGCTCGAGCGAGACTTTATGTTTACCGCATCTTAAGTAGCGGTCCTGGTTTTGATGCCGCTCAGCACCCTCGGGACCCTTGTCGCCGACACTGGCCCTGACAGAAACTTCTCTTCCAGAGTTTTTGCTGCTGAAGGAGGTCTTTTTTTTATTCGTAAGATGAGAGATATGACTCGTTACTGCAAGTGGTCCTGACCTTTTTTCAACTCTTCTATTAGCCGTGCCTATCCGAGTAATATCCATCTCTGACATGCTATTTGCAGTCCTCCAAGGCCAACACCCGGACGCCGCAACCAAGAAACGAAAGACGCCTGGACAAGAACCACAGCCTGTCGAACAACCCCGCGATGCAGATCTTGCTATTGGACAAGGATATGTTAGAAAAAACGAGCATGAAAAGAAAATGGTTCGTCCTCTTACATACCTTTTCTAATTTTTTTTTTTTTTTTCATTTTTACTTGGCCGCGTCTCTAACATCCTAGTGCCTCGAACGTGACCAAAACAAGTGCATCTTCACCAACGACACGAACCCAGAAGTTTGCCATATTGTACCCTTCGCATTCAACTCGACCACGACAAATTTGCGAGCATATACGACCAATTTCTGCTGTACAATGGCAGCATTGTTCATTGACCAGGAAGATGCCTTGGCCGGCAACGGCCTGGTTGCGTCAGGTCTAGGATGCAGTGATAAAAGCTGGAACATGCTCTGCATAGACGCCTCCCTCCATGCGGCATGGTCCAGGCTGCAATGGGCAATCGAGTGCATTGGCATCGAGCCGTCAGACGAGTCCCGGACATCCGACAATGAAATCAGGCATCATGCAGTTATTCTGGTTTCCACTGGATGCCGCTCCGACGTGGCGATGCGGACCCTGATAAAAGGGTCAGTCTAGAACCCGGCACGAGCGACTACCGGGGTATGATGGACAGGATGTGCATCGCTGTCCCCGAAAGCAGCGAAGGGCACCGGCCCGGTTCGGCCTCTCAAATGCCCTCCACCACCATGCAACAGCACGACCTCCAACCACCTTTCTCCGGCCAAGAATTTCGGGTAGTCCACAATACCCGCGAAGATGCCGAGAAAATGCAACGGATGGTCAACATACAGTGGTGCTGTGTACGGCTCGCAGCAATGTCTGGCGCGGCTGGGCCTGACGACCTCGACGACGATTTCTCTGAATTCGATCATGACAGAGAGGAATATGAAATTGACGTGTGGCGGCGAGAAATAAGCCAAAGCCGTGATGCCTAGGTATCATCCCCGGCCCACGGCCAAAACGTTGGCCATCACGCTAAGCCACCATTTATTAGCAAAGATCGAGCTCTGGATGTTCAGCAGTAAGGGCTACATGATACCGATAGTCATCTCCCGTTGTATTCCATGTGTTCCAAGAAAGCATCGCTCTCGACCGAAGCCCGGAAATCGTCCCACGACACAAAATAGTAGTCGCGGCCGTGCTTCTCCCCCGGTCGTGGCGCGCGCGTTGTGTGCGAGACTGTCGTGGCAAACAGGTCTGGGTGCCTCTCGCAGAGCTTCTGGCAGAGCGTGCCTTTGCCGACCCCGGACGGCCCCGAGATGACGATTGGTGACCAGTTTTGTGGTTGTCCTGACGTGTCGAGAATCGTTGCCGTCCGTTCTGATCCGGAACTGGATGAGCCTAAAATGACCCGTTAGGTATGAGCTTCATTAATGTGAATCCAGGAAACATGAAATGCAAGCTGCGACCACATCTTCGAACGCACCAAAGTGCATCCTGACGAATTGTACCAAAGAAGTGAACCTCACGATAGGGCTGACCGTCGGCTGCGAGGTTTCTTCTGGGAAGTGACATTGACGGCATATTGTCAATCGTTCTTATATGAACGAAATAAGGTTCAACTGTTCTTCCAACAATGTGCGCAACGCATGTGATTAGATTTGCGTGACGCTGATTCAGGAAACAATAACAAACACGATGAGTGACACACCTGCGGTTGGTGTTAGGCCATGATGACCGGGCAACTCTGCCACGCTACTGTAATTGCATGCACGAAAATATGAGTACAACGAAAAGCGCACCATCAGCTGCAATACTAAGTTGAGAAAGACGAAATACACAGAATTTCCAGCGGAGGGAGACCTCTAAATCGCATAGGGTAATATCTGCGCCTGGAGTTGCCAACCTTTGACACACAACGTAGGATTCACAATACTATGATTACGAACACGCGCAATGGTGCGTTGGTACAGACCGACAGAAAGTTCGGTGCTAATAATAATATCTTCGTTTGCCACAACGGCTACCGAATCCTATACAGAGTCATACGTACGCAACAAATTTAGTGGTAGCTGTTCTTTCCTTGATGCGCACACGCAAAACAAATACTGGCATCAAATGCACACATGTGATAGACTCCACCACAAGAGGGCCACCTACCACAGCGCATAGTTGCGACGTTCACCACTCTAAAACATCTCGGGCACACTACGTTGTAGGCCGCAGCCGTGCCATGACGACCTTACTTCAGTTGTGACTGCGGCAAGTGTTGACTGGCGTCCAAATCACAACTCACTACGAGAACGCCGCAGCGATGGCTAGACCATTCGTACGCACAAAAGAACGGTTAGCAGGCCACGCGCATTACATGCCCTCCATGGAACGAGCGGTGGTGTACCTGATTCGAACAATATGCGACACCAAGTGAAGCGAATCTTATTTTCCTTTTGCTGGCGAGACAGATTGTATGAGCCACATGAGGCCTCAGTTTAAACCTTCGCTCGTAAGTTAGTTTCCTGTCCTCCTAATTTGAATTATTTATTTTCCCTCCCAACAGCCGGGTCGGATTGGATAGGCCGCTCTCCGTAGTGTTTTGGGCAATTTCTTAGAATATGCGGTGTGGATCATTCTCAGAGACATACAGTCCTCTTCTTTTTTGACATCTAACGAAACCAACTATCGAATTCAACATCATCTCGTATATAGCTAAGCTTGTAGTCACGAGAGTCATGCTTACGGAGTTCACGCCTCTTTCCACTCGATGAATTGAAGGATTGGACAGCGCCGATTTTCCGCGCTGCAAGAACGACTCAAATAAACTGTAGTTGTAGCCAACCATTGTCAGAAGCACAGAAAAGGTTTGAACGATTTGAAAGGGTATAGACGAATTCGGACTCGATGCCATCGAAATGCTTGTTTTCTTCTGTTACACTAGTGACTCGCGGAAAGAAAACGACAAAGATTTGTTGCCGTAGGAAGGCTTACTTTGACGTTGAAATGGCTGTATGCAATGTATCAAAAGTAGTCTGTCAGTATCGAATGTGCATTGTAACTTCAAGGGCGAGAATCGATGACTTCGATTCATTTGTACCCCAGTACAGACGGGAACATGTCCATTTTCATTCAATGGATTCTAACTGTAATCCAGAACCTTAAAACGGCTTGTCTTCGTTCTCATATTGTGGCATCTACAAACAGGGTCAGTTATTGAGAATTCCAGAGCGAAGAGAGAGAGGAGCACCTTCTCTTCTATGCCCTCAGCCACTTCACGAGCAGAGGTGTATTCGCCTTTCCAGCACCGCTGGATGACGTCGCCCAGCGCCACGTCCGACACGTCGGGGTACACACCGCGGCGGAGGAGGCCGGCTGCTCGGCCGCGGCATTCCGCTTCCTCCTTCCAGTGCGGACACCTGGATGTGATCAGCTCGTACATGGCAGACCCGAGTGCGTGGATCTCGCAGGGCATGGTCCCCGTCGAGGTCTCGGGGGACTCGTCGTCGGGGTGCCGGAATCCGTCCTCACCCCAGACGATGGGTGGTACGCCGTCGAGGCCCGAGCCGGCGAAATCGCAGATCCAGATGTTACGGTCGGCGGTAAACAGAATGTTACGGCCGCCAATGTCGCCCCAGCGCACGCCCTTGTCGTGAATGTAGTGGACAGCCGCGGCGAGGTCGCGGCACCAGCGCACGCGCTCGGCCAGGGAGGCCGTCCCGCCCTCGCGGAAGTAGCCCCGGATGGCGGTGTGCTTGGCGCGGGCCATGTAGATCCTGCCGCCTCGGTCGTTGTCTTCGATGCCGAGGCAAGGCACAACGTGCGGGTGCGACCCCAGGCGGCGGAAGATGGCCTTTTCCGTGTCGAAGCGTGCCTTGTGCCGGTCTGTCTCGTACGGCAGCTTAACCACGACATCAGGACGGTCTTTAAATCCATAGACAGCCCCCGTGCCGCCGGTCATGATGGTCTCGCATCCCTTTGGACACCGCACCCCGACGATTTCTGTCTGTTTCGTCTCGGCCATTGGATCTCGATTCGTTTTGTCTGTTTGTGTTTGGTGTCCTGTGTTGATGATCCGCCAATGTGTGTTTGGTCTAGCGATGGGAAATTGGGGAGATGGCTGTCTGTTCATCGACTTTTCAGAGGATTCAGTACGACGTATGCTGTCAGAATAGGAGTCGCGGGAGAGAACGAGTTGAATTCGCAGGCACTTTTAGGCAGCAGCGACAGGGGCTTTTGTTTCGCGAAACGGGGTCAATCAGATGAGAGTATACAGGTCACGTGAGAGGGCCCGGGTTACTTAAGCGAAGGTTTCTCTTTTAGAATTCTGGCTCCAAACACACAATTCAATAATCTTTCGCATCCAGATAATGGCCATAGATAACATTTTATATCGCTTGGCTAGTCCAGCGCTCTCCGTTTCTGCAGCCGTACAAGAAAGACACGGAAAGATACCTAAGGCGGACAGCTACGTTCTATTTTTGCCCCAGTGACTGCCCTGGGCCAGCTAGTGGGCCTAACCATGTCCCCAGTCACTAAACTGGGCGCTAAAGCGGCCCCTGCCGGGCCTCTCTTCGTAGCCTCTCCTATTCCTCTTTTTTGCCCTAGCCCACTTTACCCCAGCACCAAGGAATTCGCTGGGATCAGCAGTGTGTTCCCCAAACACCCCAACTATTAGTGCACCCGCACCCTCGGTGTTCAGCAGGGTACTGATTGAAAGTCGGATTATTACAACCCACACCTCGGTGACTACCCCGGCTTTACCCACCCCTTTACGTGCTGTGCTCATGGTCTACAAGCTTGCACGGACCGAACCTGCCGTACGCCATGGCATGTTTTCAGCGCCTTTCGAGCCTCGTTTCCAGGCCCTTGGCCCTGCATGCCTTGTATGTCGTCGTTATTCTTTTCGAGTACAGAGTTTTTCATCGTTTTAAAAGGGGGGTTTCTCACAGACGCCTAGGCTACCATAGCTCGCTCTATTTCCAAGTTTTATGTGACTCTGTTTGCTGCATTTCAACAATATTCAAGACACGAAGATAGGATGTGCCGGCCGCTGCTCACTCGACATAAACCTTTGAAGCTATTCCAACCGCCATGTCTCCCATCTGCCACCCCTGCCTGCGTTTCCATTCTCCCACATTATCTGCAGTCCGGGCATTCTGCCCCCGCCTCTGTGTACGTGAAGTGCGAACTATGTTCCTTGACATCGTCACAGGGAGTCCCGTGGACTGGAGCCTTGTCACAGTAATCCCATACGACGAACTCTTGGGTATGCGCGGGTTCCTTCTTGCACTTTCCCGCCTTTTTGTGCTCGATGATTTTCTTGCACATATGGCTGGGGTCTGGCTGGCAGTTGTTAGTTGGCGCTACAATGACCGAAAGGAAGAGTATGATCTTGTCATGATAGCGTACTTGAGACTGTGTTTGGCTTGTTGCTTTTCCTGTGTCTTGTGTTGGATGCTTGTAGTGTGGTTGAGAGGCTTGAGAACAAAGAAACACCCGACGGAAGAGAAGAGGGCACAACTCACGTTTAAATAAAGAATATATGCACGTTTGCGATGCTGCTGGTCAGAAAATAGGTATGATAACAATGGAAGCAGCCCGTAGGCAGGCCATAGGCAACAAAGTCGCATTCTGCGGCAGCAGTCCAATAAGAGCATCGCGAGACATCTAAGGGGGTCCCTGGGGTTTCCAGCCGTCCTCCTCTTATCACATGTAGACGAGGAGACGCCGAACCAAGCTTTTGCCTGTTCGTGAACAGGGCGCCTTATTGCACAGAACACTTTACTGCCTACAATGCCCAGCTCGACATCCATAACCAGACCCAAGGCCTCTATCACCACCAGAGCCGTCGCCACCCGCAGCCTCCCGTGCTGCTGCGGCGGTTGTTCCTTTCTCTATCCTTCTCTGGAGCCAAGCCCAGGCCTCGGCCGAGCCGTGACCGGAACCCGGTCCCATCATATGAACAAAAGAAAGAGTGAAGAAGTTGCGAGGAAAAAAGGAAGGGGAAAAGTAGGCCGAAATGGAAAAAAGAAAACGCGGAGTGGTGGCGCACATTGCCGGCCCCAGCTCGCAGAGTGACCCCATCTGGTGTGCTAGTTAGGCAGCAGCCCCGACCTCAGTGTGCAGCAAGTTCGATTGGTGCAACAAGTGGTAGGGACCTGACGTGGGGGTTACTGGGCGGGAAAACAACGCTGGGGATATATGTATTACATATACCATATTGGTACTCCGTACCATTGTGTTGGAAATGCCATATTACAGCCCCAGATCGAGCTGACCGTGCTTTTCAAAAGGCAGTAATTTTACAGTGTCCGCCTCACTTTTGGACGAAATGCTGCGCAAAACTTTCGGCTACAGCCGGATCCTCGACGAAGACTCACCGACGGCGGCTTAGGGGACTGTCGTTTAGGGGGAAAAAATAACGCGCCACTACAACCGTGCCGTTCAAGAGCTGTGGCTGGTGTGGAGGAATCACCGTGCTTGTCTTTTGCTGTACTATCTTGATGATTCACCGACGTGTGTCTGGTTGAGCGATGGGAGATGGGAGAAATGTCTGTTTGCTCACAGGCGATTGGTGCGTGGGTGATAGTGCCATCAGCCACCAGGATGTGAAACATTATTGACAGCGAAGACGACGAACCGATAAATACACTGTTCCGTTTATTACATTTGAACGTGCAGTATACCACTATCCACGCGCCCCGTGCGTTTCTGCAACGACCCCGCCATCAAGCTACTGACCCTTAACATTTTGCTCACCATCATTCGGGGCTCTCCTGAAAAATTCACATACAATTGTTTTTCTGTTTCCTGCGTCGGCCTAGCGGCCTTGTGACTGTCACAATTCAACAGGGGAGCAGGCCGGACCTATCGGTCTACCCCATTTCGTGCCACGCTAACTTTAACTCTGAAATCAAGCTCCCTTTAAGTTGAAGACGAACCTTTGAGAGGCGAGATGGCTGAAATAGCAAGTTTTCTCCAGTCGAGCTTTGGAGACTCTAATGTAAAGGCCCACGGCAACGAGCTATTTTAATTTGTTTACTGGCACGCCCGGTCAAATCGTCACAACTTACGACTTACGGGTGTGTCAAAGGGTCCCATAACGCTCTCCAAACCGTGTCCGTTTAGTACTCTACGTTAATACTATGTTCTGAATAGGGACTGAAATACGGATATATCTCAAAGATTAGATTTATCTCAAGGATGTTGGGGACTCAGTGTATTGATAAATATGTGGGGCCAGGAGGGCTTCTGATGGACATGACATTTTTAAAGTGACGAGGGAGTGCGGGAAGGCAAATACTGTTGAACACGAGATAAAAGAAAACGACCTCATAAGAAAAGCTTCGTTGGTTGACACAGCGCTGCGTCAGAATGAGTATAGAGGTGAGGCATGAAAAGCCAATGATCCGTCCACGTCAACAGGGCGACGATGGAAGCGCTCGCCAAAGATGTTGGCCACCACAAGGTCCCCTCCATGGCTCCATACAATTGAGTCGACGTGGGGGTGAGCAGCAAGGTCGCCAAGCGAGATGCCACGCGAGGGCTGCGTGGACGGGTCCCGGACGATGGGTTTCCAGCAGTCCCAGCTGGCAACAACAGTGCCCGATCCCAGGGCAGCATAGCCAACCACCGCGGCGCCAACGGGTCCGGCCAGTGTAGCAAGGGCAATACCGGAGCTGCTGCCACCGGCGAGGGACCCAATCCCGACTAAAGCACCTTCGCCCAATGCAACAACGCTTGTTACGACGGGGATGCCCGTAACAGTGCTTCCAGCAGACACTGCCGCGCTGACCGCAGCGCCACCAACCGGGGCACCAAGGCCTGAGACAGCAACTACTGTAAGACTTGACACGACGAGAACCATTTTCGAGGTTGAAGGGAAGGGATCTGAGGGTGTTCTTCGAGTAGTACGGCGTAGAGCCTTGTTATTTCTGTATATATTCTCGCCTTGCGTTCCTATGTACAGCCTGGCCACCCCGTTGTTGCAGCCCAACCATTGTTGCAGCACAACTTCTACACGTGGATACTCACTATACGAAATCCTCCCCTTCTTCCCTTTTTTTTTTCTCGATGTCACCGCACAACGACATTCAACATGGCACCCGAGCCGACGGGCGGCTCGAACAATCAGTTCACACAGCAGACTGGGCTCAGCTTGCCACAACAACCGACACCTTTCCCGTCCCCATTCTGGCACGACTTGCTGCCGCCGATGTCTCTCCCCTCGCCGTCGTGGTTGCCCGAAACATTGCCTTCAACTTTCATCTGTCCAGAGACGGCCATTCACGCCTCACCGGTGCCCTTGGAAATCTAATGAGCTATTCCGGTCTCGGAAATGCAATTTATTTTGGGATTGGAATCAAGCACATCATCCGCATATCTTCGGTGACCATCAACGCATGAATTTCGCAGAATTGCGCGAGACACAATTGAATAGTCAAAGCAAACCCAAATACTAAGTTCACGACTATTTATAAGGTTTAAAAAAAAGTAAATCACTACAAACACAAACATCGTACTACTACTAAAAAGAGTATAAAAAGGACTATTCAGAATTGTTTTTTATATTTTACCAGCTATTTTATTTGTTTCGTAAAATTTAATTGAAGTTGATGCCTTTTTCGTGTTTTTGGTGATGTTTCTGGCAGAATGGTGGGCTGAAACGGGTGGTGGGCTAAAGTAGGTATAAGTAGCCTCACTCTCTCACTCCGCTTGAACACCAACAGCGCGCAAAATGTCATCTGCAACTGCAAATGCATCAAAAATGCCATTGTCGCGCAAAAAGTCTGCGCCGCTGTCGTTTCCGTTGAAGACATACTGGATGGCCGGATTTGGATTGTCTTCTGGAACGTGGAAAATGCATTCATTTCCAATCTCCTCCCACGAAGCCATGGCGTTGAAAACGCGCTCTGTGCCCTTGGACGCCGACCCGATGATGAGCAGGGCGTCGCGGTACTTTCTCAGCGGTTTGGGGAACGGGCGGACTGTCTTGGAGCGCCAAACAAGTTGTTTCCATTGCGGCGACGGGTAGTAGAGACGGACCACTCGACCCGCAGTCGTGCTACTGTCATTGCTGTCGCTGCCGCTGCCTTCCAATCGCTCCAGCACGTCTCTCTTGATTTTCATTGTCACGATGAGGATGGTTTCGGCGTCGTGCCGGCGCTTGGCATATCCGGCATAGTACTCGGCAACGTTGGGATCGGGAGCAAAGTAGAATAGAGAACTGGTCCCACTGAAGTTAGTAGGGGGACTGCTCAGTAACTTTTCCACGCGGTGCTGGCCGGTAGCGTGGCTGTCTTCATCGTCGGCGTCCTCGTCGACGGCCCAAAAGCCAGCCATGCGGGACTGGGCGATGCCTTTGTATAAGACGAGGTACCCAGGCGGTTCTGTCGCGTCGCGCGAGCTGCGTTTGTGCCAGCGTCGAGTTGATATGCCCGGCTCGCTCTCTCGTTGGATTTCCGAGTGGGACTGGAGACGGCGGCGCTTGTCTTGTCTAGTGTTGCTTGCCGTGGCGTTCGGCACCGGTCGAGACGGGCCAGACCCATGGCGACGCGGTCCTCCTCTGGAGGAGTGGGAATCGACAGGGGTGCCGGCGGTGTCGTCGGTATCGTGAAGGCGAAGGCGCGACGTCTTTTGTATTTCGTTGAGGCCCAGCCAGCGCATCTCGATCGTATCCTTGGTCCAGTTTTTGCACGTATCGGCGATTCGGATGCAACGGAAGTTTGGGTCCATGATGGCTTTCTTGGTTTCCTCGTTAAGCCCATACGCATCGAGACAGCTGTTCCACTCGTCGTCCTCGTGCTCAAAGTCAGCATCCGGTGCGGTACTGGGCAAGACCCGTCCCAGAACAAAGTCCAGAAATGGTACGAGGAGGCCGCCGGCCAATCTGTTGCTACTGCTGATGCTTGGTCCATCGTCCTCGTCGTCCTCGTCGGAAAGAAGTTCGCGCTGCGGGCCTGTTGCCGGCCACGTTTCCCACTCTTGCCACAGCGCCTGCGCGACCTCTTCCGCCAGGCCAAGATACAGCAGAGTGGGCAAAGAGATCAGCTTTCTTGGTACGGTAACATAGGCATCGCTCGTTCCGCCCAGGCCAGTGAGGGGGAGCTCGCTGTATTCTTCGTCGCTCGACCTGTTCAGGCGTCGCTTGTGCAGCCGTGTGAAGCCGTGCAGCTCGGCCGGCTGCGTCAGGCCTTGCCTGTTCAGACGGACCGCATCGACGGGCGCGAGGATGTTGTTCGACATAGTTTTGTTGGGTGAGAGCGAGTCGATCAACGGCCAGTAGAAGAGCGACAGCGTTTAGACGAGGTCGAGCAAAACGCAGCAAAGGAAAGATACGGAGCTCAGGCGAGTTTGTGGGCAGGCAAGCAGCGATGGTTGGCAAAGAAAAAAGAAGGTTGTGAATCGACCAGCGACAGCAGGCATGGAAATGGAAGTCGTCGAAATGGAGAGCAGAGTTAAAAGGTCGCGTGAAGCAGCTAACGCGAGGCACGCTGTGGACGTAGTTTGAAGCTTGGTGCGTCATGGTCACGAGTTCGAGCTTAGGGTCATTGAGTTGGGCGGTCACAGTGCAGAACAGCTAAGGCTCCACAAATAGGCCTCGATGTGGAGCTCATAGTGACGAACACGGAGGCAGTCTTTTCGCCACCTCGTCAAATAAGAAGCCATCCCCCCAGCCTCTTCCATATTTGTGTAACCATCGAGGCCTCACCCTTGCCCTGTGACGCTCAGGTCCTCAGGTGCCGCTTTAACCCACTTTGCGAGCAGTGGGGCGCAGAGAAATGTGGCTATGCGTTCAAATAAAGTTCATCACGCAAAGCGAACGCGGTCGAGCTTTCTGGAAATTTACCTCCGTATGAAAGGACTATTCGTAAGAACGAGATAACTGTTGCTTTGGGGATTTTGGAGGCCCTGCCATGAAAGAGCAGCAAGAAGGTGCTGTATAAGTGCCTGTCACTCCGGCCGAGTTGGCCAGTGCCTCGTCTCGGATCCATGTTTGAAAAGAGGGTTACTTTTGCCAGGGTAAAATCTGAAAGGATTTGGCATCGGGGGATCACAAACCCCCGAAATCCAATCAACCTACCGCTTTCATAGAAAGGATCACAGAAACCTAGTTCCTCCTTCAGTACTCGGAGTAGTAAGTGTGCTTGGAGGCAAACACTTCATGTTCATAGCACGCAGTTAGATATAATGACTAATATCTGCATACAGAAATATGACGTAGGGGCGTCCCAATCAGTCATCCCCCCGACTCGCGTATTTAAAGGCGTCGTCCTCTCTCCGTGTCGACTGGCTTCACCCTCGTTGCTTTCTCCTCTTTCAGCCCAAAACTTGCCCTGCATCGCCACGTGACATACACTACTCTACGTATTTTTGTCGTCAGCTTTGAACAATTCGACACGTTGACACGAACTGACACCATGAAGATGATCAACAAGGCTCCCGCCGAGACTCCTGCAAAGGTCCCCAAAGGCCCCAAAGGCCCCGAGGCCAACAATGCCAGCAAGGCCGTTCCGTCCAAAGCTTCTGCCAAGGACGTGAAGGTGGCCCACAAGGCAGGAAACGCAAAGAATACAGAATCTCGAGACTTGGACGCATCAAAACCCCTCTTCTTCTTCAAACCAAACGAGCCATTTGGCGAGTTCTGTCAGTGGTATCCCGCCATATTCACCGTCAGCAAAGCAGACATATCGGCGATTGTGGGCCACCCCATCGACCCGGACGACCCGGAGGGCTGGATGCCCATCTACTTCCACTGCGCAGAGCAGTACATGATGTACTGCAAAGCCGGCTGCTTCCACGACACCGAGACGCAGAAGCGCATCCTGGCGACCGACGACGCCAAAGAGCAAAAATGCCTCGGCCGTGCCACGCGCGGCTTCGATGCGGCCGTGTGGGACACGATCAAGAGCGACGTCGTCGTGCTGGGCAATGTGTGCAAGTTTGGGCAGAACAAGGACCTGCGCAAGCTGTTGCTGGACACGGGAACGCGCCTCCTGGCCGAGGCGGCGTCGCAGGACCGCGTCTGGGGCATTGGGTTTACGGCCAAGGAGGCCAGCACGCACAAGGACCAGTCCCGGTGGGGCGAGAACCGCCTGGGAAAGGCACTGATGAAGGCGCGGGAGACGCTGGCCAACGAGGCTGCTGATGAGCAAGAACGTCAAGATGCGTCATGACCCGATGCTTACCTTTGATACTTGGGCCTATTCGCTGCGTTTCTCGCACTGTGTCGTCAGTTGGCTGCTCAACCGTTGAAACCGATTGGCCGCTTTCCGTGACACGACACCTCCTGTACCGCAGCGATGCGAGGAACAGGACATTCGCCAGATACACATTTCGTTCTCAAACAGCACCGATATCCACACATTCACCTGCTTCAACGAGGTCATCACGGTCCTGGCACGGTGGAGAGCACAGACGACAGTGACGGACATGCCCATGCGACCAACAAAGTATCGCCTCTTTTACCGCACCAGTTGTGTCCTTTTCATCATCGACTGCTTGGTGCAACGTTGGTCTGGCGCCCAAGGCGGCCTCCGTGATCGCGGGCCTGGCCGTGTACTGCCTGGGAACCGGCTACCACCTCGTCCTGCGCAGCTTGCTCACCGTCCTCGTCAAGCCAGCGCACCGCGGAGTACTCTATGCACCGGTGCTATTGTTGCCGGTCCGTTGCTGGCGGCCGCCTACCGTGCCGGCCTCCGTCTTGGCGGCTCTGGACCGGTCTGCCCTTTTTTGTGGCCGTGGCCCTGTTTGGCACAGCCGTGTTTGTCCTGGCGACCGCCCAGCAGCTCTCGTCATAATGGATTGTTTACGGTCGTGTCGAGTGGCTACCGATGAATACCATCTGTATAAGTGCATTGGCAAAGTGCATTGGCAGCTTGTTTAGAGAAGGTAGCATTTTCAAGCTATTGTCGTTTGCAAACCTGTATATCCTTGTTCATAGACAATCGTAATTTTTATTTAAAACCAGTCGAGCCCGTGGGCAATTTATAAATATCATTATCATTAAAGTTGAGAGCCTCGGTCTACGCAGACGCATGTTAGGCACGCTTAAGCAGTGTGCCAGATGTAGGCAGAGGCACCGTTCAGGCCTCGACCGCTATTAAAGCACGAACAGTTTAGGGACATCTGCGACAACGAATTGTATATCATCCGACGGCTAGCTGAGAGAACCTAAAGTGTCCTCATTCATCATTGTGGAACATTCCAACAGGTTCACCAAAGGGAGAAAACAGAGATCCAGGAAGCTGGCTACTGAAATGAGATGAAATGGTTTATTTCTCGAATAGCTATTATCCTTTCCCCATGTCTCAGGTTGTATTTCACACTACGCAGGGTCTCTGCGACCTTGCGTGCTTGAAGATGATGCTGTAACCGCAACAGTTGGCAATATTTGTTTGATATTATGTATGCTATTTCTGTCGTTTATTAACGGCCTGCTGGTCTTTGGCTGTGCCCGTTGCATCTTCGGCATGCCGCTTTATGCCCCTCCTCTCCGACGGTGGGTTTGTCGTGACAGATCCAGCCTGCGGCTCGTTTGACTGCCACGATTCACAATTTTGTACAAATTCGGCGATTTCATCGTCGCTGACTCCGTGGACCACAGAAAAATGCCGTATGAGCTCCTCCAGCGTATTCATAGGATACTTAGAAATGCTCGATGAAGTACAGCCATCCTCATTGCAGACCCAGAGACCGCGAAATTGAGCGCCTGGAAACTGGATGCAGGCTTCCGCGACGTGCCTGCCCAGCTTGTCTCGCAACTTGGCGCGGGCGTCGTCTGTGATATGCTGAACCCAGCCAGCCAGATCCATATAAACAAGGGGCATATTGCACGATACTCCGCCATCATCCCGCACGTCCAACTTGAAACCCTGCGCTTTGTGCAAGAAGTAGGCGTCTATATTGTAGCAATTTTCGGCAAACGCATACCACGGCTGGAGGTGCCGCATCACGAATTGTCGAAAATCGGTGGCCCCCCAGAGATGTATCTGGTCGATCAGCGACAAAAGCTCCCAAGCTTTGCGCTCTGTCGTGACGCGGCCACTCCAGATTCGTTGGAACACCTATTCTGTCAGCGAACTTGTAAAGACCGGAAAAAACATACAGCTGAACTTACATATACAGATTTACTCATCCCCACACGCCCTGCATACTCTCGTCTCAGCCTCGGCCTCTTGTAGCCCACTAGGATATGCCAGTGGGCACCAAACGACGTAAAAGCGAACACTTGGCTCTCATGACTCCTGGATGACTGGTACTCGCCAGTCTTCTGGCCGACCTTCCCTGGCTGCCGTGTAAGATTGTCGAGAATGTCGAGGTATACGGCTCCTGCGGCGCAGGCTTGATGCCGTGCCACACGAGCGTCGCCGCTCCACCCCTTGGCTTCATAGACGGCAAAGGGAAACGCAAGACTTGTATCACCCCAGCGTGGATCGGCTACAAGGCCACAATGCCGATGCAAAAGGAGAGATTCGAGGCGGCTGCGATCAAGATCCCATTCCGCCAGAGCGTTTTGGTAGTCTTCCGGCCGGAACGTCGTGAGGCCGAACGTGGCGTCAGGAATTCGTTTGATAAACTTGGAATCGCCCGTGAGAAGACACGAAACGGGATGCCTTTGCTGCCCCATTGTATTGTACTCATGCTTGTCGCTTTTGTGTGAAGTGCCGTGTACTATGTCAGCTGCCTGTACAGACGATGCTCGGGTGGAGAGGAACTTGTAAACTTACACTGCGAGAACCGGATCGTTTCTCATGCCGCCAAAAACGTCTGTCCATGCGTCGGCCTCCCACGAATACTCGCTCTTGCCCCATCTCTCGTTGTCCAAGTTGTGCCGCAAGAACAACTTGGCTCTCAGCCGACGGTCTGCTTCGCTGGCATCATCCCACTCCATGCCCCGGAATGACGGCAGCCACAGGCTGTGATCGGCCGTGACCCACTCCGGCGAATAATGGTGGCGATAGTAGATGCCCCGGGCGTTGGCTCCCCAGTCACGGCCATAGCGCTGGAGCGTCGAGGGAGACACAGCCGCATTGCCAAACAGTTCAGGTATTAGGTAGCTCGGCAGGTCAGTTTTATGTTTGGAAGGGCCTAACCCCCCCTCCCCCAAAACAGGAATAAAATATATACTTACATCTTGGCTCCCACGTAATATCTTTCGACAGCGCGAGAAATCAGCTCATCCGGCTGGCCATGCGCACTGTACATGTCAACCATGTAATGTTCCACGACGACGTCTAAAAGCTCGATGTCTTTTTTTCTTCGAGCCCCCTGCTTTTTAAATTCTTCTATCCTGGCCTTCCAGAGCGGCCGGTACCCTTCCATGTCAATGTCTGATGGATGCAGACCCGAGCTGACTTTGTTGCCGGGAAGTTCGTATATATCATCCGGGCTGAGGAGCAGAGGTCCATCTATGCGTTTTGGCTTCTCGTCGGATTCGGCGTGTCCGTTCGCCATGACTGATGTTGACGCCGAATGTTGGCGGATCGAAAAACTTGGACTCGGAGAGAAAACGCCAATTTGAATGGAGTGCATTCAGCTAAGACTGCCATGGCCTGGCGCTCTTGCAATGTTCAGTGAACTGCTCTTTATAATAAATGTCATATGGGCATGGAAAAGCCTGGCGGCCGTTGTTGCTCCCCAGGCTGCCCATTCTGCATGCCACCAGGTCAGCTTCTGGCCTTCGACACGGGCCGCACGTCAGGGGTAATACGAGATACAAATTGGGGCACTAGGCCAAGGAGTGCAACATATGAAGTAGACTGGCAGTGAACTTTACTAGGCACATGGCTCATTGCTTGTTTTCCACATTATCCACTGTAGGAGTCGTGGAAAATGCTGCTTTTCAGGTACCTGCCATCATACCCAACCATTCGCCTCCACCGGAGCATATTGCATGTTCCGCGACAAGAGACCTGCGCAGGCCATCACCAAGGCACTTTGAGGCCGCCCAGAGCACGGGGTAGTTCTACGGTACTGTGCACCAATATCGTGCGGATCCAATAAGAATTAAGCATTAACCGCGATGTCGATGTGGATCCGATTTTTCACCAGCCCATCCACAGACCCATACAAGGTTCGCCTTGCGACTGCTATTTTAGTCAAGGCAGTAGTTGTGTGCTTTAGAGCGGCCCTCTAGCTCCACCACAGCCTGTACACGGTATCACCAAAAGAGCAAATTTTGCACCAACGTCAAAATGCCGTCGCCCGGGTGTTTTTTACGGCGGAAGGCGGCATCCCCATACGAAATGCCGCACTACTTATAGCATTCCACATTGTACCGCCAAAGACAGGGGAAACGGCGCCCTGCGGATCGGTACATGTGGCATTCGAGGCATTTTAGACACCGTCTTACGTGGCGGAGCGACACCTGGCAAGCCGGACCATTATCCAAGGCGCACGTACGGGCAATTCAGTAACGTAACAGAAGGTTGAACACTGCTCGTCACGGGTGCAAGACACGTATGGCTCAGGGTCTAGCTGGAGGCCGTATGCGTAACGCCGGGCGTCACGAATATGGCCCTTACGGGCCGCACCAACAGGCGACCCCCGACCCCTTAACGGGAAAAACGGGGTATCAGTGCGTCTGATGCCTGACAGGCAGTGTAAGTGCGACTGAAAGCTCCCAAGCTTTCAGAACGTGAGATAAAAAGCCGACACGACGGGAGTGCTGAAAGGTGTGCGTCGACCTTGAGGCTGAAGCCGTGGCGAAACAATCTAAGACGACCAACGACCTTCACACCGATGTGCGGGAGCCGAAGTGTTACGGCTACGACCTCCATGAGGCCCAGAAAGAAGACCCAAGGCGGACAGGGACGACAAATCCCGGATGAAGTGGCCAACACAGTACGTACTGCTACACTCGTGGCTGGAACAAAGGTGCTGGCGCATGATGGGCCAACATAAAAGCAGCCAGGACACGACCGTGGCCGAAGAGGGTTGGCCTGACCATGGATAAAGACTACCGGTATTGAATTTTTTCCAGGAGGAATAGTATAATGCAAGATTGTATTTCCAATATTTTAGTATTATGATTTAATTAAACTGTGAAATGCAGTGCGGTTAACGAGGGTCACGTTTTGGATCCCATCATGTGGAAACAGCAAAACCTAGGAATTCTCCAAGTCGTGTTCATCGAGTCCCATAATATGCCCGTCGTCCAACAGCATGCGCTCGATTCTTGCAGGACTGTATTCCCACTGCGTGTGGGGAATTGCAGCCGTGGACAAAATGGTGTCGTCGGAAAACGGTCGGCGGATGTGCGTTGTCGGCACGGGGCTGGCAACGAGAATCTTGACCACCGCCGACACCGAATCGTCCATGGACAAACGCAGGATGCAGGCCAAAACCACCGACGCATCCGCCAGAAACTCGGGCCGTTCGTAGTACGCAGCACCGTCCACGACGCAGACAAGCACAAGGTCCGGCGGAAGGCGAGACACGAGAGCGCCAAAAATGCCGCAGAGCTCGTCCAGGTCGCCATCAACGACGGCGTCTTCACGCGTCGCGTCGATTGGCAGCTCTGGGCCAAAGTCGTATGCGCACAGCAGCTGGCATATGAAACTGGAGATGATGGCACGGCCTCCGACATGCAGCGCCTCGTCGTCAGACGGAAAAGTAGAGCCGCGGCTGTGTCGGTCGTCTGCATGTAGTCCGCAGAAGAACAGCAGTCGGATGATGCGCGGATGACTGCCGAGGGTCATGGCCAATGAGGCACAGAACAAAGACAGCCCCGACACAGGCCACAGGCCGCGTCCATCGCTCGTGCCGTGGATCAGCAACTGGGACGACGCGGGCACGCGCAGCCAAAGCTGTAGTTTGTGATGGGCAACAAGATGCCCTGCGCCGCCTTGCTCGGCACCCGTGATGTGGTCGTGGTTGCGGGTCGCCATGTAGTCGAGATCGTGTCGTGCTAAATCACGCATGCCAATCCAATCAAGGAGGGTTTGGGGGGTGATATGGTGGCGCTCGGGCTCAGATATTGCCGGTGGCGCCGTAGTTATTACATACACAGGGGCCGGCTCACGCGGGGAGGGAGACAAGCCGGTGATGTGTGCCCTGCCGCGGTCCAAACCTGTAACAATGTGGAGTCAGAAAATGCATATAGCAACACAAAGAACTCGAAGGTCTTGGAAACGTAATAAGCCCACCCTGTATCAACTCGTTTCTGAAAAAGTTGATCGAGTTTTGCATGTCGTAAACCATCGTCTGAAGTTGGGCCAAGCTTAGGTGGGTGATGGACGTATCTACAATGGTGTCAGCAGACAGCTGGGTTGTAGCCCCAGTATAGAAAAGGAACGTGCCATGTATGGTCCGGCTTTGAAAGAGTCTGTCACTCTCCATTTTAGACAAATTGACCTCCCGGAGGAGGCCAGAGCTTCTGTCGTCCACGTCCTTGAGGCCGTTGTCAATTTTCTGTCGGTACTCGTCAATTGTGAAGGTGGCTCGAAGCAAACGTTTGTCTGTCAATAGAAGAGCAGTTAGTAGCGGGACTTCGATGGCTTACGGTTTTTTTTTCGTTTTTTTTTTAAGTTTTCATTTTCTTTATTTTTTCTTGCCGTCGTCGTTGTTGCAACTTATCCGGACAGCAACTCATAGGTTTTGGAAACAAAGAAGCCAATAACCAACTCAACGGCGTATAGAACCGACGCAACCAGGTCGATAGATGCCTCTCGAATGTTCTCGTCTCCGGGAAACGCCTGTAGGTATATTTCAACCTCTGTAAATGTACGGTCTAGGTTGTCCAAGGCGCCCATCATGTCCTGTCGTAGCTTGGCCGCCTTTGTTGCCGCCTATCGAGACCGGTGTAACAAGTTAGCAGTCCGCCAGTTTGTCATTGTGCAGAACATGAGCGGCCGCTTACCTCGACAACCAACTTGACAACCCCGAGCACCGGCGACGCGTAGTCGTTGTTCACGACATCCTTCGCCGTCTTGACTATCGACAGTGGCACCCCACCGGCATGATCGGCCGACTTGCGGTATACCTTCCGAAAGGTACTTTTGAAGCCTGAATCTATCTGGCTGTATTCATTTCTGGCGGTCTCAAGCTTGTCGAGCACGCCAGCCCAGTCGCCTTGACCGCGGATGCTGCCTTTGTCTTTGACCTCGTTCGGTTCCCTTAGGTGCGATGCTATGAAGCGATGCATCGATGGCGTGAATAAATCGTCCCAAAATCGCAGTGCGACCATGGGCTCCGCTCGTCGTCGCACAGGCAGTAAGTGCCCATCGTTGAATGTGGCCAAGGTCAGCTCGTCTGTTCCTGCCACCCGGCCGGCCTGCACTTGCTGTTGCAGCTGGACGTCGTACGAAGCGCGATTGGCGAATCCTGCGTAAGAAATGTCGAGGCCGTTTCCCGTGGAAGTCGTCGATGCTGACTGCACTCGAATCTCGAGGCTGTCGCTTTGACCGTGGAAAGCCATGGTATCACACGGGAGCTGAGAGCAATGTAAACTTGTCAAGACAAAGCAGGTTGAAACGTCCGGTGATTTTATTTACATATAATGCGGAGGGGCAGACAACGAGAGAAGAAGGCGCAGCGTGGTCTACAATCGTCTGTTTTTCTTTTTTTAACTTATTTTTCTCAGCTTAACCCAGTCTCGTTTCTAGTGCCTATGTCGACGGCCCCAGCTGTGTTGAAATTCCCACCCTCTCAAGGCAAAAAAAGACGAGCACAGGACGACATCTTCCGGTCGAGTACAGATGTATCAGCCAGCCAACGAAATCTTAGCAGACTTTGCCCCACTGCCACCCACATCCAGGCCCCACTATTTAGCGTCATATGGCTAGATTGGGGCGGATCGGGTCGTCCTCACTAGGCTGTCAAAGCTAGGGTCTTGGTGCCCAGAACCAAGGTATCCGGATTTACGTCGCATTTGAGGAATGCAATAGCGTTTGAAGACGAATCGTCATGAAGTATGTCGTTAAGTGGGCTTTTGTATAACTTTAACGCCAAACTTTGGCATTCGGTGTCACGGTTGAATGTAAATGCTCTGCGCAGAATACTGTCGCAATTGTACCTTTGGTGTTCCCATACGTGCGTTTGTGTGTGCCTTATCGTCCGTTCGGTAGCATTCTGCCTTGTCTTCTGGGTAGAAATACGAGGAGGGTGGGGCATGAATGTAATTCGCTATGATTTGGCCCGTCGTTGACGCCACAGTAACTTGAAATTAGGCACACATCTCTCGATTAGCCAGCCACGCCTCGCACATCCTTCTTCCTGACATTCTGACATCTCTCCCAATTTTGACCGTTAACATTAAGATGCAAGTTCTTCCTGCGCGTGGCAATAAATCCGTGCTATTGTTCGTTACCAACTGGCATCATCAAAAAGCAATATAGTGTACTCTTGAGCTTCTTACCACGACTTTGTTCCAACAACAAAACAAAACACCGTCATGGATTCCGACTCCATAGCCGAGGCGCTTGACTCTCACCTCGAATCCGCCTTAAATAGCGGGACAACAAGCGAATGGGGACGGGACCCAGATTCGTCGGTGTTGGGCTTGGAAAACAGAACGAAGACATGGGCGATGCGGGAGGCAACGCGTTTAGCTACCATTCTGGGTGCTGGCAAAAGGAGACAAAAACAGGACAATCGCGACATGTCTCCGTACCCCGAGGACGATCACGGACCACGCTCGCACCACCGTTCACAACACAAATCACGCCCCCGCAACGCATCCCCGTACTTCTTCGAGGACGATCACGGACCACGCTGGTACCGCCACTCACAAAACAAAGCACGCCCCCGCAACGCGTCCCCGTACTTCTTCGAGGACGACCACAGATCACGCTCGCACCAGCACTCACAAAACAAATCACGCCCTCGCGACGTGTCTCCGTACCCCGCGGACGATCACGGATCACGCTCGCACCGTCATTCACAAAACGGATCACGCTCGTACAACCGCTCACAAAGAGAACACCCCATTTGTGATCTGCGATGCATGGACTGGGATGATTTCAGTTCCTTCAAGTCAGACAGAGGCCTTGCGTCATTTGTCATTGACATCTTAATTGGAGAGCCGACCGTCCGGCGCCCGTCGCACCGTCATGTCTTCCGAAACCACCTGATAAACACGAATGAGTTAAGAGACTCGCACAGTGAGTCGTCGGTCAACTATAGCGGCCAAACACAGCTACCAGAGCGGATTCGAATCCACTCAATGGAATTGATCTCGGTTCTCAGGAGAACTCGTGGCATTCCCCCGAAGCTATTCAGAGACACGAGCTCCGACGAACTCACCATGCTTCGTCCTTATTGCTTCCTTACCTTTTACAGTGACGCAATCCGTGACATGCACCAGGAGCTTATAGGAGTGAAATCCGGCATGAGACGCGCATTACAACACTCCAATGCGTCTTCTGCTTCCCGTGTTCGGTCAACGGATGCCGTTCCTCCCTCGCCTCGTGATCCTCTCTGTTCTCCGGATTCTCCCGCTGCTAAAATGCCTCTACTTCCCGACCGCATCACATTAGAAATAGAGCACACGGAATGCATTATTCGCTTCATGGACGACTACATTTCCAAGCGCGTTTCGTGGCTTCACTCCGCACGTTGCCAGAGGATCTACTTTACTGACATCTGGCACCTTTACCAACCTGGCGACTTGGTCGTATCCACCAACGGCAAACAAGCCTACCAGGTTGTGTCTGTTTACACTGGAGCCCACCACGGACACAATTTGGAAAAGGACGTTTACTACGGAACGGGTGACCAGGATGCTGCGATATACTGCGTATCTGTTCATTACGACGGCATATCGTTTGGTCCTGTCACCACAAGTTTCGTTATTAAGAGGTTTGACGGTCTGAGATTGATTTCCAACATGGAAGTCATTCCTCTGCGTCACTTTCGAAGCCCCGACCTAGTACGGACTCTCGCCGGACTGACCGACGACGAAAAAGGACACGAAGCCGCAGAAGCGGCTGTTCGCAGCGAGACGGAGGCCTTCCGGGCGCGGCTGATTGAGCGTGGCCGCCGGTGTGTGGATGCAATGGGCATCAAGCACATGTACTATGCTGGTTGGACGGTGGACAGGCGCGACGAAGTCGAGGGCGAAGTCATGATTGATACGCAAGAGGCCCTGAGCGATTTTGTCAAACCTAACAACGTACCCAAGTTTGCTAATTTATTGGGGCATCGCATGGACGTCGCCATCCTTGACAGCCGTTGCACAGCCAATTGCTGCTGGGACCAGGAAGTACTGGATGAAGGTATTGTACAGAGAATGGCGAATGACTCTTTTTTTCCAAGAGCCTGGAATGGTGACGGGAAAAAGACTTACAACAGCACCGACGCCGAAAAGCCAACCTCTCCCATACCCGTGACCCTACTCCCACGCGAACTAGCCGAGATCACAGCCGATCCCAGTCTCCTGAGAGACATTGACCTCATGATCATGTCGTACAGCGTGTACGGCTATTTTCTGCGCGACCGTTCTTGGGGTAAGCATAAGCATTGAAAAGCCGAGACAATATGGGAAGGCAGCTGAATCTAATCTTTCAACGTCGCAGCGAAATTGGACATGGACTTTGTTAGTTACATTGACAGGCGGCCTAAATTGAACGACGAGGATGATGCCACCGGCAGTGGTCATTACGACAGCGACGACGATGATATGGGTGATGCCGTCGGCAACATGGCGTTCTCAAATCTCGTTCTTCCCCGAGGACACAAACGCATGGTATTGTCTCTTGTGTCCCAGCACTTTCGAAACAAAGCATCCCAGACCCACCGCGACGACAGGTTGGACATTGTCAAAGGCAAAGGTACAGCTTTGCTGTCTGGACATTCCATTTCGATGCAAATATAAGCTCACTCGAACGGCAGGAAAGGGATTGATTATGCTTCTCCACGGTGCGCCAGGAGTTGGAAAGACCACAACCGCCGGTAAGACCCGAGGAGGTCCATTGGTTCTGTCAGACAATCCCATAATTTCTAACATACAGTCAGAGGGAGTGGCCGAAAAGTTCAGCAAGCCTCTGATGCAAATAACATGCGGTATGGCTTCCCACTGTGCGATTCCCCGCCGCCTGGGCTTTTGAGACTCTGACTGACGGTTCTAGGCGACCTCGGAACCGATACAAGAAAAGTACAGCGCTCGTTGCAAAGCACGTTTGCCTTGGCCAGCCGGTGGGGTGCCATCCTTTTGCTTGACGAGGCTGACGTGTTTCTCGCGGCCCGCGGGCGCAACGACTTTACACGGAACGGGCTGGTAGCCGGTATGTGCGCGTGTCCACCATTCCGTGTACTCTTTCTATGGAGATTCTAACCGAAGCAAATTCTTGCTACGATGCAGTTTTTCTCCGCATCCTCGAATACTACACGGGAATCCTTTTCCTCACGACGAACCGCATCGGCGATCTCGACGAGGCGTTCGCGTCCCGTATCCATATGATCCTCCACTATCCGCAACTGGACGAGCTGCCTACAGTGAAAGTCTGCCGTATCAACTTGAACATGATCCGCGAGCGCTATCATGCGGCCGGACTCGAAATCAAGATTGACAGCGACGCCATTGAGGAGCACATTCGCAATCATTGGCGGAAGCACAGCGACGCCCGTTGGAACGGCCGGCAGATACGGAACGCGTGCCAAACGGCGCAAGCTCTTGCCGAGTATGATGCGCAGCCATCGGATAAGAAATTCGACCTGACGGTGCAGGACCATACCCGGGTGCATCTCAAAGTCGAGCATTTTCAGCGCGTGTCCGAAGCGTACCTGGACTTTTTCAACTACCTCAAGGATGTGCACGGGACGAGTACCGAGACGAGGGCAAAAGAGCTTGGCATCCGGGCCGTGGAAATAATGGGGGAGGAACATCCTAGCGACGATGCGTCTCGGCGTCTCGGCCGGGCAAGACAACCAGGTCGTGGGCGATACGGAGGAATGCAAAATTCTTTGCATGAGTTCCGCCTCCCCGCTACTACGCAGCTGCCAATTAGACAACAGCCACAGCAGCAGCAGCAACAACAGCACCACCAGCCTCAGCCGCAGCTGTATCGATGTCAACAACAGCAGGAGCCAGCCAACTATTTTCCATACGAGCAGCTGCCAACGAGGCCTCAGCCGATGGTATATCAGCGTCCACAGGAACAGTCTGTATCCAGCAGCACATACGCCCAGCCCTCGATGGAACCCGCTTCTGTGGCAGCCAACCCATTTACCACGGGTGAAAATTACGTACCGACATCCAGTAGCAACGTACCGGTATCGCCAATGCATCCGTACGCACTTCCAACGCAACAGCAGAGGCCACAAGACCATTCACGGTCGCCATCGTATCCTGGACAAGCTCGGCCTGTTGACCGGACCTCAGCACCTGCGGACCTCGGCCCCTGATCTGGTGGCTTTTGCAGAGTCGTCAAACAATGCGGCCGTCAGCAGTCAACCTTCCTTGCCCGTCTCTATAGTAGTGTGGTGGGTGGTACAAGTATATTGATTTAACGGGCTTGGACAATTCCGGGAACTCCGAGGACATTTGAACGGTCTTGATGCCTTTCATTAAATTTTTCTTTTGGTTTTTGTCGTCACTGCCAGCTTTGCCCATTTTGTTCAGTTTGTTGTCTTTTCGTGAAGGAAATGAGGGAGATTACAGGAAGTCGGGTGATTTTCAGGTAATTCTTGCGGAGAATAGTTTTCTTTGCACAGCCATATAACCAGCCAAAGTGTCTTTTGGATAACGCCCTTCGTGCTCTGTGTGTTTATTGCATTATCTAGTCTATATCGTTCCTCGCTCGTAAAGTGTAGACAATATCTATCCGTTATACTTTCTCTCTACCTGAGTTAATGTCAACTCCCATAACCTGACGGAGTATCAGCAGCACCAGCCTCGGGAAGAGCATTTTAATTTTAAACGTTAAAAATATTTTTTATTAAAAAAAAGTTTCGAATTAAATATTAGTACAATGGAGTTTGAGGAAGAAACTCCATTTATGAACATGATCGTAATAATGCGTACGTAAACAAAAGCATATTTTCCCATTAGGTACACAAATATTCACGTGCATATCGCCGCACTTATTTTGTGCCGTTTGTGAAATATTTTTGTTTACTCCGCCTTCTCCGATGCTACATGGCATTTGCGGAGTATTCACCTCCGATAAAAACAGGGCGACGTGTATTCTGCACAACTCCCCTACATAACACAAGTACAAACTTTCCAAGGCCGTCGAAAACAATACCTGTCTGACTTGCGCTCCTCCGTGTTCAAATTTCACAAAACTGCATTTCCGCCTGGGAAACGGGAAAGCGCCGTGGCGGGTTGTCCCGCAGCGAGCCGATTTGGATTCAAGACTGATTGTCACAAAGAAAAAGAAAAGCACGATCAGAAGAGGCGAATAATCGTACAGGCGGTTGGACCCTGATGACAGAGAAGCTGGCTCGTCGCAATTTTGGTAGGGGGTCGAGTTTGAAACGGCGGTTATGCAGGGATGTTGCATGCCCTATCACACAGGCCTCTGAGCCGATAACCTCAGCCTCTATGGGCGCCATCCCGGCGGCTGGGCGGTTCGTATTTGAACGGGCTGGTTTGAAAAGCCACCCCCAAAGTAAGCGAACAGACTACCGCTAGCCTGTAGTTCCCATCGGCAACAACAGTAGCTGCAGCATGTATAAATAGAAAAATACATTGCAAGGCTGAGGATGTGGTACCAGCGTTACTGCCGTTGCAAATCCGTCTTGTGTAATGCAAACACGAAATGTTGACGGTCCCAGGCCAGGTCCATAGAAGAAGGCCTGTCTTTTGCGCCGTTGCTTTTCGACAGGTCCTACCACGGAGAACATGCAGATATTCGAAACAAACATAGCCTCAAGGGCCGCTTGTTGGCCAACGACCAGGCTGCGACCACCCACACCAAATGCCCCAAACACCAACAGACATGCACTAGGTTGCAGTACCAGAATACTAATGTGTGGCCCTGTAAAAGATCATACCCATTGTACGCGGAGTATCTCAAGCCAACGTCAAGTGTTGGGTTAGCCGCCGACGGATAACTGTGCCGACCAGTTGCCTACTGCCATTTATCAGTGCCAGTAGTCTCTTTTGCTCGACCTCGCTACAGCTCCTCATTGTGTGATTTTTTTTAAAAAAACAAACTCTCGACAAAGACATCAAGTCTGTCAAGGCCAACTTTCGTATTTCATTTTTTTGACTTGATATTTTATTGTGTTTTTGCTTTTAATTTTGGCTCAATTTACGCTTTGATTCAATTTCGTTCTTTTTCTTTTTTAAAACATATTTTCCACCCCAATTTCCTCATAACCAAGACGCATCCACTTGCCACGTCCGCCTCGTGCGCGACACCAGCCAAAAGACATGTCTGGTCGCGAAGCAGCCCGGAAGGTGGTGGACGACATTGCGGAACATAATGGATATATCCCTCCCCAGGTTTTGACGATAATAAAGACGAGTGCTCCAAAAGATGAGTTTGACCGTGCGATGAAGGGCATCGAGAATCTCCGGCGAGGTGCGTCCGAGTCGGTCAAGACGTACGTACATAAACTCCGCGACGTGACACGATCGTGCTCCTGCTAACACCCTCGACAGACTAGCAGAGAACTTGTACTCGAGTAGCGCCAAGTTCGTCTTTGAGATGCTCCAGAATTTCGACGACAACAAGTACGAACGTGCCGATGGCCCGCCGAGCGTGGCGTTTTGTGTGTACCCGGACCGTATTGTTGCCTCGTGCAACGAGGACGGCTTCACGGCCGAGAACGTCAAGGCCATCTCCAGCCTGGGTAAAAGCTCAAAGAATGCAGAGAGCCTCTTGGCCGGCGAGGATGGATACGCGGGCGAGAAGGGCATTGGCTTCAAGTCGGTGTTCATGGCGGCCGAGCAAGTGCACATCCAGTCGGGGGACTACTCCTTCATGTTCAAGTACCGCAAAGGCGACTCGGGCATCGGCATGATGACGCCCGTCTGGACGGAGCACGACGACGACCTCGATGCCAAGCGCACCCATATTACGCTGACGCTGCGCCGGGACGGCGGGCCGGACGAAGTCCAGAAGCGACGCGAGATCATCGAGGAGCAGTTTCGCACCATCCACGACTCGATCCTCCTTTTCATGAAGAAGTTGACGCAAATACGGATCTCGTTTCACGACGCCGCGAATGTCTTGACATCGGCCACGACCTATACCGTGGATCGTGGTATGTGCAAGACGGCCGTGAAAAAGTCCACGTCCACATTCGACAGCAACCGCAAAGAAACCGTTGTGGACGTCGTCCGACACTTTATCATCTTCAAGCACGTCGTCAGCAACCTCGCCCCCAACGAGAACCGAAAGAGACGAGACGGCGACGCGCCTGTAAAGAACAAGTCGTCTGGCGTGGTGGTGCTCGGCTTTCCCGTAGACGGCAACGACGTGCCCGTTATTGCAAACCAGTACCTTTATGCATTTCTACCCGTAAAGCAGTTGGGGTTCAAGGTGCGTCAAAATACCCCGAGAAGGTGCCCCGTGTCGTTGCTTTGGCGAATTTCTAACCAGACACGGCCACAGTTTCTGATCCACGCCGACTTCGTCACCCCGGCCAACCGAGAAGACATTGTCCTCACCTCACAGCGGAACCGGGACTTGGCTGTTGGCATAAAACATGCCTTTCTCAAGGCGGTCCTCTGGTGTTCCCAGCACAACACGCTTGCATACCAATGGATGCGCTACCTACCGCGCGTCGATGCATTTCCCTGGGAGCCGTTTTGGGTCGATCTGATATCAAACATTCGCAACGAGATTCAGAGCCAAATCGTCATGGTGCCAACGAACAAGAGCCGTCGTACAGCCATAGCCGACTGCCAACGCCTTCCACCCACCATGGTCGATGCCAATGGCGATCCCCTTTTGGCAGATCTCTCACCGGGATGTTATCTCTCCCAACAGTACAAGGCAGCCGACCTGGACCTGCTGACGGACTGCGGGCTGAGAACGCTGTCAATCCACGAGTGGCTGGATCGCCTGGCTGTCGACCTTGCCGGGAACAAGTCGTTCATGCGGACGACGACCAGCGAGGACTGGCACACGCGCGTGGCTGAGCTGCTTGTCGCAGCGTTCAAATTGCTGCCATCACACATGCGATCACGCCTGACTCAGTTGGAGCTGATCCCCGTCCAGCACCAAAAGTGGGTGTCTGTGGAGTCCGTGCCAGTGTTTTACCCCAACGTCGAGGGCATGGACGTGGCGATCCCCAACGGGCTTGGGCTCAATGTGGTCGATATCCGTGCCGCCGCCAATCCCGCGCGGAAGCGTCTGTTTGACGTTCTCGGGGTGAAAACCGCGCGCCCATTTTTTGTTCGTAGTGCCATTTTCGACACAAACCGATCACGGGTCTCCCTCTTTATCTCTGACGCCGTTGCCCACCTTCAGTTTTTATACAGGACCCAGCATGTTACCACGCCTCCGCACGGCTACAGTCGCCTCCATGTTGTATCGCGAGACGGATCCTTGGGAAATAACCTCACCGAAAGGTATCTCGCGGACGGCAGCCCGTATGGCGCGGATATTCTGTTGCCAAACAGGAATGGCGCACCGGGTTTGCCGTCCGTCTTCATTTTACATGACGAGTATCTCCGTGATCCACCAACTCCGCCAACACCGACAAGCCAGTCATGGAAGGATTGGCTCTACGACCAGGTCGGTGTTCGTCGCTATCTACCTCTTGTTTCTCAATCTGGAACGGGCACCTCTGCCATTTGCAAGTACGTTGCAAAACACCGCCCAGACAAGTTTGCAGGCTTCCTCATCGCCGCATGGGGCAAGGTTCTGTTGACTACCAAAGGTCAAACCGCCATCGTTGAGGAGCTGAACGAAGTCGAGGTTCGCTGTAAAGGTGGGAGGAACGTCCCTCTTCGTAGGGCCTATTTGCCGATTCCCTCCCTTGAAGCATTGGCGAGCAATTTTCTGGAAGACGAATTTTTTCCCTGGCTGGAGCTAGACTTCCCTCAACAGGATGGCGACGTGTACCCACAGAAATGTTTGGCAGTGGGACAGTCGTTTGGTCTTGGGCACAACTGTTCCACGATAGCATTTCTTCTGGACGTGTTAAGACACATCAAGAGGATGAACAACACCACTAGCGCCCTGAAAAATCCAAAACGCATCTATGAGCTATACATCCGCCTTGAGGCCGAGATCCAGGCATCGGAGTGGGAGGTTCGGTATGTGTTATCATCTGCACTTGCCACTGGGCTTACCTATGAAACTAACAGTTGCCTTTCCAGGACCGCTTTTCAATCAGAGCCTCTTATTTTTGTTCCTGGGAGCCGCATACGCCCACAACATTGGACTGTACCCAAGGTGTGTGTATGGCAAGCCCCAGCCAACATTGTGTCCAAGACTCCATTGGCCAGAGTCTGTGCCGAGCACTTTCAAGCGTTGTACACGTCGACAGAGGCATATTCCAGTCTGCAAAGCTTCTTCTCTACGACATTAGAGATACGCAACGCTGACTGGGTCGACCTCGTGAATGAAATCTCTCATGTCAGGCGCTTGGATACGTGCGACATTGCCAGGATCACGTCGCTGTACATCGCTCTTGCGAATGTATCCGCAAAGTTTATTGAAGCGGAGTGGCTGTAAGTCTGTCCATCGCATTTTGTCTCCAATCACAACTGGGCTGCTATTGACGAAAACGCAATACAACAACAGGGAGATGAAAAATCGATTTGACACCGAGCCTTTGATTTGCGGCTTCGGGACGACGGTATCTGGGGACAACATCGCCAGCAAGCCGTGGTGCTATTCCGCCCAGTGTTTGTGGACGAGTGCAACTCCGATACCTGGGAAGATCACCCTCGACCACCTCTATCCGGAGCTCGAGGACTTTTTTGTGAAACTGGGCGTGGGAAACATGACGGTAGAAATGGTCTACGAAAAGCTGACGGGACCGGCGCTCTCCGTCGACGACGCAAAGCAGACCATTATGACGTTTAACGAATTGATCATCCGTGGGGACGTACCCGACAGCTTGGACCCCAGCAAGGTCCATATGCGGCCACTGTTTCCCGTCAAGCTCCCCGATGGCGACGTGCGTCTTTTCACGGGCCAGAGCCAATTTGCGATACCCGACCGCCACCATCTCTTGCGTTGTTTCTCTGGAAAAGCAAACATCCTGGACTTCGACCTGGAAACAAATCGGACTCTGGTGCCCTTTTTCGAGTGGGTGGGTGTGCACGACAAATACTTGTCCAGGACCGTGCATGAGAGCACGTGTGTTCCCTACGACGATGGCCGACCCATAACGTCCCCGGACCGTGATGTTCGACGAAAGGCTCGTGCCTTGACCAGGTTCGTACCCGCACTTGTACAAGAAACAAAAAGGGACACGTGCTAATTTGACTTGTCATTGCCAATAGCCTCGCCATAGCGTATGGCAGTCCCCGAGTAGAAGACAACCAAATAGCCTCGTTTTACGCCACGTTGAAGCAAGCCAAGACGATTGAGACAGACAAGATCACGTCACAGCTCGAGTTGACGCAAGATGACGGCCCCATAGCCGTCAGATGGGCATCGCCAACTACTGCGGCCATCCAGTACGCTTCCGACACTCTCAAAATCTACGTCGCACAGGACGCGGTGCGACAGGACGTTGGCTTTATCGGCACGCTGCCCAAGCTGCTGTGCGAGTGGATCATGATGGCGCCTGCAGTGCAACTCGAAGAAGCAAAGTATAGCCCCTATTCGCCGCCAGTGTGCTGGGAGTTGATACCGCCGGAGATGGTGGAGGCCGTGCGATCCGTCTTGTGTGCAAAGCCGATCGCCATGAAGCACATCCTCGAGCACCATGGCTTCAGCCTCGTTGCCCCACCCGACGGGAGATACGATGACTACGAATCTGACTCGGACGACGACAGTGAGGCGGGGACCGAGGACGCCGAAGACTATGAAAAGGACCTGGCGGTTGTGTTATTGTCGACGCCCAGCGGGCAGGATAGCTACACGAGCTACACGGGCAGCCAAGATACGTTGAGCACGCCCAGTCGCTCTCAGGTAGGAAGAGATGCCCTTCTTCTACGGACCCCGTCGCCGACGGGGAGACACGGTCGGAAATTGAGCACTGACGAGGCCGATGTCCTTTTGTCATCCGCATTGGCTGGCTTCAGCATTACTCCTCCAGGGCGATAGCCTTGCCGGCCAAGTCCCCAGTCCTACGTCACTTGAGCAGGCTTGGAGGCGGAACGAGCCAATAGCATCGTTTTCTTTGGCTGCGTCTTTTATGTTTATTTTGAGCCATTCTTGTATTGTAATTTAATGACCATTTCCATTGCTTCAGCGTACCAAGATTATCATCTAGTTATCACTTCATCACAACAGACCAATAAAGCCGCCGTCTTTCATTGCATCTTGCATCCAAATCGCAAGGTCGTGCCTTTGTTAAGCGAGATATTTCAGCAGTTCTCCAAGGTTCCCTAGAAGCTGTATTGCAAAGTGTGCAAAAGATACAAGAAAGTAAATGTGGCATATCTAACGGCCAAAGTCCGTGTTGGCCATGTCATCTGCTGCATGTACGGCAAGCCACTGAATCCCCCGCAGCCATACGAGTACATCAGTCTCGTCACGGCGCAATATTCCCATTCGAGGACCCCGCAGCGTAGTTCAGGCATACGACAGGCCGCCGTCTGTACGTTTTGCACATCGCGTCCCACCCCCATGGCACTGGCACGACCACGGTAACGACAACAACAAAAGCGGGCCCATCATCTGGCTCGACGGTCTCAGCCTGTCGCTGTTCCGCCACATACACCGTGCACAGGGCCGAGCTACACAGCGCGCGTCGACAGGACGCCTTGAAATCATTGAATCTCCCGCAACCATACGAGTGCATCAGTCGAACAAGGACTCAATATTTCCATTTGAGGAACCTGTAGCGTAGTTCGGGCAGCACACAGGCAGCCGTCTGTACGTTTTGCACAGTGATTCGTCCATCGTCATGGCCTTTTCGTACGTCGGGCACCAACGAGCTCCTGCCGCCAATGAATGCTCGAATACCAGATGCGACGATTGTCAAGTAGGCTGTAATGCACATTTGCAAAAAGGTATATGCCTTGCAGCACAATACACGTGGCGAAATAAAAGGGAATGGCGGCATTGCCTCTCGTGACAGGAAAGCCCCCCTGGCGGCGTGGCGATGAGCTGCCTGTTTATTTGTGACCAAAGTCAAAATGTCAGCACGATCCACGCGTCGATCCACAGAGTCCCCCCCGCTAGGGTGTCATTTTGTTGTTTGTGTGTACCACAAGGATCAAGTTTGACGGGCCCGTCCAGCGGCCTACATCAAGAACCACCGCGATGGGGACCTTGTCCTATTATGAGTAAGTCGTGATCCCAAGCGATGGCAAAGCTTTCTTTGCACCGTGTGCGCTGCTAACACGACGTAACCTAGGATTCTCTCGTCCGCCCCGCTCACGTTTGTGGTCGGCCCTAGCGGGACAGAGTTTGCCATGCATTCTGCCCTCGTCGCCGCCCAGTCGCGTTCTCTCAGATTGCTCGTCAACGATTACAGGCAGGAAGCTCTCGGACGACGCGTCGAATGGCCGTGGACCGATGAGGCAACATTTTTGTTCTTCTCCGAGTTTGCCTACACGGGAGACTACAACGGCCCAGAATGTTATATTACCGCTCCCCCCGAATATGAGCAGCAAGCGGCGGCAGACGATGATGACTGGGACACACCGGAGCCAACGCCGGAAAAGAACAGAGAATCATCGACACTGGCCGTGGCCAAGAAACGGTCTTCGGTTGCCGCTGCGCGGCTTCCGAGGCGATTCACGAAGGCGTGCCCTGATGATTTCTGCAACCATGACGAAGTGAATTGGCCCGATAGTTTCGCCGTTCTCAGCGCCCACGCCCAAATGTATTTGTTTGCAGACCAGCACGGCATTAAGCCGTTGCGAACTCTCGCTCTGCGCAAGCTGCACCGCATCCTTGTGCACTTTCGGCTGAATCACAAGAGCATCGGGCACATTGTTTGGCTCGTACGATACATATACGACAACACCCCGGCGGACTCGAACGATCGGCTGCGGTCCATGGTGAGCTTGTACGGAGCTTGTACATTTTTTAAATTCAAGCATAACGTAGATGTTGATTGGCTCATGCGGACGGTCGGCGATTTTGCAGGCGACGTCTTCCAAAAGATGAATCCAAATGAGACTTCTATGGACTGTTATTTTTTGGACTAGTATCCCCTGACAGTTGAAATAAACATGAATTTCTTGTTACCACTATTCGCAACCTTCTCGTTTACTTGTCGCTGGCCACCACGCTGGCCTCCCCGGGACCACAATGCGTCCACCAACCACGATGCCGCCGGCGATCCTCGGCGTCGGTTAGGGCAAAGTGAGAAAACGTGCCGAACTCCCTACGGGACAAAACACGTCTAATCGATATTGCTCGAAAGCCTGAATGGCGTATGATAGATATTGTTCTGGTCACTATAGTATTAAATGTATCGAATGAGAAAATGAATTAACGCATGCACAAATCCCCTGTCCATACCATCCCCGGTCCCCAGCCTCCCCAATTCTGTGAAGGTTTAGTCCTCACTCCTCCGCCCTCCGCCCTCCATCCTCGGTCCTCAGTCACGCCACCTGCCCCCATCTCCGGCCGTTAATCCGAGCAATGCCAACTGCTCGCCTTGTTGACGTCCGAGCGCTTGTTCCATACGGCCGTCTTCGGGTACGGGCAGAGCGGCCGCTGCCGCAGGACGCCCGACAAGGGGTTGGTGGACGTCTTCCAGGTGGTGGCGATGATCTCGTCGGGGGCGCGTCCGCTCTCGGTCCACTCCATCAAGGCCAGCAGCGCGTCGTGCTTGGCGTCGGCAAAGCCGGGCACCGACCACAGGCCCGTGCCCATGAGGTCGGCCTGGAACTCGCCGTTGATGTACCACGGCGCGTCCACAGCCGTGCCGTAGCAGTGCTGCATGCCGGGGATCATGAAGAGGCGCAAGAAATCGTCGACGCTGTTGGCCTTGCCCTTGCCTTTTCCATGGACTCCGGGGTGGCCCCCGCCCATGGCCTGCAGCGTCCGGTTGTAGTACAGCTCGGAGCCCTTGGTGGGCACCAGCCCGTCGGCAAGGCCGTGGTACATAATCATCTTGCCGCCACGCCGGCGGAAGGCCGAGAGGTCGTACTGGTCGGCCGTGGCGTTGCCCGGGTTGACGCGGCGGGCGGTGTCGACGATGCTGTCGTTGAACGTCTGCCACTGCCAGGTGGGGTCGTCGTAGACAAAGTCCTGCGCAAAGCCGATGCCAAAGGGCGACGGCTCCGCGTAGCCCAGCAGCGTGCCGGCGAGCCACATGTCCTCGGAGCCCATGAGCAGGCCCGGGTACAGGTACTCGCCGGTCCGGTTGTCGTACCAGTCGCTGTAGATGTTCTTGAGCGTCTGGATCTGCGGCGCCGTGAAGCAGGCCGACTCGTTGAGCACGACGCTGGGGCTGCCGCACTGGATCTTGGCGTAGTCGAAGCGGCAGCGCTCGGGCGCACTCACGATGCCGTCCACCACGCCGTCGACGCCGTCGCACTGCGCCCGGACCTGCTCGGCGACGACGGGGAACCGCGTGTAGGCAATGTAGTTGGGCGCGCCCACGGGCAGGTTGTAGATGCCCAGCTGCGTGACGTACGTGTTGAGCACATTCGAGTCCCACGCCGATGACCCGATGAGCGCGCCGTCGAAGCTGTCGGGCGCAATCTGCACCTCCTTCATGCCCTGGCGGCCGCCCGTCGAGCAGCCGCTAAAGTACGAGTAGCGCACCTTGCCGCCGTAGTACGCGGCCGTGAGCTTCTTGCCCAGCTCCACCGAGCCGTGGATGCTGCGCCAGCCCCAGTCGGCCTTCTTTTCCGGCGCGTTGAGCGCCCATGTCCCGTCGAGCACGCCGGCGCTGTGGCCCGTGTCCGTCGACACGACTGCGAAGCCATAGTGCGTTCCGGAGCCCTGGCCCAGGGAGGGTTAGCTACTACATCACTAAAAACTATTTGTAGGGACGCTACATCGTGCATCCGCACACGAAACACTTACAGCTGACAGCCAGTTAATGCCGCCCGCATAGCCTCCGTTGCCGACGGCGAGGAAGCGGCTGTTCCAGACCGTGGGCAGCAGCAGGCCAAAGCGGAACGAAGACGACGGCGAGCTGGTCACGTTGACAATGACGGCGCACAGCTGCGGCAGATTGGTCGGCCAGTAGGGGTATGGGATGTTGGTCGCGTTCTCGCCAAAGGTGCCGCCGGCCGGCACAACCTGGACCCGTTCGAGCGTGGCGTTGCTCGGAAGCGCATGCCGGAAGAAGAGCGCATTGCAGTTCCACAGCGACCGCTCGACGATTTCGTTTTCGCTGGGAAGGGCCAGGGCCGCGGCCTGGGCCACGCCAGCAAGAAGCAAAAGGCGCAACACGGCCGGCAGCCGGTTGCATGCCTGGAGGCACAAATTGGATAAATGCATGGCCGGGCCGAAGCGTGCAAAGTAGATGGACGGGAGACGGGAGACGGGTGGAAATTTGGATAAATGGGATCGCCGGTAGTAGCAGCCAACGAAACTATAGGCTTTTCATTTCGAGGGACGTGATGCAATATGGATATATATGCAAAACAATATGTGCCGGCAAAACAAGAATGACACAACGGACGAAAACTGGGCATTGGGACTGTCCTTTGCAGCTGCTTACTTTGGATGGTGGTAGCCAGGTGCCCGGGACCCGACTTGGGCCTTCTGCTTCTGGGTCCTAAATCCTGCGTCTTACATCGCAGAGTGTGCCCGGTGGCAGGCAAAACCACAAGGCACAACCAAGGATGCCGTCCAAATACGCTTTTGTGACCTGCCTTTTCCGACTGCCGTGTGTGGGGATGGCGGCGCCATGTGAACGCCAGGGTCGTATTGGTCATACTTTGTCCCGCCCCAGCGAGGTCCGTGTGAGCGTGTCTTTTGGTCTTTTTTGCTCGACCGGAGAACATGACTAGGCTAGTGTCGTATTTCGCGTCCAGAATGCAACGGTTGCCGCATTGGGCCCACGCCGCCGAGACTCGCCTTCCGTTGTCGGGATCAACCTAATTGGGGACAAAAAAGAACGTAGCGGCATAGCAGGAATGACGACACGACAACACGGTAATTTCGCCGTTGTGGCTTGGACAGGTGTGGAGTAGAAGACAAGTACGCTAACAAATGGCAGATTTACGAGATACGAAGGCAATTAGGCGACGTTCATGACGGGGCGGAGGGTATGATCAGAATGTACGAAATACAGCGAAATGAACAGCAAATGAATACTGCGAATGAATCCAGCGAATTGACTAACATGCTTAAATTTGCCCAGTCATTGTTCCACGCCAAGAATTGCCTGCCGCAGCGTCGGAAACGTCTGGATGGCTCCGCCGACCAACATGACAAGCTCCATTCCGTCGGGGCGTACAGGGAGAGGGGAGTGGGCACGATGGTCGGGCAGCTCACGAAAACGCTCGGGGTTGCCATGCCCGGCGTATCAGCTGTTTGTTCCTGGACAAGGGGGTAATTGTTGGACAGTGATAATGGTGAGACCGACCCGCTGGGTGATGGCTTGTTGGAGGAGAGCCCAAATGTCGGCCTTGCCCGGGGTATTCGACGAGTAGTTGTAGGAGAGGGCAAACGTCACCGTGTTGGATACGGCTGTGATCACGATGAGTCACAACAAGGTGCTTTGGCTCTGCTGTTAAGAGGACAAAGATGAGAAACAAGCACAAAGAGCCGAGAGAACAGCCACCCGTACCGCTTTTGGTGGTTTCAGACCTTACGCAATGCTGATTTCTTCTTGATATCGTTCCTTGTGAGCTGTGATGAAGTGCAGCGTGCATGCGACACAACTTCCATATTTTATACGCGCCACGTCGAAATCAGATGCAGCTTCTTCATCGCGTCAGGTCGTTCAGGGCCGGGAAACTCGTTTGACACGTGTAGTCCAACAATATCCAGAAGTGTTCGCTCGCCTAGAATGCGCCAGTTGATGGTTTGTTGCCGAAGGGTCGCAAGCCGCGCGACGGACGACGATAAATGCTCCCTTCAGCAGATAATTGGACGGGGTATTATACAAGGGAGAAGATTTTGGCGTAGCGTGGCAACTCAGTCTCATTCTCAAGGACCTGTAAAGACAACATGCATCTGTGCCTGGAGATATGCGGGGTTTCTTCGAAATGTGCATATGCAATCCTGCGTCTTAGACACGTTGTAGACATACGATTGGCTCTTTCTCAACTTGTGCAGCTTGGTGGAGTGCTGCATGCAGCTTTGCCGTTTTGCGTGCTGTCAAGTGGGTGAGAAGTGTAAAATGCGACGTCTTTTCACGTAGGTCGGCGATTCACACGTAAGGTGCGTGCATTTCATCCCGGCGATATGCAATATTAACGGAATATTAACGGACGCATATTGGAAAATAGAAGAACAGGATGACTGAATTGGAAAAAAGAAAAAAAAAAAAAAAAAAAAAAAAAAAAGTAAAAATAAAAAATGAAACATGAAAAATGAAAAATGAAAAGAAAACCCAGTACAATTTCATGACGAGATGTTTAAGATTAGATCTCAAATGATAGCCACGTGGCTTAACTGGGAGATTCGGCAAAAACGACAAAATGACACTATTTACAAATATTGTGCAAGGTGTGCGACTGCTGCATCTTTGTCCCATACAGTGACTTCCGCGTCTTCGCCCTCGTCGAGCTTTTGTTTGACGAAATCGTCCAAGATTTGCAACTGCGCAGCCGGCATCTCGGCGAGTCGTGCTTTGTGGTCTTGGTCCTCGTTTGGCCCATACAGGCTCTCGTCAATGTGCTTCCACCACAAAAAATCAAACGCCCACGATCGCCTGGCCGCGTAGTTGCGCATCGACGCGTTGCTGGTCCAGCTGCTCATGCGTTGTGACAGCGGTTCGCCCGCAGAAACCGGCTGCTGTTCATGTTTCTCGACCTCCTCTAGAGCAGACAAAAACGTCCGCAACCGCGGCTCACACGTTTGCTGCCAGCCCATCAAGCCACCGGGCGACCAGGATTCGGGCTTGTCCATGGGAAGCCACCACGGCGGACAGCTGCTGAACGACAGCGGCGCCGCATAGGCAAATTCCCAATCGATGACACCCACGATACGGTCATCTTTGTAGAGAAAAGAATGTTGGCCGGGCGCAGGTCCTCGGAGTAGAGCGAAATGGCGGGCGGGCCGGCGTCGGAAACCGTGGCCTCTGGTGAAAACCGACGCTCGGCCGCCGCGCCGAAAGAGCTGCCGCGCCACATATTTGTCCCGGGCGTCGTTGGCGTCTTCTACGGCGTCTCGGCGCTGGAACACGAGTTGGGCCGGGTGCATGTCGGCAAGGGCCGCGAACCAAGCGTCAGGATCGATGTACGTCGTGTCCGGCGACGGCAATATACCACGGGCGGGAACGCGGTATGGATGACGACGTCGATCATGTTCGCCAGCAGGGGCCGTCCTTTGACGTCAATTGTGCCCGTGGCAGCATCCTCGACCAAAGAGCCAATCCTCGGAAAACGAAGGACATCCAGCTGGAGAAGGACGTCTGCAACCTGTTTATACAACAAAGCGAGATGACGCTCGTCAATATTCGGGTTGAGGACGGGATGCTTCTCCACCGGCCGGTCTGGGTCTCGCAGCACACCCGAGAGGGTCTCGTAGTGGTCAATGTAGTCCATGATGATAAACGGTCCGAGACCGAGGGGGTTCTCGACTGCGGTGCCGTAATGATAGACGTGCGGCACCGGAATGCTTGTGTTGGCTGCGACGTATCGCATAACGGCGACCTCGTACCGCACCTTTTCATCTTGAAATGTAGCAGGCACACCATCTAAAGTTGACAGCATTTATTAGCTTAATAGTATTCAAAAGTATTCAAAAGAGTAGATGCAGGGACGGTACCGTTGATCGGAATTCTCATAATGACAGAAGTCCCGTCACTGTATTCAAGACGGTAGACAACATTGTAATCACCTTTGAATGCGCGGTGCATCTCCACGGCGTTTCCCGGCTTGAACTTCAAAATAAAGTGCGCTACCGAACGGTAGACATCACTTGTTCTGACTGCGGCCAACCAGTCATCGATGGGTTCGTCCAGCTTCTCCCAAACCAGGTCATATTTTGCTGCACAGGTGCGTCGGAGCTTGGAAGGCATGCTGCAGATAGTTATGAGACTTTTTGTTTTGCCGTAGCACTTATTTGTGGCAAATCATGTTTGTAAGTTTGGCTGCGTCGTGCAAATCTTATGACTGGTGTGGCACTTATTTACTCAATACACCTACCGCTAGTATATTAGACCACCCGACAGAATGCGCCCTAGCAGTGGAGAGTTGATGCAACTAGGGAATAGCCAGCAGTCCACATAGTATATGTATACACACATTTTGCAAGAGTCACTCACGACATATGTGGCGTATCCGCTGGGTACGTTCCAAGGAAGATAATGGACTTGCGCGACCAACCCTGAAAAGACATAGGCTAGCAGGATCGTATGTTAAAACATATTGATTTGGTCCCCTAATTATCCGGAGAACAAATCTTCGTCATATTCACAGACGTGAGCTTCTCATCACACGCTTGGGAGGGCAATGTAGGGCCATGCGTGAATGGACGCAGAGGTCTGGCTGGAATCATTTGATTGGTTCATTCCCACATCGCAATTTCCGTGACCTGAGAGCAGGTCATACTGCAGCGACATTTGCTCCGCTGAATCTTATCACGGTCGCGCAATCTTCGACCGGAAAGTATGTGATGGTTGCCTAGCCAGTTCATGGCGCGCCGTGGGGCCCAACATCCTGACTGCCTGATACATTCTCCCGCCCTCTGTGTCGTGCAGATAAATTGCCCCTCGTCCGCAATGTTTGCGAGTCTGAAGTTCGTCGTCCAGCACTCGCCCACTTCCTTTTCGTCCAACATCCCAAAAACGTCAACGGTATTTTAAAAGCGCTTTCACGATCAACAACATTGTTCAAGACGATCTATATTGTAAGATTGCCTCTCTCATGTTCGTTCATACTGTGATGGCAAAATCACTCACCAAAAGCCAAACGAAATGTGCGAAAATTGGATCACCACCGTGGTGTCTGGCATATGCAGACACACCATTGAAGAGCTTCCGGAAGTCAAACAGTGCAGCAAAGTTAGCGGCGACAATGAAAGCTGTGGTGAGGTCAAGGACGTGTACTTTGGCCAAACGACGACGAGGGTGCTTTGCCCTGACTGCGAAGCCGCCGCCGAGGAGAAGGATAGCGATTGACGGGCTATGGATGGGTGGTGGCACATGCATATATATACCACATTTGTAAATCAATCATTGTTTGTGACTTGCGTATCGTTTTTCAAACGCCGCATTCTGCAGTCCTCCTGCCATGCACGCTGCTTCAGCCCCCATGTTTCGCACTCGCTTGCCTTGGTAGCACACTCTTCTGGGGTGAGACAGACGGCGGGATTCACATAGTCCAACCCCAGGCCCAACTCAACGAGAAGCGTGCGGTGCACTTGCTCCAGCGTGTCGTAGCGGGCCTCCCAGCAATCTCGAATCACATGTCCGGCACGGAGGTCGTCGACTGGCGGGACCTCTCCTTTTCTCAGCATACGGTGCTTCGTTTCGTAGTCCTCCACGTCGTGCAGCAATTCGTGCCCCGAGAAGAGCGCGTACATGAGCGATCCAATTGCAAACTGCTCGCCGGCCGGGCCCACCTCCGAGTCCTTGTAGTATGGGGCTGTTGCCCCGTAGTTTTTGGCGCCGCGCTTCTCCATGTTGCCAAAATCGCACAACTTGACATGGCCGTCGGCATCCAGCAAGATGTTTGGTGGCCGTAGGTCGCCGTGGAAATAGTCCATGACTTCGAGCCACGCGCAGGCCGATGCAATCTGGACCAGCCAGCGGCTGGAATCGTTGTCGGGAACGCTTTCTTTGCGGTTCAGCACGTCCTTGAGGGTTTCTTTCATCAGAGGGAGGAAGAAGCCGTCGCTGGTCGACAGTACAATCTGGATGATGTTGGGGTGTGGTTGTCTCGTTTGCTCCTGGATCAGTGCGATCATGGCCCTCTCTTGCTCAAAATAACGCACGTATTCCGAGTCGCGGTAACCCGTGACCGACGTGTCATCCTTGTAGCGGCGTGGCACTTTCACCACCATACCAGGTGGCCCGGACAGCACCACACCGTCGCGACCTTTGTTGATGACACCACTTCCGAACGCATCCCAGACGATGTTGTATTTCTTTGGAAGCATGATAGCTATGGACGGCGGCAATAAAGCCTAAGTTATTGGTGTGGGAAAGATAAGTAACAGCAGAGGAGAATTAGGCGTAGAACAAAGAGAGGAGCTTAGCGGTGTGCTGGAAGAAGGTAGGACGAAGTCGAGCAAACGAGACACAAACATGCAAAGGGAGGGCAACGGAGACGTGAAACGCCCTGACGCTAGTCCTAAATTGTTCACATGTATATGGCTTACATAATAATTTCTTATGTAATACGCTATTGCAGTTCAATGTTCCTCGTGCGATATTGAACATCATAGATTTCCGATTCAATGTTTTTTTGTCTACACTGGGCCTGTAGATGCTACCCTCTTACTAGTTTCTCGCTGACGGATATCCTTCGCAGTTATCCTGACGGACTCTTAAAACCCGCGCTAGGATTACTGCCACAATATGCATGCTTTTCCATATAGACATTTTCAGCCCGTAAAGTGAAATAATTTATTCGCCGTAACAGTTTGAATAGGATGGGCCTTTTATTTTTGTTTCAGAAAATAGTACAGTTTAACGCTGATGCGAAATGTAGTATTCGTCATATAATTTACATCAAAACTGCCAGAGACGCCAGAGATGCATAGAGGAAAACCGTTGTCACTGGCCGACGACGCATGACACTCAGTACTGGAATAGTAAAAGTGTCGAAGCGGCTCTTGACATGACCACGCAAATACCATTCGTTTCGCGGTACTGCTTCTAATCCATATGAAACTCAATTTTTACTGTTTACCTATCTAGGTACGCTTGCGCAAAATCACAGCCATCCCAACGGCATTCATAACGGTATGGACTCTGGTCGACAGAGGCCAAACAGCGTGCGGCACAGCTTGCCGAGCTGGTCTTTGACGTCAAACTTCCGCCAGGAGCCCTGGGCATGGTGGAAGAGCCGCGCGTCGGCGTCGGACACGGGTTTGGAGCCCATGTTGCCGTAGCGGCCGCGGCCGGGGCTGAAGCCGGTGATGGGCAGGACGAGGACGTCGCTGACAAGCTTCGCCTTGCCGTTGTCGTGAAGACCGGTGACGGCGTTCCACCGCAGGCCACAGTGCTCTTGCAACCACGCGCTGATGGCGGCCGTGATGGCGGGCGGGCCGGTCCAGAGGAGGGGGTCGTCGACGACGGTCGTGCCGACGGGGTTTGGGCCGCCTGCGGCGAGCGCGCGTACGAGGTCGATGAAGTGGGCGAGGGCCGCGTGCTGGGGCGCGGACGCGAGGGCCCACTGCGTGAGCTGGACCGGGTAGGTGTAGCCCATGCGCCAGTAGGCGTCGGACGCCGGATCGACGTCGGCTTCGAGGCCCACCAGGAGCGTGACGGGGCGGTCTTCGTCAACGGCATTGTCACGGTCACTTTCACTTTCACTTTCACGGTCCGCCGCCTGGACGGTCGTGTTGTGCCCAAACGTGGCGCCCGTTTCCGGGTCGGTCCACGCCGCCAGGTCGGCTTGCTGGATCCACTTTGCCGGGTGCCGCAACGGCTCGGTGTCAACATCACCATACTGAGGTGGGTTAGCAATAATAAATCATCTAATCAGGAAAAGGGCGAGGTGAACATACAATCCCGCCAAACCACTTGCAGACCAAGACGCGAAAGATGTCGGCCCGCTCGACGGGCGAGAAGAAGGCGTAAAAGGCGTCGACAAAGTCCGGCTCGTAGGTGCGCATGAACGTGTCGACGCCCGCGTCGTCCCAGAAAAAGTACGCCATCGGCGGGCCGTCCTGGTTGTCCGAAGGCCCGCCCTCGTCCACCGCTGGCGTCTGGCCCACGGCATACGTCAGCCACCGCTCGACGCAGCGCACCACCATGGGCGTCCAGCCGTCGATGCTCGCCGTCATCCACGTCTGGTGGACAATCAGCGGGATCTGGGCAAAGTCCATGCGCCGCGCGAGGCTGCCCGACGCGGCCGCCGTGGCATAGGTGGCGGCCTCGAGGATCGTGTGGGGCTGCTGGTACCGCCCGTCAATGTCGGTCGTCCACGCCTCGGGAATGTACCACGCACCGCCTGTGCCGTTGAACATGTGGATGTGCTTCCACGCCAGGGGAAATTCGGCGGCCAGCGTGCTCGGATCATGGTCCGAGGCAGCGGCGGCGGCGCTGGTCCGGTGGTAGTGCCAGAGCCAGACGAGCCAACCGGCCGCGACAACAAGAGCGACCCGTGACCGCCTGGACCGTATGAGAGACGTGGGGTACAACATTGTCGCCGAACCGGGACGGACGACGGGGGGAACGTCGCCGTGTCGCGTGAGCGCTGTCGCGTGTCCTGTCGCGTGTCCTGTCGCGTGACGACTTGCCAATCGACTGTTTGCAAAACCCGCGGTCGAGGCGATGGTTAGTACGCAGGTCCGTTAGCCGATGGAGACGGTCGTGATGCGGATCCAAGCCGTCAATGGCTTCAATGACTTCAATGGGAGTGCCTAGGGAGTCTGACGGCGACGTCGAACAAAACTCCGCGGTGCTTAATAGGGGGCGGAGAAGCAACGAGCTGGACCAATGGGCCGCTCTGGATCGTCCGTTGCCAGACATGGCGCCCCAAAACAGTGGGGTGACAGGGGCTGGTCTTACCCATTGGCCCCGCTGTCGCGTGCTTTTATTAGAAACATATATTGCAATGTCTGCAGCACGTGACTCTAGGCACCGAGAATAAAAATCGGGGCGGAAAGAGCCGCGTAGACGGGCCGCCTGCGCCCGCACAAGACCATACGAGACCAAACGAACACGTGACATTGTGAAGAAGGGATGCCTACATTCGTACGTTGTGGTCATAACAGCATTGCGGTTACGTATTGTGTGCACGCTTTCTTTTATTAAAAGTCAAGTCTGTACGAACTGTCTTGGTAGCTATGTTTTCTTTGCCCATACCCTACTCAATCCGCTGTGCGTGGGCAAAGTTGTCGACCCCGTGGCCTTCCTCGACCGTGGCCTTGACGATGCCATAGACAGGAATCTCGGCCAACGCGGCAGCAATGTGGTGCAGTGTCGGAAGCGACGTCTGACTGCCCGCCTGGAAGGTGAGGGACGCTTGCTGCGTGACCTGCGTGGCCTCCACCACCCGCGAGGTGGTGCTGTCTTTGTGCGGGAGAAACACGGGGTACTCGGCGTCCGCGGTGCCCGGCTGGCCGACGGCGGGCACGTAGCGGTAGAAGAAGTCGCCGTCGTCGGGCGCCGGCTTGGGCGCAAACGGCGAGACAGGGGCCGCTGCGGCTGCGGCTGCGGCTGCTTCGCCCGGTGTGGGCGCAGGAACGGACTCGAGATGGTCCACGGTCATGCGCACAAACTCGGTGCCGCGCCAGCTAAGACGAATGTCGGTGGCGGCATCCTTTGTCTCGACGGCGATGCTCGCAAACAGCTTGGGCATGCCGAGCTCGTCGCGGCCGCTGAGAATGGGATCGGTGAGGTCTTCAAAGAGGACGGGCAGGTAGGACCCAAAGAGCGCGGCGCCGTCCTTGTCCTTGGTCTTGGTGTACTGCACGCCGTGGACCCAGAGGCCTGCAAAGCGGTACCCGCCGCCGCCCAGCCAGGGCAGACGGTCGAGCTCGTTGCACTTGAACGTGGCCTCGACAACGGTGCCGGGGCGGGCAAATTTGAACGCGGGGGTCGGGAAGAGGGTCTGGAGGTACGTCGCCGAGGTCTTGAAGCGGATGCTGGTGGTCCGAAACGTGGCCTGGGGGGCGTCGACGGGGCGGCCGAGGGCGTCCTGGCGCGGGCCGGGCGCGGGCCCAAAGACGGACGGCTGGCGTCGGTACGCAGGGCCGTGGCGGGCCCACAGCCACTGGTTGAGGCGGTGGGAGGTGTTGTGCCACTCGTCGTAGGCAAAGTTGTAGAAATTGAACTCCTGGACGTTGAAGAGGGGCGTCTGGCCGTCCACAATGTCGGCCCCGGCCTGGCGGGTGTCAGCCTGGACCTTGTGGGCGCGGTACATGCGGATGTCCTGGTAGAGGGCCAGGCGCCCCGGCAGCTCGCTGCGTGGGGTGCCGGCGCGCAGCAGGGCCACGAGCGACGCCGCGTCCTCGATGGCCATGCCGCCGCCCTGGCCCTGGTGCGGCAAAAACGGATGGGCGGCGTCGCCGAGGAGGGCCAGCTTGCCGGTGGTCCAGGACGGCAGCTGGTCCATGTCCAAGAGCGTCCACAGCTTCAGGTCGGCGCTGTCGACGAGCGACAGCAGGTCGTGGACGGCGGGGCCAAACTCCTTGTAGACGTCGAGCAGGGCAGTCTTGCTGCCCTCGCCGCTCCAGGTGCTCTTGCTGTTGCTGTCGGTCGACGTCAAGGCGGACGGATGGAGACCGACAAAGTTGAGCACGGTGTTGTTGACGCACGGATACATGACGAGGCGGCGGTCGCGGCCGTACCACATGGTCATGTAGCCGTCGCGCTCGGGCCGGGCGCCCAAATGGGCCGTCGACGGGTTGTCGAGCACTTTTTGGCGCGGGACGAGAAAGCGGAACGCACTGCCGCCCGACGGAAAGGGCTTGATGGTGTCGCCGCCGATGCAGCTGCGCGTGACCGACGACACGCCATCGGCGCCCAGGACCAAGTCGCCACTGACCGTCGTACCGTCCTCGAGCGTCACCGTCGCTGTCTCGGGGTCCACCGACACGACCCGACTGCCGACCTTGAGCACCGCCGGCGGGCCGTCGCCCGCCTCGGCCGTGGCCACGCGCTTCAGCTCGTTGTGCAGGCTGACGCGGTGGCTCAGGACCCACGGGTGCTGCCACATGCCGCCGGCGCCGCGCAGGTTGATGTCCATTTTCAAGTTGCCGGCGCCATCGTACTCGGCGATGCCCTCCAGCGGGTTGGCGCCAAAAGACGTCGGCTGGATCCCGAACCGCTTGAGGAGCCCATGGCAGTTGGGCGCCAGGTGGATGGCGGCGCCGGTCTCCTGGGCGAGCTGGGAGCGCTCCAGCAGCGTGACGCGGTGGCCCTCGGCGCGCAGCCCGACAGCAGCAGTCAGACCGCCAATGCCGGCGCCGACAATGACGACGTGGAGGGGGGCGGTGTCGTCCGACATTGTGTGACAGGACGTGGCGTACGACGACTGGGCTTGCGATGTTGTATTGGTTTTTTTTGCTTTCGTCGTTTTGTGTCGATCCTTCTCGCGATAGCGTCTTGCTTCACATGCCCGACAGAGCGGCTGGCCACCTATGCTAACATTAAAAGCAAGACAATATACGGCGGGGGGTCGAGATCAAGACGTGAGGGGTACACGCTACTGTCAGGTCGGAGAATCGGGGCTTTGGGGCGCCTCATTTGGTGAAGACGGGGCCGACGGCTTCGGCTCCACCGAAGCGGAATTGAGGGGAACAGCTACCACGTTTTGTTTTCGTCATTGTCAAAGACGTGACGCTAGACCCTGACTTGTTGAGACTTGTTGATTGCGGGTACAAACGAGGACGGGAGAAATTATCCCCGCGCATATATAGAGTTGCACGACCTTGTAAAACAGCGATGTAAGTTTAAAGAGGGGAACGAATTGAATAGCAAGCTGCCAGAAGCAACTCGGCTGCCACCATCGTCGTATCCTCGACATCTCATCGTATCCTCGCCACCTCGCTCACCATGCCAAACGAAATCAAAGACCTGCACACGGTCGACGCCACGTCGTTTCCGTACATTTTCGAGCAGAATGCGACGGTGACGCTGAAAAACGACGCCGGCCTCGTGCGGTGCAACGTATACCGGCCCACGACGTCGTCCGACACGCCGGTGCCCGTCCTCGTGACGTACGGCCCTTACGGCAAAGACATTGCGTACAGCGACTTCCACGCCAAGTCGTTTGCCGAGGTTAACCCGGCGCACAAGTCGGCGCACGCGGCATGGGAGACGCCGGACCCGGGGTTCTGGACGGGGCACGGGTACGCGGTGGTGCGCGCGGACGAGCGGGGGCTGGGGCAGTCGCCGGGGGTGCTGGACACGATGTCGCGGGGCACGAGCGAGGCGTTTGTGGACGTGGTGGAGTGGGCGGCAGCGCAGCCGTGGTCGACGGGCAAGGTGGGCCTGCTGGGCATCTCGTACTACGCGGGCAGCCAGTGGCGCGTGGCGGCGCGGCAGCCGAAGGGCCTGGCCGCCATGGTGCCGTGGGAGGGCATGTCGGACTACTACCGGGACCGGTGCCGGCACGGCGGCATCCTGGCCAACGCCTTCATCAAGTTCTGGTGGAACCGGCAGGTCATCACAAACCAGTACGGGCGGCCGGGGCGGCAGGCGCGTAACTGGGGGCCGGACACGCTGGAGGGCGACCTGTCGGAGGACGAGCTGACGGCCAACCGCCGCGACCAGACGCTCGACAACGCGGCGCACCGGTTCCGCGACGACGCGTACTACGCGTCCAAGGAGTACGACATGGCCGACATCCAGGTGCCGCTGCTGTCCGTGGGCAACTGGGGCGGCATTCTGCTGCACCTGCGCGGCAACGTCGAGGGCTACGTGCAGGCGGGCTCGCGGCACAAGTTTCTGCGCATGATCACCGGCCGCCACGACCTGCCCTTTTACTACGACGAGGAGGTCGAGGTGCAGCGCAGCTTCCTGGACGCGTTCCTCAAGGGCGAGGACCGTGACGGCTGGACGGGGCCGACGGCGGACGGCAAGACCGTGGCGCCCGTCAGTCTGGTGCTGCGCAAGGGTGACGTCGGGTTCAACGACGCCGCGGCCGAGCGGGCGTACGCGCGCCGCGAGGAGACGGAGTGGCCGCTGGCGCGCACGCAGTACACCAAGTTCTTTTTGACTGACGCACAAACGCTGTCCACGACGGACCCGGCGGCCACGGCGTCCGGCCTGGGCAAGCTGTCGTACCGCGCGCTGGGCACTATGGACGACCCGCAGCTGCTGCAGTTCACGACGGCGCCGTTTGCCGCGGAGACGGAAATCACCGGCCACGTCGTCGCGCACCTGCACGTGTCCGTCAGCCCCGACCCGGCCGGCCCGACGCCCAGCGACATTGACCTGTTTGTCACACTGCGGCACCTCGGCCCCGACGGACGCGAAATCTTCTACACGGGCACCGCCGGCGACCCCGTGCCGCTCACCAAGGGCTGGCTGCGCGTGTCGCTGCGGGCCGTCGACGCGAAGAACCGCCGCCACCGGGCGTACCTCCCGCACCGCAACTACACGTCGCGCGACGTGCAGCCAGTCATCCAGGGCGAGCCGTACGCGGTCGACGTCGAGGTGTGGCCGACCAACGTCGTGGTGGAGCAGGGCGGGCGGCTCGTGCTGGAGGTCAGCTCGGGCGACACGCAGGGGTCTGGCATTTTCTTGCACAACGACCCCTCGGACCGGTCGCCCGACGTCTTCCAGGGCACCAACCACATTCACTTTGGCCCCGGGTTTTCAAACTACGTGACCCTGCCCGTGATTCCGGCAAAGGAGTGAGGAGTGAGGAGTGAGGCTAGTTGGTGTTAAGACATGCGTAGTTTGATGCCTCTCTGGCCTGTTTTGTAGATAGTTGAAACCTATTCTTTGCACATACATAGACAATACATCTTATCAAATTGAAAATAAATCAAATTTGCAAACAGAATTGCCTTGTTCAGTCACTTCTAACTGCAAATTCTGTGCAGACAACTGAAAAAAGGTCGCCGCCAAATTAACGACGGACATAGTTAGCGCCGACTGCCCGACTTACACGACGGTTGTTGGTGCCGATCGGGATGTGGGGGAGCTGCCCAAAAACGCTCGGGGAGACAGTCCTCGGAGCAAACCTGGCGAACCCAAGAGACCCAGCATAGCACACAATACCCGGGCCAGACGTACGGGCCAGGCCTGCGGGCCAGATGTGCGAGCCAGATGTGCGGGCCAGATGTGGCCAAACACTGTGATTGCACTGACTCGGGGTGGTGGTCCACAGACGGTCGATGGTTTTGTGTCGCCCGCAGCTATATTGACGCGACAAAGGAGAGATTCCACAATGGACGACGACATCGCAGACACAACCAAAGCAAACCCAGCCGACACTGCCCCAGCCGACAACATGTCCGACACAGACGCGTCGACCAGCGCCGCCCTCCGCCGCGTCCGCACGGCCGCCATCGACGGCCAGGCACACAACCCCGTCTTCCGCAAGACGCAGCTGGCCAAGCTGCACGCCGCGCTGGTTAAGGACGGCGAGCGCCTGCAGCAGGCGATGCTGGCCGACGGCGAGAGCGCGGGTGTACGGGCGGCGGAGGTGGCGGTCGAGTACAGCCTGGCGCTGCAGTGCGTCGCGGACCAGTTTGCCGGCGTCGACCCCGTGCAGGCGCTCAAGGACGAGTATGCCGTCGCCCGCGGGCAGGACGCGCCGCAGAGCCGCGTGCCCGTGGGCGTCGTCGTCGTCGAGACGGCGGAGAGTAGTAGCCACACATACATGTTTAATGTGTTGTCGGCCGTGGTGCCGGCGCTGGCCGCGGGCAACTGTGTCGTGGTGCACACGCCACAGACGCTGCTGCAGACGCCGCGCCTGGTGCTGCAGACGCTCGCGGCCGCCCTCGACGTCGACATCTTTTGGGCCAGCACGACGGCCACGGCCGCCCCGACCGACGCCGCCCTGGGCCACCGCCACGTGCGTGTTCTGCAGGCGTCGGCATCGACAAGTACAGCAGCCACAATACGCGCCCCCACCGCGCTGCCGCCGGTCGTGTCCCATACCAGCCGCGTCGTCGCCATTGTCGAGCGCGATGCCGACATCGCCGCCGCCGCGACGGCGCTCGTCCGCGCCCGGTTATCGTTTGGCGGCCGCGCGCCGTATGCGCCGGACGTGGTGCTGGTGAGCGAGTGGGCCAAGACGGACTTTTTGGCGGCTGCGGCACAGGCAGCCGCGCAGTTCACCGCCGAGGGCGGCACCGCGGCGGGCGAGACCAAGACCGAGACGACCAAAGCGACGAGGGCGAAGGCGGCAAAGGCGACAAACGGAAGTCAGCGCGGTGACAGCTTCTTGGCCCGCCTGCAACACGACGCCGCCGCCCGCATCATCGCGCAGGGCGCCAACGGCACCGTCGCCAGCATCGAGGACCGCGCGTCCGCCGCCCTCGACGCCAAGATTGGCGAGCCCCTGCTGGCCGTCGTGGCCGTCACCAGCGTCGACGACGCCATCGACCTGGCCAACCGCCTGGGCGACCGGCCCCTGTCGGCGGCGTTTGTCTTTACGGCGTCGGCCCCGGCAGCCAAGTACATGGGCCAGTTTGTGAATGCCGACCTCGTCGTTGTCAACCAGTTTCCGGCGACTTTACTAGGTATGATGCCACCAGATGATCCTCTTCTTTTTGTTTACTCTCTTCGAACATCCGCTCACCATCACCATCCAGTCGGCCCCGTCGCCCCGTCCGGCCACAGTCTGTCGCCCCCGTGGACCGGCCGCTACACGACAGCCCACTTTAGCCTGCCCAAGCCCCAGTTCATCGCCGTGCCCAAGACGCGTCCATTGGTGGACAGCATCCTGCTGGGTGGCACCGCGCGCCAGCTCCAGGAACTGCAGGCCAAAACGGCGGCCGCTCTTGTGCCGTTCGAGCGGCCGGCCAAGGCGGCCTACGTCGGCTTTTTCGAGCAGGGCATCATCGTGGGCGGCCTTCTTTTGTTGTCGAGTGTCGCCACGGGCACGGGTCTCTTGTTGTATTTCGGGTACAGACAAGTCCGGTGGTTTGTATAGTGGTCAGTGCGAGCAGATAGATTTGCGTGTTTTGTTTAAATATGTCATTGTATGTATTGTATGTTTTGTATGTGATTGTATGTAAGTGTATGTGGGTCTCCCCTCTACATTACTGCGAATTCTTGAGAGCCCCCTTCAAGATGCCATAGTCCTCTGCCACGTCCTTCCCCCCAATCTGAAACGGCGCACACGGCTGCAGTACGTACAGCATGCGCCCCCATTCCGTGTCGCTGAGGTTGCGCCACGCGTGCATGGTCCCGCGCTGCACGCAGACGTCGCCCCGCTGCATGACGCGCGTCTCGCCCGAATCGAGGATCAGCTCGACGTCGCCCTCCAGGACCACGCCGTAGTCGAGGCTGACGGTCCGGTGCATCGCCGACGTCGACCCGGGCGGCATGTCGACGTAGCGCAGGACGGTGCCGCCCGAGACGGTCAGGCCCGGTGCGTCCTGCAGAAAGTCGCGATAAACAGCCAGGTCGGCGCCCGTGTCGTGGACGCTCGCATTGGCGGCGTCCTTGGCGCCGAGCTCGACGGGGAAGCCCCGCGTCACATAGGCCTGCGCGAAGCCGACATCGGGGACGTGCGGCAGCTGGTAAAACGGCGCGTCCTCGGAAATGTCCTTGTCTTTGAGCAGCACCGCCTGGCCGGCCTCGTTGTGGGTGGTAATGAACCGCTTGGGAAGGCGGAGCTTGCCTTGGTGAGCCATGACGAGGGGGGAATGTGACAAGAGATGGTGGAATTCGGGTTGAGATGGGGGTATTGCGATGAGTGCATGTGTTGCTCTGTCGTGTACTCGGCTCTTTGCTTGTATTAAGCAGCTCTCTTATACCACGGATAGTGCGATACTACCTCTCTCGCTCCACGGCAGGATCGCAGACTCCCCGGCTCGGTCTTTGCAGCGACCCGACTGTTCCCCTCTCCCCTCTCTCTCCAAAAGCGCCTCCACCCAACCCGAGCGCCGCTATTGCGCCGACAATTAGCCAGTCTCCCAGTCTAGCTGGTCTTAGCTGCTCTACACGTATATCCGGAGACCCGTAAACATTCTGAAAGCCTGCAGCAAGCAGTTTCATATAAAGCATGCATATACATGAGTGTGTGTGTGTTGATGGTTGAAACCATCCAACCGTCGTACCGTTCGTCTACCAAGTAGAGTAAGTAGAGCACGACTGATCACACGGCACAATGGCTGCAACGCCCGACTACGCCGGCCACTTCTCGGACCGCAACATCCCCTTTGGCATTGCCTCGTCGGCGGCCCATCCTCAGCACCAAGCGGCTACCCGCATTGGCAACGCCGTCGTTTTTCTCGCCGACCTGGCCCATGCCGGCACCTTTGCCAGCGTGGCCGGTCTGCCGGGCGGCGTGTTTGCCGAGGCGACGCTGAACTCGTTTGCTGCGCTGCCGCAGACGGTGCACACGGCCGTGCGGACCACCATTCAGGCTCTCTGGCGACAAGGCGGCGACGGTGGCGGCCCGTCCCTATTCCCCAGAAACAGCGTGGAAGACATCTCGGCTGTCACGCTGCACCTCCCTGTCCACGTCAGCGACTTTGCCGACTTTTCGTGCAGCCTGGAGCACGTCCAGAACGCGGGCCGCATCATTATCCAGGACGGCACGCCGCCGCCGGGCTTCTTCCACTTCCCCATCGCCTACCAGGGCCGCGCCAGCTCCGTGGTCGTCTCAGGCACGCCCATTGAGCGCCCCGTGGGCCAGTTCCGGGACCGCTCGACGACCCCGCCGACCGTCGTGGCCGGCCCCTCGCGGCAGATGGACTACGAAATGGAGTTTGCCGCCGTCGTCGGGCGGCCCCTGCCCATGCGCCAGCGCCTGGCGGCTGCCGACGCCGACCCGCACATCTTTGGCTTTGTCGTGCTCAACGACTGGAGCGCGCGCGACATCCAGGGCTTCGAGATGGTGCCGCTGGGGCCGTGCAACGGCAAGAACGCGGGCACCACCATCTCGCCGTGGATTGTCACCCTCGACGCGCTGGCGCCGTACGTCGTGCAGGCGGCTCCCACCACGACCGCCACCGTCCAGCCGTGGCTGGCCGATCCCACACGCACCACCTACGACGTCCAGATGCAGGTCGCCGTCCAGGGCACGACGGTCGGCACCGCCAACGTAGCGTCCCTCTACTGGAGCCTCCGCCAGATGCTCGCGCACATTGTCAGTGCGGGCGCGCCGCTGCGGACGGGCGACCTCCTGGCCACGGGCACGGTGAGCGAGGCCGGCGCCGGCCACCACGGCTGTCTGCTGGAATCGACCGAGGGCGGCACGCAGCCGGTCGCCCTCGGCGACGGAACCAAACGCGCGTTTCTGCAGGACGGCGACGTCGTGCGGATGACGGCCGTTGCGGGTGGCGCCGACTCGGGCGTGGGATGGGGCGCCTGCACGGGCCAGCTCGTGGCCGCAAGGGAGTGGAGTGTGTAGGCGATCGTGTAGATTTAATTATCCTTGCAATTCAATAATGTATGCATTTCTTGTACTGGGTCTCGCGTGTCTTGTCCCCCCCCATAAATCCCCCATACATCCTCCCATCTAAAACTCGCCGCCGATTCGAAACCGGAAAATGTCACCGTTGACCCGTCCCAGCGTCTGCCGCCAGACCTTGGAGGCTGCCTGCAAGAGGTTAGGACGCGTCGTTCCTCGCCAGCAAAAAAGAAAGGGACTCACCGAATTGAGATACACCCCCGTAAACATCGTCCCGATAAACACCTGCTCGACCCTGCTCAGGTACACCCGCACTTCCGTCTGGTCGCGCGCCGTGTTGATCGGACGGTACGCCGGCACGCGTCGGTGCTCCGTGTCCCAGTCGGCGGGCGTCGCGGCGTGTCGGCGGATGGAGGCCGGAGCCGCCTGTGCCGCGTCGTCGCTCGCATCCTTGTCGCTCGAATGGTGCAGCTCGTAGTCGCTCAGCACGCCCGACAGGAGAAGATTCGGCGACGGTCCCTCGGTGGGCCGGCCAGTCCGCGTTGCTGTGGTGGTGGTGGTGGACATGGCGACGTTGGACGTCGTTGACGCGATTTTTGGTTGGTTGCGTTGGGTGCTGTAGTCGTCAAGATGTCGACGGCAATGTCGACGGCGATGTTGAATTCACACCTAACGTCTCGCGTACCAATGCCACCACCGCACCAATGTACCATGTCCCGTCTTCAAAATCCAGCCAGCTGCCGTTCACATTATCCGTGGCGGGCCGTCAGCTGTCTGCAGTGTGGGCGTGGAGCCGTGGAGAGACAAATCAGAAATGTCGGGATGTGGAGGGCGAGCGATGGGATCGGCAGTGGGTATCGACAAATGATCCAGGGTCTGAGCATAACGCGGGGAAGCTCTGGAGCTGTGGAGAGTGGAGAATCAGGCACAAGTGGCAAAAGACATGCTAAGTCGCCCACGTCCGGAACCGTTCCTCGGTTTGATACGACGCGCGGCAGTTCTATACAAAGACACTTCGGGTGCAAAATTGCTGAATAAGAAACACGTGAGTATTTGAGTGAGTGTGTTGTTTGATCGGTAGAGGCTTCTTGCTTAAATTCGTCGTATTTTGCTTTCTTTGTATTTATTTCACATAAAATTCCGCTCCAACATTATAATTAATAATGGGTGATTTTTTAAAAAAATAAAATACATCCACTTTTTATAAATTAATAATACGTCGTGTAAACAAAATATGGTCAATTGTTTGTTCATTCCATTGGTCGAGAACAGGTGCCAGACTTGGCATTTACATGGACCAAGCGTGATACTGTCTTGCCTTAGGGCAGTGTCTGCACACCGTAAAGGAGTCCCTTTCATTTGATTCCAAAATGGTGCATGGCATGCAGTAGGATAGGATCATATAAGACTGATCTGTCATATTTCGACGTGCATTACCAAAACTGAGCTACAATGACCACGAGGTCTTTTGGGAATATGTTGTCTTCGTCTGACCTCAGGCCAGTCATCAGTGATACATGTTCTGCCTTCAGCTTCCAGCAGGTTGCCATCCTGTCCCTCCGTCTGCCCCCGCCCCCCGTCACTCAACAACAGCATTATCATTTTCGGGGGCCTCTTGTTCCGCTACAAATAAATTAAGAAATGGGTTTGGCGATGTTCAGCCAAACAGAGAAAAGAACATCAACTGCTGCGGAGACACTTTTATTATTTTTGTCGCATGTCCACCCGGACGACCGTGGACATCACTCCGCGTGCTCGACAATCTTCTCGCTGACAGTGCCGTCGGCCTGCAGGACGACCTTGTCGACCTTTTGCGAGGCCTTGACGGGGTTGGGCTGGTTGTAGACCCACTCGAGCTCCTCGAGGGAGCGGCCTTGGGCCTCGACACTGGGGGACCACGTGGTTAGTGAATCGTTGCGGGGCGACGAACAGAGCGTGGCAAACGTACCAGAGAAAGTACCAGAGGATGGCCTCGACGACGTCCCAGCCGACAAAGACGTAGATGTACTTGTAGGTGATGTTGGCGAGGGCAATGGGGCCGGCGTAGGTGTTGATGAAGCCGACGGCGCCGACGGCGAAGCCGTAGAGGGCGAGGCCCTTGGCGCGCAGCGTGGTGTCGAGGGCCTCGGCGGGGACGACGCCCTGCAGCGGGGTGTAGGTGAAGGAGTAAAAGGTCTGGAACAAAAAGTAAAAGGCCAGGGCGCCGCGGGCGTTGTTCTTGTTGGTGATGACGCCGCCGTGGGCGGCCTGGTCGTTGGCGATGGCGTTGGTGAGGCCGGCGTTGATGGCCAGCAGGCAGGCGACGCCAAAGGTGCCGTAGATGAGGACGGGGCGGCGCGGCATGCGGTCGGTCAGCGACACGGCGGTCAGGGCGCCGATGGCGCCGACGACCTGGTACAGGATCTGGTAGCCGAGCTGCTGCGACTGCGAGTCGACGCCGATGAGCTTGTAGATCTGCACGTTGAAGTAGCCGAGGCCGTTGCCCGAGAACTGGCCAAAGACGCCCATCATGATGGCCTGCGCCGCGCGCCAGCGGCCGTTGTGCGTGAAGAAGGGCGAGTAGTCCCACCACGGCTTGGCCTTGTCGACGGCGTCCTGGCGGATGCTCTCGCGGATCTCCTCGATTTCCAGCAGCACCAGCCGCGACTGGCGGTTGCCGTTGCCGTGGTAGGTCACCAGGAAGTCAATGGCCTCGTCGTCGCGCGCCTTGGCAAACAGGAACCGCGGCGACTCGGGGATGAACCACACCGAAAACACCACAATCACGCTCGCCAGGTTCTGCAGGATCAGCGGCACCTTCCACGCATAGCTGCTGTTGATAAACTGCGTGCCGTACGTGATGCACGCCGCCGGCACCGCGCCCGCAAACCAGCCGCAGTTGTACAGGCCCGTGCAGCGGCCGCGCCAGTGCGGCGGCGCAATCTCAATGGCGTACGCGGGCGCGGCCACGGTCATGAACTGCACGCCGCTGCCGAGGATGAAGCGGCCCACCGTCAGCTGCGCCATGGTGCCCGAGGTCGCCGTCACGATGCTGCCGATGATGATCCCGATGGCCCCCACGAGCATGCCGATGCGGCGGCCGAAGCGGTCGCTGATCAGCGCGGCAATGGGAGTCGTGACGATGCTTCCACTGTGGACGAAGGATGGTTAGCGGGAGAAGCAGGAAACAGGCGCGTGCCGGTGCATCATGCGACGTACACGTTGTAGAGGGACGTCACCACCGAGACCTTGGAGCCGTCGGTGCCAATGGGAATGTCCTTTTGGAACTGGGCCATGCCCAGGATGGAGCTGAAGATGGAGCCATCGTAGCCGTTGGCGTACGACGAGCAAAACGCGATGAAGATGCAAAAGTACAGATGGATTGACGACTTGCTCCACCGCGGGATGTTGCTCTCTTGGATGGCCGCAAAGAGCTCGGCCTAGAGGGATGGTGCAGGTTAGAGGCCGTTGTGTCTTTGCGGCAGGCTTAAACACGGCGTGCAGGCCACTTACATTGTGCACTTCCTTGGACGTGGCGCCCTCGTTTTGCGCCGTCTTGCCCGTGCCCTCGGCAATGTAGACGCCGTGGACCGGTGCCGGTGCCGGCGCCGTTTCAATCTCAGGGGCCGTCGCCACCGGCGCGTCGACTTCCTCTTTGGCCATGTTGGTCCTTTGCGTGCTGCTGAATTTGTTGCTGAGTCCAACGTAAACTGCCTTCTTTCCGTGTGGGCGATGCGATGGCGATCATCACCAGTTTGGAACAAGACGGGCACCGTGCTCTTTTATGTTATTTTCCATTCGTTTTACTTCTTCCATTTCTTTTACTTTCTTTAAGTGTTCTCATATGTATCGGCATCACCATGTGAATTCATTGCCCTCGCAGTCGTTTGAGCAACTTGGCCGTCGTTGATGCGTCGGCATTTCGGGACAGCTTCCCTACCACGCGTTGCTCAAAGGAGGGCCCTGCCACCCTGTTCGCGCCTCTCTTCTGTCAGCCGGAGCAACCTACCAATCGACACGGTTCTCCGTTCTCTGAACACTGTGGGACATACTGTGAATGGAGCTTGCCCCGCGTCCCTGGGGCTCCAGACCGGGGTCTCCCCGGTGGATTGTTTTCTTTGCTGCATGTTGAATCATTTTTTTGTTCTCTCGTCCTCGTCTGTTTGTCTCCGACGAGGATGAACCACGCGACAGCAACGGATCCAAACCACGTCGAGATGGGTAAGGGTTTCGTGGACGGGTTCAATAGTGTACGTAATGTTTGCTCGTCGCTTTTTTCAGTCCCCTGTCGTCGCGACTCACTCACACGCTCGGCCAGATCACTCTGGTGCCTGGGTGCCGCACGGACCGGAAATCCACCACTGGGCGCTAACGCAGTAGCTGGCCATGCCCACTTGTCAGCTGTGAGCCGTCAGCCCGTGCCGAGTCACTCCGTGAGAAACCAGTCAATCGCAAGACACGCAAACAGATGCAACCAGAGGCAGCACTTAACAGCACACGCAGCAGACACAACAGACACAACAGACACAACATACGAAACAGACGAAACACACGACGTGGTAGGACCTAGTCGCGGGGCGCGGGGCGGATAGCCGCATCGACTTTGTGTGTCTGGTCACATCTTGCCACATCTGGTCACGTCTGGTCACGTCTTCTTACCTCTCTTTCGTCTGCTCGAGAAACTCACACTCGGCCCGCCCTGGGAAGCACGGGCCGTTGACTCTACCTGTTTCAGTAGACGCTGCCCGCAAAGTGAGTCGTTGTGTCGACTGCCATGCTTCGCGCTGCTGTCCTGTTTCAGGACAGACATTTGCTACCGTATTGTCGAGCTGTCTGCCATGTGTGGAAATAGTCGATACAGACTATGCGATTATTTCCCACGGCTTTCTATTTTCCTCCTTGTTCTGCGATTCCATTTTCCTTGCATTTGCTCATGACAACCCATGCCTGGAATATGCGTTTCTTTTGCACTTTCACCCCTTCTTTCTCACCTTGTTTGTTTCCTCTGGTCGTACCCGACGTTCCCGTTAGTCCCAAGCTGCCATTGTCAGATTGCGGCTGGTCAGATTATGGGCCCAAGCCACTCCACATTCCAAGCTGTCCCCGTAAGAGCCGCTGAGGAATCCATGCCATTACATATTACTGCGTCTTAACGACGGCGTTCTTTTTTTTTTTTTTTGTTCTTGGCTTCCGAGCTCCCGCTCGTCTTCCTGCATGATGCCATAATCATTGAAATCCGCTGCTTTTGCCTGTACCTGATGACCCCAAGCAAATCCGACCCTCACAATCCCCGGAACCTTAGAGTCCCGAGCACTCCGCAAAATTGGAATTTCTGTGCTAGCTGGACGGGGCGCCCCTCTCGAGCGGAAGAGCGGGACGCTTTCAGTAGTTTATTTCTGTGTCGGTGGTTTTGACTTTAACGTGGAGGCTGATAGTCTTTACGAACATAGCAAGCGACTCTGCAATTCACGACAGATTGACAGATTGACATATTGACATATTTCGTGACAACGTACAAAACATCCAACGTGTCCAACATGGACAGCGACAGCCAAATGCCGTCGGCACAGTTACATATGAGGATTGCTGCCAAGAAGTGGCCAAGCCGGGTTGTCTGCCAAGACGGGTGTTGGCGAAATTGGCTTTGGTTTGGGTAGGCTGTTGGTTACCGGGTTGCTTTCAATCTTCCATCATTCATCTCACATTGGCTTCCACCAACCTTGATTTCATACGGACGAACCTGGTCACCACCACCCAGGCTGTGCAGAGCATGAAAACATTGTATTGATTTTTTGCTAGGGCTGCAGTAGAACAAACCACAAAAGAAGTGTGATGGACTCATTCCCCCACCAAATCTTGACCGTCTTTAGCAAGCGAGCTCTCCTCTTCAACTTTCTTGTTTTCCACTCACTGCGGACCCATTTCGTCTTGCCGAAATCCGAACTTCCGACTCGTCTGGTACTGGCCTTTTCCAAGCGGATCCTCCTCACCAGACTTTTGACGAGCTGCGACCACCTCAAAAAGTGCGAAAGCACCTTCCGGTACGCGGGCAGGACAGCCCACAACCACTACTTGCCCTGAGTGACGGTTGTGAGAGTAAGTAGGACTTGACCGCCATCGACCGTGTGCAGCAGCTCAGCCGGGAGGCTATCAAGCTCTCCAAGACTCTGTGGTGTTGGTGACCTCGGTGACCTCGTCGTTGACCTCGTCGGGAAAGACGCGCTCGGCGTTCGACGTCATGGCGTTTGAACATCCTTAACAAGTACTCTGTCTGTTTCCTACGCAAACAAACGAGATTTGTGCATCAAGTCATGCGCAAGGACGAAGTTTTGAGTGTGCATCAGAAGTGGTGGGCTTTAGCTTCCGGCGGCATAGTCGGGCATCGGATTTCGTTGTGCGCATCGATCGTCTCGTCATCGTCAATCGTCGTCTTCGTCTGCGGGCTCCTCGTACCCGGGCAACGGCTGCGGCAATGCCGTCACACGGATGCCGGCGTCGTGCAGCAACGAAAGAGATTGCACGACTGCCTTTTCGTTCGCATCGGCAAGGTCAAATCCTTGTTCGTCGATTGTGACTCGCGCCAATGCCAGAAACTTGGCCTCCTCGACGATGGCATCCCGAAGATGCGCCAGTGCTGCTGCGGGCAAACTCACGCCGGACAGACGCAGCGTCACAAGGTTGGGTGGGAGGATGTCCGTGAGAGCTGCTTTGCTTGGGTTGAAGTAAAAGTACGCTGATTCTAGCCACAGGAACTCGAGCGCAACAAAGGCAGTGAGCTTCGACAGGTCCCAATGGCGGTCTGGCCAAGGCGTGTGGCCAGTGACCACGTGGGTCAGGCAACGCAGGGTCGTTGCCCATGGAAGAAGGGCCTGCACGGCAAGATGGACCGGAAGGGGGTACAGAGGAGTGCCAGCAGGGGGCGCCGTGGCATATGCCCTGTGCTCCTCTTCGGTGATGTCGCTGATGCAGATCGACACGGTTGAGAGCGGCGGGTGGCCCATCGAACGGAGCAACCACTTGTAGTTCAAAACGTGCATTCCCGAGTGCCACAGCCGAAGTGTTCGCAGGCTTCCGAGACGGTTGCGTGGCAGAGTCCCCCTGCTCCAGGTGAAATCAACAGCCCGCAGGTCCAGAGTCTGTACTTTGGACAGCCAGCCACTCTCGTCCAGGAAGAGGCCCGAACTGACGTCGATGTAAGCCTTGTCATACTGGCCACGCAGCAGAAGCGAGTGGCAAGGAAAAGGTACATATGCTGGCTGTTTTAACGCCTCTCGTGCTGTTGTCTCGTCGTCCTCGTCCTCGTCAAAGGTGCTCGGAATCCACATGTACACAGATTTGAGATTCGGAAGTAGAGCGGCATCGCCATCCGTCGAACCCAGCCCATCACCACTGACTGCAGTCGCGGACAGTTGGATGCTCTTAACGAACAGGACGAGATCACGATACTTGCGCAGTGTTGTGCAGAGAAGTTCGAAACGCCGTTTTGCTTCATCGCCAATGGTCACCGGATGGGCATAGAGAAGTGGCTGGGCGATGGACAACAAACGCCGGCATGTTAAGCTGAAAGCAAGAAGATCAGACTGCGCGGCAGCAGTGTTTCGAGAAACGTCGATTTCTCGGACGGTCTCGATGTTTTTCGGGTGTCGTGATGGAAGTTGAGGAACTCGTTTCGGTGTCCTGACGAGTTTGCAGATGTCCAGCAGGAGTTCTGCCGGAAGAGCGTCTAATGGAACACGCGGAGGAAGCATATCGAATTCGAACCAAGTAGGTGTGGACGAGGATCCCAGCGTAGGCATGTTGACAGAAACAACGGTGAAAGGCGCCATCACCAGAGTCCGCGGGTCATTACCATAACGCTTGGATTGCGCTTGTCATCACGTGTCCACGGCTGCCTAGCGGCTGCACCAGTGTTTGTTTACAGCGGTTCCTCCATTCGTCCTCGCGGCCAATCATATTCCAACAAAGGGACCCAATGTCATTAAATTACGCCGTATGCAGTGGTCCACGATATATACAGAAAGGACAACGAAATATGTACCGCAACCGCCCTCGTCTGCCTAATCGTTGTGGCCTGTGGCCACGCCCCAGAAGTAGCACACCCATGCGCCGACCGTCAAAAGAGAGAGAGCACCAAACAAGGCGAGGCTCAGCTGACGGTTCGCACCGGCGCGGGAATTTGTCTCAAAGGCCTCACGCTGGGCATTGATGGCGGCGCCACGGGCGAAGCGCTGCTTGCGGGTCCACTGCAACCGGCCCAGGCTGCCAGGACTCGCCCACGGCAGGGCCAAGGCGACAAGCGACAGGCCGACCACAACCGCGCCGGCCGCCAGGGCGGCATAGACAATGACGACGTGGTTGTACGTGTCGTTGTCGTGGTCCTGGATCACCCCCGTGACAATGCGCATGATGATGTTCATGGCGTTGTTGACACAGATCTTGACGGCATACGCAGAGCCAAAGACCTCCTGATACCACAGGCTGGTGCGGATGGCGTCGATAATGACGGTGGGGCCGAGCGAGACGGCAAAGGCATAGAACCCAAAGCCCGCCGCGGTGCCGGCCATGGAGCTGCTCCACAGGATGAGCGACATGGAGAGGAACATGCCCGTGCCGCAGACACACATGACGTTCAGGCGGTGGCCGTAGACGTCGATGAAGAGGCCCAGCAGCGGCACCAGGAAGAAGCCCATGTACTGGGTGAGGGCCGCGTAGAAGCCGGCGCGGATGGACGACACGTGGAACCGCTGCTCGGCCAGCTCGGTGGCGTTCGTGCCGAACACGGACGCGGCCGTCGTCTGGCACAGCGTGAAGGCGATGACGCCCCAGAACGGCCACGGCAGCCGCACCACCTTGGACCACGCGAGCCGCCGGGTCCGCTCGGTCAGCACCTCGCCCGTCGCCGGGTCCGTCTTGCCCGTGCTGCTGTAGTGCCGCGCACACCAGCGCGTAAATAGGTAGAAGACGACGGTCGCCAGGTTGGTGAAGACGTTCATGACCACCGACATCCAAAACGTCCAGCTGAAGTCGCCGAGGCGCTCCGCAATGACGTTGGCCGAGATCTGCCCGACAAAGGACCCGATCTTGCCCAGGCCCAGCTCGAAGCCCAGCGTGGACGCAAACCCGTCCGACGGCGCAAACCACGACGCGAACACCTTGTACTGCGCCACCTGCGTCGCCACGTCGCCCAGCGACTGGATCACCATCGCGCCCAGCATGAACTGGAAATTGCGCGTCGTCGTCGCCGCCGCCACCAGCACCGACCCGGCCGTGAACAGCAGGTTGCCCCAGACGAGCGTGCTGGCCCCGCCCAGGCGGTCCGTGTAGAGGCCCGTGGCGAGGATGAGCACCGACTTGATAAAGTTGTCTGTGGCGTCCAACAGGGCGTACTGCGTGTTGTTGATGCCCATGCCCTTTTTGAGCGCCGACTTCATGGCGCCCGTAATGCCGCTGCTCCAGTGTGCGCCAAAGCCGATGAGCGACACGAGCACCACCGACACGAGCTTGACCTTCATGGGTACTTTCTTGGTGCGCCCGCCGACACTGATGGTCGAGGCGGCATCGTCATGGTTGCCGTTGGTGCCGTTGTCGGCAACAAGCACGGACGTGGTCGTTGAAACCTGCTTTTCAGGAGAAGAAACGCCATTGTCAGAATCCCTGGACACGACCTGCTTCTCGCCGACGGAGGCCACGGGGGAGTCCATGGCGGCAAAGAGGGGAGGAGTGGTAACAATAGAAAGAAAAACCAGGGGAAACAGATGATGGGAGGTAAACTTAGGTTAGCAAAAAAGGGGCACAGAGTCCGTTTTATTCTTCCTGGGACGGACGTTGACACAAGCCGAGGATCGGCCCACGTGGACCCGGATGAGAGGCAGAGGATCTGATAAAAACGGTGGGCCAAATCGCAAGTCAAAAAGGACTCCACCCGTCAATCCTGCATACCGAGAATGGAACCGGACTTGGCGGCTACAAACTACAGCGAACGTTTTCAAGATGCCAGCCATATGGGTTAAGCCGATACTAAAAGGCCCACGGAGGGAAATTTGTCATTGGGAAGGAAACAAATCGGCATTTCTACTGTCAATACATCCATCAAAGTGGAACGAATGCTCTATGGGGCTACTAGAGAGTATCCAGATCCAGAAAGCCTTCCGAACCCATTCGGCTGACCTGCCCTGTTGGGTCGTCTGGTCGCCGTAGTTGGGACTGATGTGGACCCGTTGTGTGGATGTGTGGACGTGCCAAGTAATATGACCCACATGTCGTGCGCCCTTTTTTATCAATCTCATCTTATCACTGGACAGGACCTTCAAATCGACCAACTAACCGACGAACCATGGCGGACAAGCCATGGCGCCAAGCAACAAAAATTACGTAGCAAAAGCGGGCTGTGTGCTGAAAGGAAGGAAGGTCAACGGAGTGTGACTGCAAAGACGCCGACATCGCTCGACATCGCCCTCCTTGGTGGGAATAAAAACACGGTTGGCAGGATCTTCCCATATAGAAATTGACAGATCTAGAACCACGGTCGACTTGTACAGTGGAAGGCGAAATGGGTGTCGCTTTTTATTTATTTAACTTTTTTAAGGGCTGCGGGGTTAGCCGTGGCTTGGGTGGCTGATTAGTCTCCACGGAGTACGTTTGTACTAGAGAGGTACTGTCTATCTGCAAGTACATGTTAATATCCAGAACAAACTTTCCGGGCCGCTTTTGGCTATGGCCGTAATAATGTGTGCATTACTCTATTGCGAAACAGTGGGCTACGCTCACTCTAACGATTCCCAAATATGGTCAAATCGCTGCGCCTGACGGGATGTTCTTGAGACGTAAAATTAATGCATACGACCGATGAGTCCTCGCCAGTCTCCTGCGCATCTAATCCGTTTCTTCCTTTACAATTCTGGTCCTCGCTCTGTCACGGCGTTGCGCAGCTGGTAACACCTGCGCCGATAGACAGCCTGAGAAAGCAGGGCGCATCACGAGCGACCTGTAATTGGACAGCAAGCCACCGGGCGTCAAGGGCGAAGCCCAACCAAGGCTTGCCACGCTTCGCCGACAATGTGCAATTTTGAAGTGGGAGAATATCACCCTCCTACGCTCATCGACCCGAAGAGAATCGTTTCCCTTACAACCAAGATCAGCGTCATCCATTTGTCCATTCCCCAAGTCGGCAGTTTCATTGCAATTTTCCATCATGGATGTCGCTGCAAGTATAGCCGGCCTTATTTCGTTGGGCATTCAAGTCACGCAATCCCTCGTCGACTATTACACGGCCTACAAGGGCCGAGAAACCGACGTCGCCAACACCACGAAAAAGCTAAAACGTCTTTCGGGCATGCTTGAGAGTCTGCGCTGCCATTTGGTGGACCGGAAATTCCTCGCGGACGATCAAGACCTTCTCGAGACCATCGAAGGCGCGCTTCGAGATTGCGAGGGGTGCATTCACGAGCTCCAAAGCCAATGTGACAAGTTCAAGGATAATTCCACCTCCAGCATCCAAGCCAAGGCCCTCACGGCTGCTCGCAAGTTGGCGTACCCTTTCCGCCGGACCACGTTGGAAGAGCTTAACGATACCGTTGATGAAATCGCTGCTCACCTCTCCCTGGCGCTGCAGTCGCTCCAGCTGAAAAACATTGACAGAGTTCAGAACGACACCGAGGATACCAAGAGACTGCTCGATCTTGTTCGAGCCAACCAAATCTCGCTGACTATCCGCAGTTGGTTGAAGGCTCCTGACGCCACCGTCAACTACAACGAGGCTTGCAAGAAAAGACACGGCGGCACTGGGCTTTGGCTCGTCAAGAGCCCCGTCTTTTTTTCTTGGCTCACAAAGCCAAATTCCTTTTTGTGGCTCAACGGCTTTGCGGGATGCGGGAAGTCTGTTTTGTCTTCCACGGCTATCCAGTACGCCTTTCGGCATCGACGATCCAATCCACGCATTGGTATCGCATTTTTCTTCTTCACTTTTAACGACAACGGCAAACAAGACACCGCCGCCATGCTCCGCGCACTCGTTTTACAGCTGTCAGGCCAGCTCGACGATAGTTACGGGCTCCTGTCACGGTTGTATAACGGCCACCGTAATGCCACGCCGCCCGACCAGGCTCTTATAGATTGTTTACGTCAACTCGTGCGGGAGTTCGACGACTCATACATTATTTTGGATGCCTTGGACGAGTGCCCTCGGGATATGCACCGCAGAGACATGTTACAAGCTCTAGCCGACATACGGGCGTGGTCAGAGCCCGGCCTCCATCTCTTAGTCACTAGTCGTGAAGAGCCGGACATCCGCGACGTGTTTGTTGATGAGTTTGGAGCTTTGCAAGATGAGATAATCTCCATGAAGAACGATTCCGTCGATAATGATATTGCGTCCTTTATATCCGGCTCCTTAAAAACCGACCGTCGACTACGAAAGTGGGAAAAGTATCACGATCACATCAAGGAGGCGCTCACCGAGCGCGCCGAGGGAGTGTACGTCTACTCTCTTTATCTCTTATTTAAAGACACTACTGACCCAACTAGATTTCGCTGGGTCGAATGCCAGTTTATAGCATTAGACTCATGTGTCAGGAGCAAGCGTCGACTCGATATGTTACTAGTATCTTTGCCTCAATCTCTAGACAAGACATACGAGCGGATGCTGTTGAACATCAGCGAAGAGTCTATCGAGGATGCAAGACGGATCTTGACTTTCCTTTGCTGCGCCAAGAGACCACTGACCATACCAGAGATCATCGAGAGCGTCGCGATAGAACTTGGTGATAATCCTCAGCTCAATATCGATGCTAGACTGGACGATGAAGATGATATTTATCGTATATGTCCCGGTCTTATCGAAGTCGACTACCATCCCGGTAACAAGGAGTCAACTGTACGCATCGCGCATTTTTCAGTCCAGGAATACCTAGAATCCGAACGGATACACGAGCACGCAGCTGCAACCTTTGGTGTAAGAAAGCCAAAAGCTCATGCCGAGATAGCGTGCGTTTGCCTGACGTATTTGCTGGGAATTGGATCGCCAATTTCGGTATCTGAATATCCTCTTGCGCTCTACGCCGCAAAAACCTGGCACGAGCATTATCACGACGGAAACCAAAACCTATACCCAGTTCAGCATCAAGCGATCCGGCTCTTTCAAAGTGCCAGGAGCGAATTTGAGAATTGGATACGAATTTGGGACGCGGACTATTTCTGCCGGGAAGATAGAAAAGTGACATCGCCTATTTATTATGCTTCACTCCTTGGCCTTAATTCGATCATTTCCGAGCTACTCTCTGAGAAGTCTTCCACTAGCTTTTTCTCAGGGAAAACCACTGATTTAGTGAACATACAAAGTGGCTACTACGGAAACGCTCTACAGGCAGCATCATATAAAGGCTACGAGAAGATCGTCCAGTTACTACTCGACAACGGTGCCGACGTCAACGCACAAGGTGGCCATTACGGAAACGCTCTACAGGCAGTATCGTTGAGAGGTCACGAAAAGATAGTCAAGCTACTATTCGATAAGGGCGCCGATATCCACGTACAAGGTGGCCACTTCGGAAACGCTTTACAGGCAGCGTCAGTATTCGGCCACAAGAAAATAATCGAACTACTACTCGACAAGGGCGCCGATATCCATGCACAAGGTGGTCAATTCGGAAACGCTCTACAGGCAGCATCGTCGGGAGGCTACGAGAAGATAGTCGAGCTACTACTCGATAAGGGCGCCGATGTCCACGCACAAGGTGGCCTCTACGGAAGCGCTCTACAAGCAGCATCGTGGGGAGGCCAAGGGAAGATAGTTAAGCTACTATTAAACAAGGGCGCCGGCACTAACGCAAACGATAGAACCGCTCTACAAGCAGCATCAAGGGGAGGCTACAAGGAAATAGTCGAGCTATTACTCGACAACGGCGCCGATATCCACGCACAAGTTGGCTACTATAAAAGCGCTCTACACGCAGCATCAGCGGGAGGCCATAAGAAGATAGTCGAGCTACTCCTCGACAACGGCGTCAATATCCACACACAAGGTGGCTACTACGGAAACGCTCTACAAGCAGCATCGTTAGAAGGCCACGAGAAGATAGTCGAGTTACTACTCGATAAGGGCGCCGATGTCCACGTACAAAGTGGTTACTACGGAAACGCTCTACAAGCAGCATCGTTAGAAGGCCACGAGAAGATAGTCGAGCTACTACTCGATAAGGGCGCCGATGTCCACGCACAAAGTGGCTACTACGGAAACGCTCTACAGGCAGCATCATGGAGAGGCCACGAAAAGATCGTCCAGTTACTGCTCGACAACGGTGCCGACGTCAACGCACAAGGTGGCCACTACGGAAACGCTCTACAGGCAGCATTAACGAGAGGCCACGAGAGGATAGTCCAACTGCTATCCGACTATAGGCTTAATACAGACACTGTATGATAGAACGGTTAAAATAAGATGTTAACTTTTTAGAGGGCTGGAAGAAACCGGCAATGGTGTTAATACGGTACTTGTAGGGATAGGTAGAAGAGATGGAGAAGGGAGGTATATTCTTGAGATTCTAGAAAGGAGTAAAATATAAAAATAAGTCTTGCAGACTTTAGGATTTTTAGATGCGCGATGCCCTCCTTATGTGACAGCTCTTGCTGGACTGATGCCCCCCTATTGCCCAAGCAGGAGGTTTGGGGAGTGAGGGTTTGGCTGCTGTAGACGAATGGGCGACGGCTACTTCTTGGCAGTTCTGATCTACCAGCTACAAGTCCCCTCTAGACTCACCCCAGACATTCATAAGGCCCGTGAGACGGCATCTGTTATGAAGGTACTTGGTAGGTTAAACAAGTAAACGGTAATGAGGAGGTAGATATTAACAATAAGCCCCTTTGGATGGTTGCGTGTGACTTGTGTGGCTCTGTAGGACAAGGACTTGTCCCGGAGCGTTGGCTGGTAAGAGAGCGGAGTTGTGTATTTTGAAGGATCCCGGCGGAAGCTCATAGAAATACGTAATAGAACAAACTTTTCGAAGGAAAGTTGAAGCATTAGAGGAAGTGGGGGAACCCTCTGTTAAGTAATACTTTAAAATACCTCTCAGCTACAAAATGTATTCTGTAAAGCCACACAAGCCACATAGTTTTCTACTAGGCTTAAAAAAGTTAACTAAAAAGCAAGTGACACCCATTTCGCCTTTTACTATACGACACGCCATATTTAACCACATATTTTATGCTACTTTGAATGAAATAACATTCAGTCCCCAACTGCAAAGTGACGGCCAGACCCGCTGGCAGTGGTTTACTAACATCCGCTATATGATGCCGTTTCCAGTAGCTACAATCGGCCTCAAAGGACACAAGCGCCCCGTTGATGGCCCGACCAAGTTCGCAGTTTACGTCGACGACTGGGAGCTGAGCTGCAACAAGTTGGTCTCACCAAGCTTGTTTTGAGGGAAGCGCGCATTGAAACCGATGACGTCCCGGACTTTGGCAAAAGTTGCCGGTTCAATAGCCAGCTTCTGCGTGGATACCAGCCAGTTGACGCCTTCAGTGCAAGGGGGAGTAGTCAATGAACCCGTGTATCTAGATTGTCAGCGGGCGGTGAGAAAAATGGTAATGAATGTGACTGCGGTGTACATACTGCTGAAATTCGCCTGCAGTCAAGATGTCGACAATCTCAGACATTGACACTGCTGGTGTCTTGATTGACGTCCCAGGGGTGGCTATCTTGTCAACGGTGTTGAGCACAGTTTCCAACGCAGTCGTTGCGCCAGATGCTGATGTGGCTGCAGGTTGCTCAGTCGCGGGTACCTCTGCTTTAGTGCTGGCGCCTTCGTGTCGAAAGTGAATATTGGCGTTATCGCGAGCAGAATTTCGGTGACTCTGTCGTTTTCGTGCAGGAAGAACGGCTCCGGCTACATTGGCGGCCTTGGATGTTCCAGCACTCAAATCACCGCCATTGTTTTGATCAACAAGACCTATGTATGCGGAAATGACAGCGACAGACGTGGGGTCAGTGACTCCCTCCCAGACCATGTGCATCTCCATGGCTTGGCTGGTGCCGTTGTCAAGATGCTCCGATGGAAGATGGAAATGAAACTGCTGTAATTTGAAATCGCCCACGCTGGGGATGGTCATGGTGCCGCCCTGGTTGGCAATTACCTCCACTGTGGTGCCCAAATTTTCAAAGTCGGTCTCGTCAATGTTTGGGATCCGAAGGTTGATAGCTGTGCCTGCAATCTTGGGGAACCCACCAGCCACCATATCGATCGGTGATTGACGTGTGCCCAGAGCGCATTGGGTATTGGCCGCATTCAGATTTTGCCAGTTTGTTGGTCCCTATTTAGTCAGTACAGTGATACAAGCTTTCTTGTTTTCCTTTTTTGTCATTCTTCTTTTATATCCAGTCACATACATAGACACCATTGTAACCAAAGTTACCAACCTTCACCTCGCCTTCGGCACGGGGATGAAGTGTAGTGCCGTATGCACAGTTCGCGAGGGCCTTGCTTGCCAGAATTGACACTAGTAGTACCCGACTACTCATGGTGTGTTTTTGTTTGTCAAAAAATAGAACGGGCAGGTTATTGGTAGTATCCGAAAACAAAGAATGCGAGACTAAGATGGGAATAAAAGAATAGACTAAATATTCTAAACTGAAAAGAAGGGGAAAAAAATAACATGTGCATTCCTTATATAAGTGCAAAAGGCGAGAATAGGTTAATAAAAGAGGAATGAACGGCCGACGTGGTGTAGAGAAGAAATCAATGCGCCAGCTTATTCTTATACCGTGGATCTCGTATGACCTCATCCAAGATAGCGTCAATACCAAGAAAAAAAACACTCAGGAGGAAGTAATAAAGACAAATTTGTACCACAAAATTCAATCTTTCAGTCTGCTATCGGTTCGTTTGACACAACCTACGATTCTCATAATTGTCTTGGCTGTTAGAGAGTTTCACCGCAGGAGAGGTCCAATACGATGTTCATCGGGCTCAAGCCTCAGCATTGAGGTTTCATAGACTGTATTTTGTCCTTAATGGAATGGGACAGATCCTGCACCGGGCGTAATTTCATATGCAGGACACATCTTCTGACATTTAAGGGGGTTCTACTTGGCAGGAGATATGCAGAAGACTTGGCTGCACTTGGCTGCACTTGGCTGCACTTGGCTGAATCTGGATGCCACTTGGCAGTACCACGCTGCCCCTAGCAGGCAGTGAAACTGTGGCACAACGCCCCAACGCGGCTTTAACCGTGCGATTTTCACCATACCTCGACACATAGGCGGAATGACCGAAAAAAAAAATACACGTAAAGTGCCGGCGTTCAAGATTTAAATAATAGGCAACAATTACCCTTGTTATTACATATAAGCTTCGTAATCTGTACAGGTCCTCCCTGCCCCATCTAAACTAAGGATAGTCAAATTGCAAGTCATTGTCATGTTTCTGACGATGATGCAATATTTGGCTTCATATGTATAAACGTCTCCCTTCCTAAACGGTCTCGACCTGGACACCTTCCTTGTCGGCAAGTACGGAGGGCATATTGAATTCGGGGATGATGTGGCGGCCAGCTGCTTCTTCCGCGACTTTCTTGAAGTGCTTAGGATGTACCTTCATCGCGTAGAGCTCATCGATCTGTTCAAACGAAAGGCCTTTCGTCTCTGGAAACAGGTAATAGCCACCGACAGCAGCCATGAGTCCAAGACCAAGGAAAATAAAACCAACCTTGCCTCCTAAATTCCCTGCATCTGTGTTGATCATGTATGGGACGGTGAATTGCACTAGATCATTCAAAGTCAGCGGAATGAGTTTCTCAGCAATGGCGCGTGTCTTCGGGGAGAGGAATTTACTAATCAGACCCCAAATGGAGTTCGTAATGGTGACCAGACCCTGTGTCGCCGCCCTAAGTCTCATTGTGGCAACCTCAGAGGCTAACACGAAGCCGGTCGCGCCGATCGATAGCTGGTAGATGATTGCCCAAACATAAAGAATGGCCACGATGCCCCAGCTTGCCTTGGCCTTGTTGGGAACGCAGCCCAAGATGCCAATAATGAGAAGCATGAAACACAAGACGAACTGAGGGCGAACAATGAGAAATCGGCGACCGTACATTTCGGTAAGGGGGAAGGCCGCAATGCTGGACAGCAGCATGACGGCGTAGAGGGCAGAAGAAGCCGCAAAGTAGTTGCCGATGCCAATGAGTTGCAAAAAGTACGTTGCGTATCCAATCACAAATGTTGCACCGATCATTTGCTGTGCTGATGCGCAGAAGATTGCCGTGAATGTGCGTTTTCGGTTCATTTTATCAAAACACTGCAATTCCTCTTCGACTCGTACTCCTAAGAAGCGCCGAGGTGGCTTGGAATCGTCATAGCCGTGCAGCTGGCTGGTAAGACGGATTTCTTCCTGAATCCGAGTTACCTCGATGTCGTAGTATTCGGCTTCCTTGAATCCGTAGATACGGCGCAATGATTTCTTCGCATCGTCGGGGCGGCCATGGCGAATCAGCCAGTATGGTGATTCTGGAAACCAGGGCCATACTACCGTCAGGAGGACTATAGTTGTTAGCTACGTCAGCCAAACGATTCGGCGTCTCACAAACCGGGGGCGTACTTACGAGGGAAGAAGTACATGGCAACAACAGGGAGCCACCACTGCCATTTTGTGGTGATATGGCTGCTGCCCTCGGCGACTATGACAATAGCAAACTGTCCAACGACAATACTGGTGTTGAAAAAACAAAGGAAGAAGCCACGGAGCTCCGGGCGACATGTCTCGCCGATCCACAATGGTGAAATTGTAAACATCATTCCGATGGCGATGCCGTTGACGCCCCGGCCAGCCAGATGTACTCGCCAATTGTCTGCCATTTGTTGGAGAACAACACCAGCACATGATATAAGCATGGCAGCGAGAATGCCCCATTTGCGGCCGAACTTATCTAGAAGCGGTACAAAAATGAAAGTTGTAACGACTTCGGTCGCGGGCGCAATGGAGTTCCAGGCGGAGAGGTAGTGCGCCGGAATAATGTAAGTACCGTCGTGTTTGATGCCAAATTTTTCTTTGAAGGCTGGCAAAGAAGCCAGCTGGCCTCCCGCCACGATATCAAAACCTTGCATGACCACACCGGCAGATATCAAAAGTGCTGTCCGGCATATTAGTTATAACATGTTTGTGGAGGCAAGTCATGTACGACACTGACAGACGTACCCCAGAAGGCAAACCTCTTCTGAGATTTGAGAATCTGCCATTTGTTGTCAGGATTGACAACAGAGTAATCAACTCTGCACAATTGGCGATGAGATAGTTAATGGCTGAACAAAACGGAAGGATGGACAGTGGTGATTGGAGTCGACATTACCCATGAATTAGAGTCATCTTTGAAGCGACCAAGTAAATGGTATATTGTGCTGAGTAACAATGTGCCTATGTTTTTTGCCTCTTTTCGTAGTTCTTCGAAATACTGGGGATCGCCAAGGTGGTTTGTCGAAAGACGACCCCGGAGTCGACGGTGTTTTATAGAGTAGATACGGCACAAGGTGACTCTATGATATGCGCGCGTTTGAATTCAAATCACGACTTCATTTCGCGGGGCTCCATGGGGTGAACCGGGGTTGTCGAGGGGCACAAGGAGACCCAATCGGGGGTTAAGAAGCTAGACCCCGGATTTCTTTGTGATCATAACACAAGAGCGACTTTCGAGATGTCGACCGGTTACAACTTCGAATGCAGTTGATGGATTTTTTTTATTCGCGCGCGTGGATATGGAAACCAGGCTAGCCCACCTCATTGTCTCGTCTCCATGCCCCACAAAAAGACATCCATCGCGGAGATCGGGCGATTGAACAGTGTGTCATGGCAGTGTGGCGTGGCTTGGACGCTAGTGGAAATGATGCACAGGTGACTGCCATTAGCAAGATTTTAACAACAAACGTCTACATGTAGTTGTTCCTAGCGGCACCGCGTCGCGGAATTACAAACAACTCCGCGATTGATCAGGCCGCGAAGTTTGTCTGTAGTTCTCTTGGCAGTTTCACGGGTCAGGTGACACTTCGTGTCAATGTACGAACCGGAGCTCCGTGCGATTAGTTTTTACAATCTGCAAGAGATTGGTGTTCAGTAGCGATATGATGGGATAAATAAAAGAGAGAGGAAAGTCAGTAAAGAGGCAGAGTGAAGCCGGAGGAGGCAGCACCATAGAAGGGAAAGCAAACCGACACACTTTATCGTCCCAGCAAGGCAAGGAGCATGGCATCAACGGCAGCGAACCGGCTTGGAGTCCGGCCCCATATTCATTTCACGGCAAATACTTGGATCAATGATCCATGTGCTCCAGGTTATGATCCTCATACAAAGCTGTATCACCTTTTCTACCAATGTATGTGTGACTCGCAACAGGTGACCTTTCCCCGTGGGAATGAATGAAAGGAGAAGGAAAAAGAAATGGTCGAGACTTAGCCCATCTTATAAAACTTGACTAACACCCTCAAAAGGCAACCCAGTCAGCTGCGAATGGGGGAATATGTCCTGGGGTCACATTGTCTCAAAAGACATGCTTGTATGGACATTGGCCAAGACTTCTCCCGCAATCGTTCCCGGGGCGGTGTACGACCGAGATGGTGTATTCACGGGCTGCTGGGTACCTCCGGTTGACAAGTCTGACCAAACGCTGAAGGTTGCGTATTCCTCGGTCAAGCGGCTCCCGTTTCACTGGAGCACGCCACCGTATCCACGGGATGCGGCCGGCATAGCCATAGCATTGTCGTCCGACGGCGGAAACAGCTGGACAAAGGCGCCTCGGAATCCAATTTTGAATGGCGAGCCCGGAGGTCTTACGGTGACTGGATTCCGGGATCCTTTCGTGACCAAGTCGCCTGCGCTGGACCAAGCTCTGGGTACGACTGACAACGTCCTCTACGGGTTGGTGTCAGGTGGTATACAGGACACCGGGCCTACGACATTTCTGTACAAAATACCGTGCAGCGACGTACATGACTGGCAGTACGTGGGACCTCTGGTGGATGTACCGTTGAGGTTCCAGCCTTCGAAGAAGTGGAGCGGCAACTACGGCGTCAACTGGGAATGCACAAACATTGTTACGCTACAGAACGGTTCGGACACTCGTGAGTTTCTGGTGATTGGTGCGGAAGGGGACATTGAGAAAAACCACGTGAAAAACTTTAAGCAACCTGTAAGAGCTCCGTCTCGAACGGTCAGGACCCAGGTGTGGATGTCGGGCAAGCTCAAAGGGGCGGGTCACAAAGGCGTCAAGCTCGAGTACAAGCATGGCGGGTACCTTGACCATGGGCCGTTGTATGCTGCAAATTCATTTTTGGATGAAAGGTCGGGCCGTCGCATTGTTCACGCGTGGCTACCAGAGGACGACATTCCAATGGATGTCGCGAAAGAAAAGGGCTGGAACGGCAGTCTCGCGCTGCCCCGCGAAATATTTCTTCTCCGGATACGAGGGGTACAGAAGCCCTTGCACAGCGAGCTGTCCGACATGGCGCCCTTTGAAATTGCCAGCACGGAGCCAGACGGTTCAAAGACACTGCTCACACTGGGCATACGGCCAATTTCCGAGGTGATGCAGTTCCGGGACGCAGTGGTCTGCAAAGCGTTTCAGATCGGAGCCTCTGTATCACTGCCGTTGACCACGGACGTCTCGCACAAGTTCATCTACGAGACTCATTCTACGAGCTGGGAGTTGGCGGCGACAATATCCATCAGCTCTGGATGCGAAACTGTCGGTTTCTATTTGCGTCACAACAGCGACCTTTCCATCCGAACATCGGTTATCTTCGCTGTTATGGAAGAGACCATAACCGTTGACCGTTCAGCTTCCAATACGGCTGAGATGGTGAACAAGTGCCCCGACGCCGGACCCTTTACGTTATTTTTCAAAAAGCCCGAGTCTGGCGACGACGATGGAAATGTGGTGCTGGAAAAGCTCCACCTCCGAATTTTCTCGGATGGAAACATTTTGGAGATTTTTGCCAACGACCGTTTCGCTCTGGCCACCATGGTGTACTCTGAAGGCCATGGGCCGGATTTTGGTGGAATCAGCGCGTTCGCGACGGGCACGAAGAACACTTCCACCTTTGAAAGTATTGCCGTTTGGGATGGTCTAGGGACGAACGATCCGTAGGAAGCCGGGTTGAGAAAGGCTTCGGATATTATATCATCTATGAAGCAATATTCAATAAATACTTTGTATTTAAAGATGCACCTTGAAAATTACAATACGTGAAATTAAATGAAATTACAACAGCTGATTTTTTTACAAAAGGGAGTTCAAATGAGGTCATAAGTTAAATTATGGTGATAATTTCCTGGTATGATGATTTTCATTCGACAAGACCTGACCTGGCTTCACTGTTCCTCGCTCCTCGTTCCAAGAGACTGTATTTTAGACAACCTCAGGGCAAGCACACTGTCGAGAAGTGTTAGGGATGGACTGGCTTGGATGACCCGTCGGTCCACCCCCTCTGTTAATCTGAGACACTGGAGAATCCGCTCCCAGTCCACAGCGCAGCCGCGGGACAGGCATGGAACCTCAGCCGCGCGTATGACGGCCATAGACGTCATGAAAATGGTGGAATAAAGAGTCCATCGATTGACAAAGCAGTCACGGATGCATGTGACCATACTCGGCATCATCAAGGTGTAAGCGTGGAAAAAACGCTCGCAGTGCTTGAGCGCCGTGTTGGTAGCCGTTCCGTCTCGTATGCTTTGATACACGGCGGGCCAGTAGATGGATATTTTGCAACAGTAGTATTGCACCCGCAAAAAATTGCCGAGCGCCTCGGTAGCAGGAAAGCCGGTTGCGGATGCGAACATGTTCAAATCATGGTCATGGAAGCGGACGATCTCTGGTAGATATCCGTACCAATCGTCAAGCTGGAGCTCGAGCTCCAGCGCAATATTTGCGGCATACACGATTTCTCCTTCCGTTGTTCGTCGAATGGCCGTGTTGCAGCGGTGTAGCATTCGCCGCATCGATATCTCGGCCAAGAAATAGGAATGTGTCTTGTCGGAGCTATGCAGGTTCGCAGCCAAAATGTTTCTTGTTGGTGGTGTGGTTATGCTTTCGGGTGAACCCTCCTCGACATCAAATTGCCACGTACGGCGACTGTCGGGTAGAGCGAGTTCGTCGTCATATTTCCAGATACCACTGTCCACCACGTCAAAGTGAGCGCAGAGCTCGCTTTCCACGAGGAGAACGGCCCAGTACGCCCTCCTCGCGTGCTCACCCAGTTCGCCGTCTCGGTCGCTCTCGTCCATACACTTGAGCAGATTCTGGACCTTGAACGACGCAATCATGGCGTACTGATAGGCCTGCCATGGCCTGGAAAGACAGTTGTAGTAAATGCTCAGCAGGACGAGGGACTGCACGCTCTCAATGCTGCTGTCGGCAAGAACCGTAGGGAGCGAGATCATAGCAACGTCCAAGTAGTGTTCACTAATATCGCTGCCGTCGTGCGAGACACCTCCCAAGGCATGATCCTGCCGAGCAAGGGCACCAATTGCGGTAACGAGCAGCACGAGACACGACTCTGGGCACGGGGTCAGAGGCCCAGTAATGACACCAAAGTAGCGTTCGGAGAAGCCTGGGCGCAACACCGGGTACCAGCTGTGGACATATGTCGAAAACGCAGCGAGTGACTCAATAGCCTCCTGTTGCCGTATCACACGCAATCGAATTGTATTGCCGGTGCCAGTGAGAGTGACAGCCTTTTCCAGTCTGATGAGGTCTTGGGAAAAGCCGGGCTCGAGGCCCAGAATGGTCATTATTGAGGCTGTTCCCAGGAGCTGGAACGGCAACTTCTCCTGGCCGGTAAACACATCGTTGGCTTGGCCCGGTGCCGTTGCCGTGGCCGTGGAGACTCGAGGCGTATTATTGCAGCACTGCCCTTGGCTGGACGGCAGAAGGCTGGTGATATGTTCAAGGCGCTGGTTGATGGCGGCAAGCTCATTTTCAACCCTAAGTCAGTCAGAAACAGTGTAATTGTTTTGTCGTATCGGTCGCCCAGAGCGGTGAGTCGCTGCGTACCTGGATGAATGGCCAGTGGCATTATGCTCATAGTGACACACAATGTTGCGGCCATGGCAAAACGTGCAGGCCGGCTTACGGCCATCGCACTTTGTTCGTCTGGCTCTGCAAGCGTTGCACGCAGTAGTCATCCGACTCCGCGTCTTCCTCCGCGTATTCGCAGAATGGGTCACCAGTCGGCCGACGTCCGCTAGGGGCTCAGAGGAGCGATCCTGCATTTCGCCGAATTCCGAGTCGCAAAGTTCTCCTGACATCTGTGGTGGAGTTTGTCTTGGATTGTGCGGATCGGCCGTGTTCGTCGGGGTTAATATTGAGACTGACAACGCGAGTTGGAAACAGGCCGTCAACTCCGCGAAGGTACGTATTAAATTGAACCCCAGTATCAGTTAATGTCTGAAGACCACATGCGTCTGGAGCATATGGAGAAATCCCCAGAAATGTGCAATCGTGCGGGGTTTCAGACCAAAAGTGGTTGCTGGAGAAATATTCGCGGTTTCTGACATTGACCTCGACCCTGTCTTGTCAGGAGAGTCGCCTCCGCACCACCGAGAAAAAACAGGAACCCTCAAAAGCCATGTAGAAAAACTAGCGAGGTAAGAGGCTACGGCATTGTCCTTGGTGGGGAAAACCTGGACCAACAAATCCAAAAAGAGTTGGATCTGTGGAGGTGCGATTTACTTAGATTCCAGATCCAAAAATTGGCACGTGCCAGACCCACAAACCTTTTTCTCAGAGCAATAACCTGTCGCGGAGGAACCAAGATGTCCGCGAAATTGTGTTTTGACGTCACCGTAACGCCCAATGCGGCAACCCGAATCGCGATGTTGGTGGGCACACGACGAGAGGAGAAAGGAATAAGGAAAGTGTTAACGGAAGCCCCGGGTTCATTGTGCCAATTTTAGTCCAGCTGAGAAAGTCCCCTTTACCCCACGGACCTCCAACATCTATTCTGGAAGACGACGGCCTTCAGTCGCCGTGGATCTAAAAAGGGTTGAATTCAAACCCCACAATCCCCAGCTTATTTGCATGCTGCACGTCCGAAGTATGTTTTATGAAGCAAGGTGTACGACTGTATTATTCCAGCGAATTTTAAAGCGATGAACATGCTTCTTCTACTTCCCCGCATAGTACTCAGCGGCCCTGGGTCATGGAAAAGACTGTGCCTACAACCGTCATTGCTTCTCGTGGACAGCGTGACTGTTTTGATGAACATAGTAGCAACTTAGCCTCGGCACGATAGTTCCATCGCGATGTCTGTTGAGGATAAGACCCTTTTTGTTTTTATACTGGTTTTATTTCTCAATAAAAAATAATACCGCACCAAAGGAGTTGGAGATCGTGGGGAAAATGAGCAATAAAGGCTGGTCCTGAACATGGAGCATTAGCCATCTGACATGACCATTTGACATAAGATCGCCGTGCCTGGATGTGCTCGAGTAATAGAGGCTTATTTGAAAAGAGGCATATAAGGGCGGTCGCTCACCCCGGGATAGTATGTAAAACTCCAAGTCACAACTCAAGATACTCGCAAAACTCATATGAGATCCAAGATGCATCCTTCCCTTTATCTTTCCCAGATACTTCTCAGCTACGTCCTCGGCGCAGCGGCCGTGCCCGCCCTTCAGTCTCGTGGCTGTGGCGGCCGTGAGTACCCTGGTCCGGTGAATCCGGGGTTCGAGAGCGGCACACTCGACGGCTGGACGATTGTCAGCGGCGACGCTTTTGGCTCGTCTTCTGTCACCAACACCTCTTCCTTCTGGGGTGGACCATTTAGTCAAGATGGCAAATTCTTCTTGTGGGGCTATGCCCAGAACGGCGACACCGCTGTTGGGCAACTCAAATCCAGCTCGTTTCAAGCCAGCAACGTGCTGAGCTTCCTCATTGGTGGCGGTTACGATCCAGACAATGTCTACGTGGCCCTTGTACGCGACAGCGACGGCCACATTCTCCTGAAACAGACACCACAGAATGACGAGGCGCTCATCCGCATTACGTGGGACACCAGTGCATGGGCCGGCCAGGCTGTCCACCTCCTTGTCGTTGACAACAGTACCGCCGCATTTGGCCACATCAACTTTGATGATGTGCGCACTGGCTGTGCGGCACTTGGCGACAACCACCTGACGTTCAACGTTCTCGGCCAGGCCAACCAACCGGCCGCTGGCAGCGCAGAGGCATGCTCGCTCTATGCTGCGGACCCCTTGCGTCCCCAATTTCATTACACACCGTACCAAGGCTGGATCAACGACCCGTCTGGTCTGATACAGTGGAATGGCAAGCACCACCTCTTCAGTCAGTACAATCCGGCGGCGCCACTCTGGGGTCCCATGCACTGGTCCCACGCGCAAAGCACCGATGCCGTCCATTGGCGCGAGCTACCCGTTGCCCTGCAGCCGCCGTATCCCAACAATCCCCAGGACACGTCTGGTCGCTACACAGGCAGCGCGGTTCGCGACAATTCCACGGGGGACTTGCGACTCATTTTCACGGATTTCACAAACACTGCTCTCCACCCGGGTGCCGTGCAGGAGGTCGTCTCCACCGCAGCAAGCTCGCAAGGCACAACATTCACACTCGATTCAAACAACCCCGTCATCGCCAAGCCCCCTGCGAACTCAGAGAGTGGTTTTCGCGATCCAAAGGTATTCTGGGACACAATCGACAATGTTTGGAAACTGGTTATCGGCTCCGGTGACAGCGTCACCGGCAAAGTGCACCTGTACCGTTCGACGGATCTCGTGGACTGGACCTATGTAGGCGTCCTGTTCTCGGGGGACGGCAGCACAGGCAACATGTGGGAGTGTCCCAACTTTTTCCCGGTCGGCGACAAGTGGGTCCTATTCTACGGCGGCCGCAGCCTGGGCTGGTACCACGTTGGCACGTACAACGGTACGGTGTTTGTCAGCGAGTCGAGCGGCATTGTTGACGCCGGGCCGGACAGCTATGCTATGCAGTGGTACAAGGACGAGGCGGGCCGAAACCTAGCCATCACATGGATGGGCAATTGGGACACAGACAAGTGGCCAAGCCGCATCAATGGCTGGGCTGGACAGCAGTCCATCACCCGCGAACTGTTTATCCGTTCCAACGGTGGCCTCGGCAGCAAGCCAGTTTCGGAGGTGGCGAGCCTGGCATCTGGCAAGGCTCAGAACCTAGGTCCCAAGACGATCAAAAGCCAAGCTACGAGCTTGGGCAGTGAGCAAGCCGCCCGACTACAGCTGCAAGTGGACATGAAATCGACGACTGCGTCATCTTTTAGCCTTTCTCTTTTCAGCTCTGCGGCGGAATCTGTCTTGCTCACCTACTTTCCCGGCAACCACACGCTGATTCTGGACACCACCAATGCTGGATACGGCCAGGCAGGGACGTGGTGGGCCATCATTGATGGTGCATCTGAGACACTGGATCTCGACCTGTTCATTGACCGCTCTAGTTTGGAAATCTTTGCCGCGGATGGTACAGTATTCACAGCAACTGTTTGGCCTCGTTACCAGGAATCCAGGGGCATTGAACTGCAGGCCAATAGTGGAAGTGCCGTGTTCAAGGGTATTACGCTCACGCCACTCGGATCAAGCTGGTGTTAAAACATATGGTAGTATGCCATTGCTGTGTACAGGCGACATTGCAACGCATAGCCCGGAAAATTATCACCTATGTAGCCTTGTTTTGGATAGTGGAAAAGTCAAGTCCTATTATTAGACGGCAGTACAATATGTTTAGTAACGTTGTTTAATTTCGATGTCGCTATACTGACCGTCAGATCATGTATTGATATATGTATGCAATGGCATGTAGCACGACATTTAGAATGAACCCTTCGCCAAGCCTATTGCGGTTCATCCAGCTCCATGTAAAGAGAAGATTACGTAAATTGGTAGTTGCGTAGTGCAGAAGTTGTGAAAAGCAAAGGTACTTTACCTCGTTACATAAACTTGAACAAGAATATATTTTATGCACTTTGAGAATGTGAGCCTTTTGGTGATGACGAGCCAGTTTATTCCTACGTATATTTGATTTGCAGTAGCAGGTTTGAAGGGCGGCAAAGAAAAACTGGTACGGTTTTGCGTATTCCTGCAAATGCAAAGCATTCGATGTAGGAACAGCGGGGGCAATGGTCGGAACTAACCTTGCGCAGCGCCGGCGGCTGCATCGTCGACCTGTTCCGTGTGCGGGACAACCTTTGTCTCCTGCAATTCCCTGAAGGACACCGTCGGCTTCCAGCCGATACTCTTTTTCGCCACGCTCACTTCCTCATACAGTTCGTCAACTTGCTCCAAAGTGAGCCCCTTTGTCTCATAAATCAAAAAGTAAACAAACGCAATGCAGACGAAGCAGCACCCACCCCAGACGAAGAATATTTTCGACTGGAGGTTTGCGTTACCCGGACCATAGTCGACAAGGAACGGAGTCGAGTACGCGATAGCCCAATTCAAGAGCCAGTTGGTGGCCGTAGTCATGGACAGAGACTTGGCGCGGATCTTAAGGGGGAAGATCTCACCAGTGACAACCCTGGATGAAACGGACGTATTAGACAACGTGCACGCAAAGAATGAGCAACAAGGGGCGGACTCACCAAGCAATAGGCCCCCAAGAGGCGGCAAAGCAGAAGATGTAGATGCAGATAAAGGCGATGGCGGCCTTTTGCGCACTCTCGTTCAGCACGATGATATTTCCCTGGGCATCCTGTGTCGTTGTCGTAGTGCCGAGGATCGCCACAATAAACTGTGCAGTGCACATGCCCACCGCACCCCAAAACAGCACCGGGCGGCGGCCCCACTTTTCAATGGCGTAGAGGCCCGGAAACGTCGACGCCGTATTCACGCAGTTTGTGATCAAGCTGATCGTGAAGGAGTTTGTGAACCCGGAATTCTTAAAGAACTGCGTGCCATAATAAAATATAAAGTTTATGCCCGTCAGCTGCTGGAGACCCTGGAGGCAGCATCCAGTGATGAGGCGCTTGAGATAGTTGCCCTTGAAGCAGTCGGCGTAGGAGGATTTGCCGAGGGAGAGGTCATATTCGTGGTTGGCTTGGATTTCGGCAAGTTCTGCGAGGACAGACTCGTGGTCCTCGGGGAGGCGACGCAGGCGGGCCAGGGACTTGGCAGCTGCGGCGTGGTTGTCCTTCTTGATCAGGTAACGCGGAGTTTCCGGTAGGACAAACATGCCACAGATGAGGATCAGAGCCCATGCAAATTGGACAGCAATAGGAACTCGATACGAACCCGTATCGTTCCGATCTTTTGACGCGTTATTGACAATGGAGGCAAGCAGGAGACCGATGGTGATGGACAGCTGGTAGGTGCCGACAATCAGACCACGAATCCATTTGGGGGATGTCTCGGATTGGTACAGAGGGACTTTGGGTCAGTTAGTTGAAAGCTAAATCTACTGGGCAAATGTTTCCAAGGGAAAGACAGATGGGTTTTACGTACTGATGGACGAAATCATGCCGAGTCCCAGACCAGCAAAGAAGCGGCCGGCAAGGAACAGAGGGATGGCCGTCGCTGTCGTCTGCAAGATGACACCAAAGATAAAAACGCAGGAGCAAGCAATAAGGCCGAAGCGACGGCCAATGAAGTCGGCGATGGGGGCAGCGCTCAAGGCGCCGAAGAAGGTGCCAGCAGAAAGAATCGAAACAATGGCCGCAGACTGGGATGAGTCGACATTAAGATGGCCAGACGAGTCTCGGTAGCCGGTCGAGAAAAGATCTTCCCAGTACGGCATGGCAAGAATGCCACTGATCGTGCCTGTATCGTATCTGCATAGAACGTTAATGGGTGTCTTGTTCTTGGCAGGGTTCCAGTAAAAGAAACATACCCATAGAGCACACCACCGAAGGCGACGAACAAGCCAACAAGAATAGCAGGCCATGACTTGCCCGCGATATCATCGGGCTTCTTGAGTTGCCAACCCATCTTAGCGGTTGAGTGTCTAAAGACAGACTGGTGTATAGGATTCAGAAAAAAGCCAGGCTCGGTGTGTAATCAAGTAAAGAGAATAATAGCTGGTGTCGATGGAATGCAAGTGAGACTCTTCAGTGTCGCGGAACTAAGAGGGTTTATAGCTCAAACACAAGTCAGCCCAACTCGTACGAATGTCACTGATCAATACTCCAATGTTATTGACCTGAGAGGTTTCTGTGTGAAGGAGAAACGCTCGCTCTAATTGTCGTCACGACGGAATCACCGTAGCCTGCCGGATCTAGAATTGTGATTCTTATTCGAAACGGCCCATGGGGACCCCATGCAAGGCCAATGCCAACGTCTAGATACACGATCGACTAGCTTCACATGCTGAGAGTGTAAATACATCCAGCTTGGGCTAGGTCTTCTCCGCAGCAATCCCCGCATCAGCGAAAGCTTATGTCAAGACAGCGAGTCAAGTTTCTCCACACGAGAGATTTTGTCGGTCGTTTGTCGGCGACATCTACCAAACCGCCCACTCCCCCGCATACGGAAATAGAAAAATTGCGCTTCCGCACCCACGTCACGCGTGACACACGCGACCCACAGGCACAGCGTCATAAAGCTGTGCTCGCGGTGCTAGTCATTTACTCCGCGACCTCTGTACAAGAATTTTCGGTACTCTATTTGAACACATGAATGCGCTCGGTGCGGAGAAAAAACACATCCTCTCCGGATTGGATGATTTGGGAGGTGGGACATGTGGGTTCAGCTATTTTTCTCCATTGTTCATGAAAATAAATAAATAAATAAATACAGAGGGAACTCCCATGACCGAATCGGAACTTTGGTCTTAGGTCCGCGACGTGTCCCAATATACACAGACTTGTAATGATCTTTTTTGCTTCACAATAACCAAATCGTCAATGATCTCGGAGTTCTCGGGCCTAAGTCTGTTTTATCAAACAGATGATTATACCCGACCGTCATAGTTATGTATGGACGTTGTATATATATTTACCATAGACTGCCTCACGATCTCCAAATCAATGGCTACAAACTTTAACAGCTCGTACAAATTTTAGCAACGAAAAATTCTCTTTCTCACAGCTGTGTCGCGAGCCATATCGAACAACATCGTTGAAATCACCTTCCAATCCAGCAACTATGTCTTCAACGCTTCTCGGTGGCGATTTACTGTCCTCGGTCGCCATACGCAAGAATGGACGCACTGCTCGCATTTCCAGCTTCGACCAGACCGGGCTCAACGAAGATGCGTTTGTTGTACTCCCCGGTGAGACTGCTACATTGGCCAACATTGAAGGTCCGGGCAAGATTACGCACCTTTGGTTTGTGCAGACATGCCGCCGCATCTTAGGTCCCGGCCTCATTCCCTATTCCAAGTCAGGTGTGGCCATGATGGAAATTCACAATGCGCTTGGCCTCAGCTACGAGGACAGCGATCCTGATTACTACCGCAAGGTCATCATCAAGATGTATTGGGACGACTCGGAGACACCCAATGTCATTGCCCCGATCGGTGACTTCTTTTGCTTGGGCCACTCCATGGCTGCCAATTTCCAGTCCCTCCCTTTCACTGTCTCGGTGAAGCCTTCCGAGGAGAAGAAGTACGGCGGGTCGGCTGCATTCAATTGCTACCTGACGATGCCCTTCAACAAGCGTGCCCGCATCGAGATTGAAAACCAGGGCGAGCACGCGTACTTCCAGTACTTCTACATCGACTATGAGCTCCTGCCTCAGCCTTTCGACCCCAAGGAGATCTTGTACTTCCACGCCCACTGGCGTCGCGAGAACCCCACCAACGGCTGGGCTCCCAATGAGATGCAGACCAACAGCCTCGAAACCCAAGTGCCCAACCTGACCGGGGAGGGTTACACCATTCTTGAGACCACCGGCTCCGGCACTTATATTGGTTGCAATCATTCTGTCCTCCACCACCAAGGCACGTGGTGGGGTGAAGGTGATGATATGATCTTCATCGACGACGATACCTGGCCCCCAAGCATGCACGGTACGGGTGGCGAGGACTACTTCAGTCAAGGATGGGGTATGCAAAAGAACGCATATCCGTTTTGCGGTACAATCATCCACGAGGAAGACGTGCCGAACCATCAGGTCTCGTACCGCTGGCATCTCGCAGATCCAGTCCGATTCGACAAGAAAATCAAGGTGCAGCTCGAGCACGGCCATGCGAACCACCTGCGGGATGACTGGTCAACTACGGCTTATTGGTACCAGACCTTGCCTGGACCCAAGCTGACGATCCAGCCACTGGACGAGAGGCTGCCGAATAGACCTACTATTAAGCCTGCACCGGAACCAGCAGAAGCCAGACCGCTCACCGACCTACAGAAGCAGAATATCCAGAAACGTGAAGAGCGCTTCAAGGTATTCGTAGATGACCGGAATGCTTGGCTCGAACGACGAGCGAAAGCTTCTCGCGAGAGAGCTGTAAATAATATCGAAATCGCCAAGAATCTTAAAAAACGGTATGACGAAAGCTTGAAGAATTAACTTTATACTTTATGTAGTTCAACTATTTTATAGAGGCATTAAATAGAAAGAATTTTTGAAATAAAGAAATACGATTCAATATCAAAGGACCAAGCCCAAGGTACCTATCGAAGAGAACAAGAATCTATGCCGCAAGGCTTGTTTCCGGATACGTCCTCTCCAATCGTAACGATTTCAGATACCAGTCCTCCTAGATGAGACCGCGACGCGAGTGTAAAGAGAGTGAATATTACCCCGGCTCCTGTTGGAATGGCACCGGTGAGACGATATCTAGCATCGTTGTCTTAGATCTTAGGCATTGGTTTTGGAAAGATGTCAGTTGCTTTGTCCTGCTGGGAAGGGGGATACATTTAAATACAGACTCATATTGTTCCGTATTTACGAAGACCAGACATTCCGAGATGCCGACACTACGTAATGTTTTTGAACTATCATAGCGCCAAGCCCCACTCCGAAAGCCCTGACCAACTCAATTGTCCAACAACGAAAATGAAGACATACCGCCAAGACGCCCACTAACGGCGGACTCGGTTATGCTTATCCCCGCATTGCATTCCGTTGTTCTGTCACCACCCAACGCCGAGCATCCGTGGTCACTGGCCCGACTGCCCCGAACTGTATTCTGCGACATGAGGAAGACGCCGATGAGAACGAAGAAAGCAACACGAGAGGTCTGTCTGTGGGGCATCCCTGGATCTCCATGGCCATTTCTCTGACAAAGCACACATGAGTCGACGTTGGAGAATTGTGCTATGGTCCTAATAAAGAGAATCAGCTGTCCGGGTGCCTATCAAGAAGTACAACGTACCTTGGACCTTCTTCATTGCTTGCCTTACTCTCCCTAAACATCAGAGGGACCTTTCGGAGGGTGTGCATTTTGATCCACTTTCTTTCCCATTCTCCAACACTGAGTCGCTCGTTCTCTTCGATGTCATGTTTCCCCGCTAAACTCCTTTCCAACCCCACTACTGCATCAACAAGGCACAAAGGGTAGCTTTGGAGGTCAGAAGCTTGAAAGGAACTGGCGCCGACTGGGGAAAGGATTTCTTTCTCCTGCTCCAGATGCAGGGGTCCTGGTGTGCCTCCTAAGTCCGATGCCCGACCGTTTCCCTCGTCTTTCAATGGTTGACAGCGCACTCATTGGAATCATGATGTAGTCATGGCCTAGTCCAAAAGGTGCAGTCCAGCTGAAGAAGGGAAGGCGCCAGGGCAAGGACAGAGCGATCATGTTAGTATAAAGAGGCCATTGCCCCTCGAACTCGACCAGCTGCAGAGCGTCTTGTCTCCAGTCTCGCATTTCAACCGACTCTCACTCTCACAGCTTTCCACGACGACATCTTCAAACACCCCTTCTTTCACCCGGACCCACACACTCAAAATGCCTGTTATTAAAGATAGCAACATCGTCGTCACTGGCGCCGCGTCCGGTATTGGCCTGGCCACCGCCCAGCTCCTCGCCAAGCAGGGCGCCAACCTGTCTCTGGCCGATGTCCAGGTCGACCTGCTCAAGGAGGCCGTCGCTCTTGTCGAGGCCGATGCCAAGGCGGCCGGCCACACCATCAAGGTCCACTCGGCCGTTGTCGACGTCCGCGACCGCAAGGCCGTCGACGCCTGGATCACCGACGCCGTGGCTGCGCTGGGCCGCCTCGACGGTGCTGCCAACATCGCCGGCGTCTTCAAGCCCAACTACAAGAACAATGTGGCCGATGAGGACGAGGACAACTGGGACCTCAACATTGCCATCAACCTGACGGGGCTGATGCACTGCATGCGTGCGCAGACGGCCAGTATGCGCGAAAAGGGCATAAATGGGGACGCGTCGATTGTCAACGCGGCCAGCATCATGGGCATCATGGGCGCCATCGGCTCGGCCGCCTACTGCAGCTCCAAGCATGGCGTCGTGGGCCTGACGCGGGCGACGTGCAAGGAAGTCGGCAAGCAGGGCATCCGCGTGAACTGCGTGGCGCCCGGGTTTGTGGACACGCCAATGCTGCGGGCGTCGTTGGCGGCCCGTGGCGGCAAGGCGACAGTGACGACGACGCCCGAGGCGGTGGCCGTGGGCCGGACGGGCCAGCCGTCCGAGGTGGCTGAGGTGGTTGTGTTTTTGCTGAGCAGCAATGCGAGCTACGTGAGCGGACAGTGCATCTCAGTCGACGGCGGCTGGAACTGCTGAGCGGCGGGCGAGCGAGCGATAGCAAAAAAAAAAAAAAAAAAAAAAAAAAAAAAAAAGAGAAAAGAAAAGGAAAAAAAGACGGCATGATTATTATTATTATTATTATTATTATCCGCCTTTCTCAGCCAGTCCTGGCTATTGGCGTCTAGCTAGGCAGAACCCTCATGGGGATAAAACTACCACAGATCTATGCGTGAGCACTTTCTAGGTGCCGGGGGTGTGCAGTAGCCCTCTAATAGGGCCTATCAAGTGGTAATAAGGAAAAGAAAAGAAAGAAGGTAAAACAAGGAGACAACAGGAAGGAAGTAAGAATAAAGGAAGGTAGTAGCGTTAGGCTGGTGTTTGTTCAAGCGCCCGGGCAAGGCTATACTCCGGCAGCCTCTCGCTCCGGATAAGCCATCGGAGGAGTGGCCTTGCTGTGAGGCCGGAGCGCAGCCGGCGGTGTAATTCATCGGTGGTGCAGGGCCAGTCCGGGGGCCGGGGCGGTACGTTTGTACAGTTTAGAAGGAAGCGGCATGATTACGATATATAGAATTTTAAATGGACACTTAATTCGGTCAAGAAAAGGATGCAGTAGCAGGTTGAGAGACTGGGAGTGAACACCGGTCAAAACGTTGGCGACCTCGATACATGCCCGTGACAAACAGAACTACTGTGTGACCAACCCTCTAATATGACACGAACGCCAAGGTACTCTTTTCGGCAACGTTGCGCAGACATGCAATCCTGATCAGAGGTCGGTCTCTTTTGAGGCTGCAGAATAACGAAAAGCTCCGCGGTCGCGAGGGTCGCAAAGTGATTCAAGTCATCGAAGCATGTACAAAAACGACTGGACACAGGACGAGACCGGACGGTTTTACCGTAGGCATCCTGATGGCACGATTACCTGGCGTGTGGATGACGACGAGAACGATGATAACGACTAATGTAGCTCTGTGCTGCATATCACGAGAAAATGTACTAGCAAAATGAAATCTTCAAAATGTCACGCAACATGTCCGTTTCTAACTGTGTAAATCTATTAGTTCTGCCATGAACGTATAATAGCGTATGACGGGCAACTGCCCAAATTGTCTGATCATCGACCATAGTTCTACAAAGACGGGCCCCACCCCAGTGGCAGTTACATAAGTCCTGCGAATATATCCCAAACAAGGCTAATACGGGGGTTTTCCCTTGGTAAGTGTTGCTCTAATCGCCGTTATCATTTGGGCGATGCACAGTAATACTGGCAATATACCAGACGACGTTGAGAAAAGGCTGTGTCCCATAACCGGCCACTGGGAGGTCCTCAGTAATAGTATTTCTTGAAATAAAGGACATACATTTTAAACGTGTGTTTGGTGCAAATAGAGTGAACATATACATTTGACCACGCATTAGTTAGCCTGATGCATTGTCAGCTTCGTCACAAGACCGGACCAACAGACACAATCATGTTTCAACGGCCTCGCTGAGTAAATTCGTCGTCTACCTTACATGCTAACGAGCAGCAGGTTCGGCAAAAATTTATGTAGGTACCCTACCTGGTTTCTCCTTGCCAGTTTCTCTTTTTTTATTGTCCTTTTTTTTGCGTCCCCTGAGCTCCAATTTCAAAGTTTCACAGCACCTAATATTACAATTTCCCACCATCATTCTCCTATGTTCCGCATCCTGTCCCCAAAACGCACATGGGACAAATCTCCAATCTTTTGCTATTTCCATCATCATCGTCCTTCGTCATTATGGCTGATGAACTCGACTCGTCGTCGTCGGCGGATACGCTAGTGCCGACGCCTCCTCCGGTCACGTCAACAGATGCGCCAGCCAAGCTCGCAGTTGACGATGGGGCTACCGGTTTCCCAAGATCACAGGCAGAGCGCATATCATTCCTGTCCACGCTGGCCCGTGATCTTCCGGACCACTACATGTGCACAGAATGCACGGCTCTGCATTCGGCCACGGCGGAGGAATGCCACGCAAAGGACGTGGCTATCATAGAGAATTCATCCTACAAGAAAGGCCCGAAGGTAATGGAGGCGGCACTTCACGCACCATGCCAGCGCACCGCTATCATGGCCAGCGCCGTCGATGTCCGCATACCGTGTGAATCCCCCGAAGACAATGATGCAGTTGTAACCGAGGAGCGGTACCAGCGCGCGCTCGGGTTCATGGGCCAAGCGTCGTCGTCCAAGAGAACATCGTTGGCTGGTCTGACGCACCGGGATGTACAGCTGACTCTGAAGCGTGCACGGCTGCTGGCGTCCTTGGACAAGGCAGAGGGCGCGAACAAGGAAATGGGAGAGAGCAGCGGTGATGGCGGACACGTGACTGCCACCCAGCGAAAGTACCGCAAGAACGGCTTTGCCGAAATGGCTGCCGACATGGCCATGCGACAAGACGGAGAAAAGTTGAAGAGCATGATAGCTGATGTCATGAAACGCCGCCAGCAACTGACGTCTTGTCTCCAGCGCGCGCTCGCGCCCATCAAGGCTGACTGTGCGCTGACCAGGACCGACCGCGCCAGCACGAGCAGCTACCCCTACGTACAGAAGACGACGGTCAAATACACGATTGTGCCGCGCATTGAGCAGGCCCGCTACCTGCTCAAGACGACCGTCAAGATGGCCCGCCGCGAGGTGGCGAATGTCAGCCTGGCCATCTGCCCGCACCTCCTGCTCAACCATCGCAAGTCCGAGGTGTGGATCGACATGGCCAGGGAGGCCGTCGACGCATGCCAAGACTGTCATGCGTCGGGGGCAACCAAACCCTTTGCCCTCCAGATGGCCGTCCGCCACGTGGGCGAGGCCATGGCGGCCAGCGTCCGGCACGCCCGCCACATGTACAA